GCAAGATCTATAGTATATACATATTTTTGCTTATAATATTCCTCATAAAATAACAAGTACATTGTTAAATAAATATATATATATATATTATAAATCATCCCTAGTATATCCCCATGATATTCCCATCTAATATTGTTGGTTATAAAATGTTATAAACACCCATCATCCCCATGATATTCCTGAACATATTCATGATTACCCTGGGGTAACCTAACAGTCCTAACATGTCCAACATCTATGTACACGTTTACAGGAGGGTCAAATCTCTATATTTGATGGTTGAATCATGTTAAATCCCTATTTTTGATGGGTATTATTCCATCTATTTTAGTTTACCGAAGGGTGGCTCTACTCATGAGGCCGCCCCAACATGACCAAAGGCACGCCCAGGGATCGCTTCACCACGATGCACTTCTTCGCCAGCCACACGCCTAGGCGGAAGTGCACGACCCCATGGCTTCCTTCGACCCAGGGCCCGGGCCCCGCAAAATGATAGGTAAGTTGGTAAAAAACAAACAAACTAACTAAGGTTTGGATTTCTGGTGGATATACCGAATTAGTTAGATGGGGTTGTGAAACCAGCTTAGAACTTGGAGCCTTCCTGTCGAAACAGCCAATGTTCAGTGGAAACTAAACTTCGAACCCTACATTTGGCAGGGTCTATGTTGCTTGGGGGGACGGTATTTTTGCACTGGGGTAGTTGAAGGGAGAATCTTTACCAGAAACCATGGTCGTATGTATTCAATTCCAAGCGTTGTTCGATTTCCTGTTCACAGAGCACAAACTAAACATAAACAACATATATCCATTATACATGTGTCTTTCTATGGTGTACATTTATATGCAGTATATGTATATATATACATATTGTTTTGAAGTTTGAAGCTGGCTTTTCCCTCTTAATATCAACATGTCTGGATGGTTTGAATTACAACCCTGCTTGAAATCTGCGATTGGAAACCTGAGTAAATAATTTGCCATACTCAAGTGGTTGGACATTTCTCCATTTGCACTCTATATCCGTCATCTTTTTTTGCCATATATATATTTTTTAAATATGGTTGTATAAACCCCGGATGATGGGCCGGGATTTTTCCATAGATTTATTGGATGGTGATCCTGGTTGAATCATACAAATCAAACATGTTTGGTCAAAGGTTAATGCACCATCCTTCATATTTAAATCACACGGATTGATAGGTGAACTCCCAATTTTGGGCTGATCAAATCCATCAAATCCCAATCGTTTCTTTGTGAAATCCCAATTCTGGGTGCGAAAAGTCAGCATTTTTCAGTCCCAGAGGCGGATCACAGGCATGCCGGCGATGGGACTGGCCTGCCAGGATTGGTTTAGAAGCATGGTGAGTAAACTCCCCCATTTAACGTGGATGATCTCATTGAACTACCTGATTAATGGGTACCCTCTGGTCAACTAACATAACTATTGAAAACGGCCATTAATAGTTGATTTACCCATTAAAAAAATTATGTTCAATAGTTATGTTAAATTACCAGAGGAAAAATTATCTCATTGGGTGAACTAAGCCCAGTTACTGTACTAACTAACTACATTACTACTAAGTGGGATGATCCTCCAATTCCCATCCGAACATAGCGACAACGGTCCAGTTATGGATGATCTACCAATCAAATTTCGATAGCTTTGTCAAGCAACCAGAGGATAACCATGTTTATGGGAATATGTAAAGGGCGTTATGTGTGTATATATATATATACATACTTAATTATATATATATATGTGTGTTATTAATGAATATACAGTATGTATTATATATATATATTCTATCAAATACTATCAGTAAATGTGATCTCAGATACTATCATGGGAAAGAATGGGATACGTAAAAAAAACATAATATCCCATAATGGGGATGATTCATCATTGGATTTTTATGGTACCCTCATCTTCTAGTTACTTGTTAGATAGGTAACTATATAACCCAACATTCACAAGGTAAAAGGATAAAAAACATCCTGGTTACCTATCTCAGAAGCAACCGAAAAAAATAGGGTAATAATATTCTGAATATTTATCATGGGATATAATGGGAGTGGCCTTTTGGCCACGAATAATTGTATTGGTTTGGTGGGATATCACTGACATGTGATCCCGACTGGGTGATGTCCCCTCATAAATGGGTGCTAATGGGTTACACCCTACATTGTCAACCAGTTAACCAAGTTCATGACCGATCTAAATGGTCATGAAATATGTTTTGAGATGGGGTTAAAGCATCATGAACAATCACTTGCAACAGCCATCATTAGAAACAACCATCACAAGCACTCACTCACATTCACAATCAGCAAACAAACATCGAACTATAACAACATCTAAAAAAAACTATTGCAAATATTGTTGGTGTGGATTCAGGTTTCTGCTGATAATGTGAAACCTTCCATATATCCACTTCTGACTTCTGACCAACAAAAAACAGCATGCCAGCACGATTCCTTCAATTTTGACCGTAGAATTAGCACATATATTGGGTAATTGGCATAACCCGCAATAAACATCATCCCCAATAGATAATTAGGAAACACATAATCTATCATAAGGGGTTATCCCGAAATTAACAAAAGTCTAAGTGTGATAAAACATGTAATAAGTTTTGTCCATCCTAATAGTACCAGTATATACCCAAGAATAAATAGAACACTTGGACACATGGACATATGAGGTACATGTCATCAAACTACCATCCTGCTTTCACATTCTTAGGGACCTTTTTGGCGGATTACTACACGTATCCCGAAGAACTATGAGTCTTTTCGTATGACAAAGCTAATCGTATTCATTAGTATCCCCCAACTAGAAACATGTTTGTTCTTCAAAAAAAAAACATTACTAGATACATCTATGATACATCTATGATACTCATATTAACCATACTTTGATAGATACATCTATGATATTCTAGTTATGACTTCTATACTAACGACAATTTGCTCATCCTGACCATCCCAGGCACTGGATCTTCTTCGGCCAGGGAGTTCACCTTAAGGTCGGTGGCCGCCAACGTCCGGGTAGCGCCAAGGGTGGGAAAATCCATAGCAAAGGTGGGTTACTGTGGGTTAATAATGGGTAATATATGGTTATTATATGGTTAATGATGGTTAATCATAATCTGGTTGGTGGTTGACCTACCCTTGTTTGGTACAGTAACTTACTATTCATATATGGCTAATATTAATGGTTATGATGATGGTATGATGATGCTTAATGATGGTTAATATTGATACTGGTTGGTGGTTTCAACCAACCCCTCTGAAAAATGATGGAGTGAAAGTCAGTTGGGATGATTTTTCCATTCCCAACTGTTCATGGAAAGTCATAAAACATGTTCACCACCAACCAGATTGTAATGTGGATGGTTTTCTTTCAGTATGATAACTCCATTTTTCAGTGGGGAGTTCCAAACTTGCCATGTTTGACACCGTTTCGGCGAGCCTTCATCCCCAAAATCAGACAACGGACAATCCACTAAGGTCATTGCTCACCTTACCCTCCAGTAAACTAACATAGCTATGGAAAATCACCATTTCTTGTGGATTTTCCCATGAAAAATGGTGATTTTCCATGGCTATGTGAAATTACCAGAGGGTAACTGGTAACAATTCCAGCCGCCTTTGATTTAACCCAACATGGCAATTCTTGCTGCTGATCTTGCTGGGGAAACCATCCCAATCCCAACAAACAAACCATGTTGGTGAGCTTTATCCACCAATGATATGGTGAGCTCCCGTCTTGCACTGGTTAAACTCGATTACATCATCTGCTACTGCGAATGTTAAAAAAAAAAAACGTAAAACCTCCCAGAGTTTGCTGATCAACATCCATATTAATCAAAGTTTCAGTGGGAAAAAAAACATCGAAAAAGCTAAGAGGATTTTCCAGCTCGTCATGTTATCTTTAGCCAAATGACTGTGTCATTGGCTCCCACCACCAGAGAAACGTCCACATCTTCCCAATCGCCGGGATCGTTCAGCTCGTCCATCTCTTTCACCTCTACTAATCGCGGGTTGAAAAAAGCCACCAAGCTTGGGATTTCGTTGTGATTTGATAGGTTTCTTGTTGGTTTATAACTAGCATGACTGGGTTTTTATGGTAGTTAAAAACTATTATTCCAGATTTGTGTTTAGATGTTTTTAGATGTGATCAAGTTTATCAAGTTAAAATCCCCCAACATGGGCTTAAGACACCTGGGTAGTATGGGTTGCCACGGGGTTGACAGGTCACCTTTTTGGGTACCTTGTATTGGATGCAATCTATAAAATTCTCTATCGGTCTCTGGGCCAACAATGGTAAACCACTGCCGAACTACCAACGTGTATCGTCATCCTCCAAACTGATCAATCGGCCAGACATAAATGAAGAACTATGGCCCATGATTACGTTTTCAAACAGTTTCAATATATATATATATAAAAACACTTGAAAACGTAATCATGGGCTTGATATGATGGATTGTGAGGTATAAAGTCGTCTACGCATACTATCATACTATCGTACTATAACTCTTCTCTTCAAGCCAGAACCCAGAAGGTTTTGGATAAACCTTATCTACAACCAACCAATTGGATGATTGGATCATAAAATCACAACACAATGACCCCACACATGTCCATACATCAACTAGATAACTAGGACAATAAACCACAAATGACTATCCCTAATCATTCCATTCCCATTTCATTGTTCCTGTCTTAGTTTTTTCACGAACTCCCCACTTAAAATCCATCATCTTAATAGTGTATTCGATCCCCAATGTTTTATCACCCAGTGATCCCTAAATCACAGATAAAATCACCAAATCACCAAAATCAATATAATGGTTGGTGGTTGACCTACCCTTGGTTGGTAATATACTATTCATATATGGCTAATATTAATGGTTATGATGATGGTATGATGATGGTTAATATTGATACTGGTTGGTGGTTTCAACCTACCCCTCTGAAAAATGATGGAGTGAAAGTCAGTTGGGATGATTTTTCCATTCCCAACTGAATGGAAAGTCATAAAACATGTTCCAAACCTCCAAATCTCCAGGGTTTTCACCATTTTCCATGCACCGCCCTCCATTCTTTCGCCCCACGCACCGCGCCTGGTCGTAGGGCACCCCGGCCTCCGCCAGCAAGACGTTGAGCTGCCCCGGCATGCGCCCGGCCACCGGGTGGATGGCGATCTTCACGTCGCAACCGTTCCTGGGCCGCGCCACCGGTGGAGCGGTTATAAACTTATAACAAGTATGTCATAATGGAATATTATGGAATGAATAATATGTTTGAAACATAATATATTATAATAATATGATATGATATTATATCATAATATAACATAACATAACATAATATAATATAATATAATATAATATATAATAATCTAATCTAATCTAATATAATATAACAGAATATAATAAAATAAAATATAATATAATATATAATAATCTAATCTAATCTAATATAATATAACATAATATAATAAAATATAATATAATATAATATAAGAGTTATATATAATTTTATATAGTTATATATAATTTTATATAGTTATATATACTGTACACTTTTCAATTACATTAATCAAGTTGAGGTGCGTTTTGCCAGTACAAGAGTTGTGGGTGGGTGGTTTCAGCGATAGATGGTGGTTTACAAGGTTGCCATGTTCTGACAGTTATCTAGATCTGTGTAAATCACCCTCTGGTAATTTAACATAGCTATGGAAAAATACAATTTTTCATGGGTAAATCAACTACAAATGGCCATTTTCCATCATTTTCCATATGATTTACCCATTAAAAATGGCTATTTTCCATAGTTTTTTGTATGTTTACTGGAGGGTTTTTTCATGGGATCAACTGAGAAATTGGGGACTTGTGCTCAAGCCATTGGATCCCCCAATATCCACCAGACATACCCTCCGGTAACCTAAGACAACTATGGAAAATTACCACTTTTGATAGGTTTTTATTCATGGTACATGTCACAATGTGCAATTTTTCATAGCTATGTAGCTATGTTAGTTTACCATGTTTACCAGAGGCTATTTCTAGTGACGGGCTTGTCGCCGTAAACTCAGTTGGCCAATGGAACTACCATTTTCCCATCCCTATAAGAGAACCGTCCGTTTCCTTCGCAAACGTAGTTGATATAGTCAGTTTAGTTCCAATTTTTGGCCGTTTATAGCCAACAAATTCTAGCCCCATTCCCAATTTGGCGACTTTTTAGGTGGCTTAGTTGGTTATATCATATCCTATCCTATCCCAGTAGATTCCCACTATATCCCACGATATCCCCACTATACCACCGCTTTTGTTGGTTAAATCACCCCATATCCATTCCGTTCTAATCACATTTTTTCCACAGAAATATGCATTTCTAGTAAGTCCACTTAGTTGGCTTACTTGGTCAACATTCCGATTTAGTGGTCAATTTCCATTATATCCCCATTATTGATTAATCCATATTAATCCCATCCCCTCATATTGAACACCCCCCATTGTAGGGTCCAGAATACGATGTCCAATCGCGAAACCATGGTTTCTGAGGGGCTGTTCAATATGAACGGAGGAAGGGATAAAAAATCACCATACATGTATTCAATTGTATTCATGTATGTATATTATATATATATAATATTATACATATATATATATATATGTATAATATTATATATATATATATATATGTATAATATTATATATATATGGCTCAAAAAACTGGTATGGATTGGATGGGTACGCGGTCTGGTATGGATGGGTACGCGGTGATCCAGACGTATGGAACGAAGGAGTTACGCAAATGATCTCAAATGAATTTCTATCTCTTCAAAAGGGTATGGATCGGGGGTATGGACCATGTGTGTGGATCGCCTCTATGTCCGGGGTATGGATCGGGACCGCACATTTTGAGCTGCAGCCCTATATACACATGGGATATAGTCGTTTATGAACGACCAATCCTTGAAATTCATGAGATGAATAACCATATAACCCCATACAATACATTGAAATACTATATACAAAACCATTGATGATTCAAATTCATGACGCTGCTTAACCATTGAAATATATCCCATGAAATACATTTCAATCATTGACATACTATAAACCTTTATGCATATTGATTGAAATTTAAAACACTGCTTAATCATCTAACCCCATGAAATATCCATGAACAAATACTATAAATATTGTTAGCAACCCCATGCAATACTATGAATATTGACTGGTTGGTGCTATACCTACCCCTCTGAAAAATATGAAAGTCAGTTGGGATGATGAAATTCCCAATATATGGAAAGTCATAAAATTCATGTTCCAGACCACCAACCAGATTATACATATATATATATATACCCATTATACACCCATATAACCATTATTATGTCTGAAATACTATGAATCCCAAATGACTATTAGTATTAAATGACTATGATTGAATATTGATGTTTAATAACCAATACGATTGATGTTAGTAATCCCAATACTATTGATGTTTACCCTCTGGTAAACTAACGTAACTACGGAAAATCACCATGCAATTAATGGGTAAATCCACTATTTCTATGGCCATTTTCAAGTTCGCAAACTGTTTGTTTACCAGATGCTATATCATTTTTTTCTTAAGTCCCATTAAAACCCTTTCTGAAATCCCATTAAACCCCATTTTTTAATGGTAATAACATCAGACATCATCAAGCAATCACCATGTTTAATGGGTAAATCCACTATAAATGGTCATTTTCAAAAGCTATTGTGACATAACCAAGTGGTAATAACATCAGACATCATCAAACCCCCATCCCCAAGCGCCAGCGTCTTCGAGAGCATCTCCACCAGCTCGGCCAAGGCGTACTGCGCCTTGCTCACCGCCACGCCGTAGCCGGGCACGATGACCACCTCACGCGGTTCCAACACGGTGATATCATGGGAATATCATGGGAGATATGGGAATATATGATGGGTTATCATCTCATGAGATCAGAGATAATTCTGGATCTTGGAAATTTCATGATAATTCCACATTGGATATAAGATGATATATATATATAACATGATTATCCAAGTTGCAGATCCGACTAATTCAAAAGATGAATATCATGAAAGATAATCCAAAATCATCTTCCCTGATCTGATCTGGCCTTCTTGGCCACAGCCAAAAGGTCAGCCACGTGTTCCTTGTTGGTCGTGGTCACCTCACCCTCAATCCTCAGCGCAAGAAAGGAGGAAAAATATGGTCTAAAAAGTCTATAGAGATCCAAAATAGTCAAAATAGTTGGTAAAAACCATGGGAATTCATAAATTCATAAATAACTAACATGAACTCAGTATTCATCCCTCAGAATTCTGGTGGTATCATGGCCTTTGCCATAGGCTGTAAGACCTGATGCCAGAGCCGAAAAAAAATCGCCACCTTGACGGGTACCTGGGGCACCTGGGTGTCTGAACCCAGCCATAACTGTGGTTCCATAGGAAAAATGATGGAAACATGTTGATGATCCAATGAATATTTCTGGGTAAATTATAATATTTCACTAACCTGAATTAAGGCCATTTGGGGATGATTTCCCTTACTGACCATAATTTACCTAGATATATAGGGAAATAGGGAAATATGATATTCATGGATGTGCAAAAACATATGATTTTCCATGTTATATAGCTACCTTATTTTTTCATAAGGGTAACAATGGATATCATATGATATGTGTGGCTATATATATTCCAATGTTTTTGTTTGGTATGTTCAATAACTATGGATATATATATCCAATGAGGGTAACAATGAAGATAGGAAACATGTTGATGATCCAATGAACATAGAGCTACCATTTGGTTATTTAACATAGCATGGAAAATCACCATTTATAGGATGTTTACCTGCATATTAAAAATTTTGTGATTTTCCATGGCTATGCTATGTTAGTCATAAGCAGAGGGTAGCTCTATGTTCATTGGATCATCAACATGTTTCCTATCTTCAGTGTTACCCTCATTGGATATATAAATATATATGGTATATATATCCATAGTTAGGTAGGTAAACATCCTATAAACCCCAGGTTCTTCCTACATTTTCCCAAGCGGCTGGTAGCTGGAGCTGCCTTTCTTCTGCTTTTTGCCCACGATGCCCAAGACCTCCAGGATGTTGCGGTTCATCGCCTGGGTCCCGTTGTTGCTCATATCATGGGATGGGAGTAAGGTTAAGCTTAAACATCTCAAAGCACCAACACAGTAGTATATATATATATATATTATTATATTAATGGTAGTAGATGTATAAATATGTATAATATTCTAGCATTGAGAGTCATTATATCATATGCACTTAATATTCTATTCCATGATACTTAAGGTTGAACCTCAAAAACATTGCCAAAACCATCCAACACAACCTTCCCAGTTCGACATTGTTTCACCATTAGCCCAGCGACATCGCACATGATCTGACTCAAGATAGCGCCCGAGGATCCAATCAGCGCACCCACAATGGTCAACCTGGGCCCGGTTGACCCCGGTTCCGGCAACCGCTGTGGTGCCAAGTAACAAAGAAAGATGTGGGGATTCCACAAACGGATATGGAGACTTATAGTTGATATGGCTGATGTGTGTTTGCTAAGTTGGTTTTTAAGTAGAACTACGCTACGTGTTGGGTTTGTGGTAGGTTTGACTCAAAACTGTTGGGGTTGCAGTGTGATGTGCTCTCATTATGGATCCAAGTGGATGTCTCTGGAAATAGGAAATTACCACATCAATTTGCAATCTTGATAGAGACCAAGAGGACGAAGCAGTGAAATTGGGGCTGTTCCTGAATGTTCCAGAGAACCCCAACTATCATGTGGTCACGTGGTTGGTGATATATAAGTCCTATTGCATTGTATATAACCAAAAAGAAGTGTGCTTCTTAGCAATCCAATGCTATCCAGAACTATCCATTGTTTTACACCACCACAAGACACTCATCTCTAGCAGCCCAGCCATGCAAAGGTTGATGGCTTTTCCACCCAAAAATGGAAGAAAATTGGTGTGGGTCAAAATTGAAGACCTGGGGGGCCACTGATTTTAGCTGGTTTTTAGGATTCACCATTCAATTCTTGGGGTACCCAATTTTGACCCATACCCCTAAGTATGCAAGGGCAAACATTAAAACGACATCTTCCCAAGTCCATTTCAAGACGTCACTGCACCCCTGCAGGAGGCAGTTGCATCCACTGGCTTTACCATTTTTTTCCAGCATTGATGCGGCAACGTGGGTCGCGCCCACGAAAGATCGGGTGAGAAACGGGTCCCGTCTCCCGATTGAATCAATGTACCACCCTTTTATGGGAATGGAATCACGTTCCAAAGTTGATGGATTCTTTCCGCAAAATGATGAATATCTCGAATATGAGCATATTGGGATGTGCATCTTGACATGTTGGGTTTTATGTATACTAGTAGCATGTTGGTTTTATGTATACTAGTAGCATCGAAACACACATTGAAACGATTCTGTTTGGAAACTCGTCAACTTTTTAGAACCACAAAACTCAATTTTCGATGCGACTCGCTGTTGTTTTTGTGGAACAGACAGCACATGTCAGGGTTGGGGGCATTCATGTTGTCAACTTCCACACTTGGTCCATGATCTTTTTCCGCTTCTCTCACTGTTTGCACATCTTCTCTCACTTGTAGTAGAGCTCTTGCCGACGAATGTAGGACAAAACACCAGGAGGGATCAACCCCTCGATGGTTTGGAGATTGCCTCGCCGACAAGGGCCCATTCAAATGGGACAGTTTGGCTTAACTTCCGCCCATGTGAATGTGGTGAAGCAAACGATAATAAATTCATAAACCAATATAAACCAAACCTGATTGATGTATTTTATTCAACTCGAAACAGGAATTAATCAAAGATTCATTAATATCCACTAATATTCTTATACTGATATACTACATTAATCAATAGAACAACCATTGGATTACTTGGATATTCATAGCATTTCTTCCATCTTAAACCATCATAACTTTCACCACACCTCACCAGCAACGCTCGCCAGTACCCGCACCTCCTTTACAGGTTTCCACCCGGGTTCTCGTTCGGATCTCCGTGGAGGACAAGTTGCCCTCGATGAAGTGGAAATCCTGGAGACCGGGGGAGCTGACGCCGAACAAAACGCGACGGACTAAGACGGTGATGGGTGAATCTATGGGATTTATACATTTATTAATATATATATATATGTATATATATATACATATATATATATGTATATATATATATATATGTATATATATGTATATATATGTATATATATGTATATATATATATGTATATATACATATATATTATACACTGTATATATGCTCATATATGGGGATTTAATATGATTTAATGGGATTTTCATGGGTATTCAGCATGGGAAATTTCATATGAGACATCGTCAATCTGATGTGGGATCTACGGATGTAAACATGTGCCTGCCTTTACCTAACCCATATGCTCCATGTATGGAATATTTACCTACATTTGGGCCTTTTTTGAGGTAAATACAGTAAATGTAGGTAAATATTCCATACATGGAGCATATGGGTAACTTGATCTGCATAGAAAGTACTCTGCAAAAGTGATCAAAATCTGTGAGGTCAGGTGAGCAGTTTTCAAAACACCCTCTTGTCCCTCTATATTGGTTGTTTGTGATCGGGATTGCCCGAATCGATTGTGATATTCCCTATTTTGGTACTGTCTGAAATGATCCCCCAAATCCTTCAAATTAGACCATTTTGGTATTGAAACATATTGAAACTCATGGTGACTTGGGAATCCACCATTTTAGGAATCCACAATAAAAACGGGGCAGATTGCAGCACTTGCTCGGGTGAGTCTTGCCCTTTACCCTTTGGCACATAGCTATGGAAACCATAGCCCATAGAAATATATGATACTGTAAAATAATCAAAATATTATTTAACTAGCTATAATATGGTGATTTTCCATGTAAATGGCCCATAGAAATAGAAACTAAACATAAAAACATCATGATTTACCTAGCTATAAAATGCTGATTAAATGACCCATAGGCCTATACATATATACAGTATATATATATATATATGATTTATATTGATAAACATAATGACAACAAATAACACGTATGATTTATTCATAACTATAAAACCATGGGTCAAATCCATGGTGTGATATGGTGTGATCATGTATTATCATTGATGAACATGTTGATTTCTCATGATCATACAATGATAATACCATGATAATACCATGATGATACCATGATAATACCATGATAATATCATGATAATACCATGATAATACCATGATTTCTCATGATATACCATTGATAAACCTGTATCATGGTAAACACCATAGGTCTTTCCACTTCGCCAAGCGGTTTTCGCTGCTCCTCCGGCATCTTCATCCACTGCAGCCTGGGACCGAAGGCCTTGAGCCCCGTGGGGTCAGCTTTGGTTCGAGGCACGTCGTAGCCCGGGCGCGGAATCACCAGGAATTCAAACTCCCTCAGCAGCTTGTCTCCTCACACCGTGTCTGAAGTTGGGATGGGCAATGGATATAACCATGATAAAGCATGATATAAACTTGATAAACCAGGCAAGGGATTACTAGATTTGTATACATATACATATACGTATACATACATATACATGACATATACATATACATATACATATACATATACATATACATAGACATAGACATATACATATACATATACATAATTACATATACATATAATATTACGTATAAGTATATATATATATACAGTATATATAATTTACAGTATATATATATATATATATGTATATACGTATATATATATATATATACGTAACCATGGTGACAGCATGATGGGGAACCATGATTGGTTCCTTGGCTCCTCCACTCACCGCCGAACAAAACTCTGCGTGGGGAGGTGATCAAAAAAAAACTCCAGGTCGCTTGAGTGGTCCCCGTGCTGAGACCCAAACCAGGCATATCATATTGTAAAATTAGGCAATATAATATTATAGAACTAAACGCTTGATATAATATTTTAGATGCATTTCATATACCATAATTATATCATATCACTAAATAGATGTAAACAATTTAACAGTTTATATATGAAGATGATAAGGCATCTTACTATGATCTAAACATATGAACCAGACCACATCAGTGAAATATGTTAAAGGAACATGTCATCAAACCATCCACGCACTGGCTGCACATGCATCAAAAAGCCCAAGCCGAAACAGAGGGACCTCAAAACAGCTACGTTAATATAGATCTAATGGAAATCGATGGACATCTGGAGTAGATCAGCCCCAGGCTTTCAAATACAATGGGGGTGCAGGCCAGGGATTCCGATCATTGATATCTAACCATGGTGAGGTTATCTCCGTCAGACGGAGGTTAGGGGCCCCTAAATAACCCACTTTTTTTGTGTAACTGCACCCAAAATATGTTTTCCTGGTTTGCTGAGTGCATGAGCGGCTGCGCCTCAAATGGACACTTGCTCTGAATCAATTCCCCCCGGCCTGTGGGGTTTCCCCCCTCTCCGCCCAGCATGCCCAGCATCCGGTGACAATATATTTCTCACTCTCCGGCATTCCAGGCTTCCACTTGTGGTTCAGGGACCTCATCTCAGCACAAAGCTGCTGGTTGTCAGCCAGGTCAGCCAGGTCAGAGCCAACAATCTGAGTTCTGAATGCCACGATTAAGTCAATTCCCCAATTTTAAGTCACAGGTTTCAATATGGTTCAAATATCATCTCTATATAATATGTCTCTAGTGTGTGTGTATATCTCTAGTGTGTGTGTGTCTTTCCCTCCGACTTTCACAAACAGCCATCAACTCCAGGCACGTCCAATCCGCGATGCTGGTGCCGGGTTGGAGCCAGTCCGAACCAATCACGAAGGTGAATTGGACGCCGGGATGCGCATCTCTCAAGCTACATAACCTGGAGCTGCAGAATTCTACCATGGCTGGTTGGTGGTTTGAAACATCTTGAAACATATTAGTCAATGGGAAGGATTATCCCATATATGAAATGGAAAAGAAAAGTCATTTTCCAAACCACCAACCAGATGGAAATGTCCCAAAACACCACGATCTTTGCACCCCTGTTAACAGTCAAGCGATGTTGTCCGACTCCTAACTGCTACAGTACTTGGTGAAATCGTTGGTTGACACCGCTGCTCAGAAGCAGATCATAGGTAAAGGCTGCCATCTCTCGCCGGGTGTCAATATCCGAAACCTGGGCCCGGGGGGTTCGAAACCATGGGGGGATCTCCAAAATGGATGGTTTATACCCTCTGGTAAACTAACATAGCTATTGAAAATTGTCATTTACAGTTGAATTTCTCAATTACCCATAGAAAATGGTGATTTTCAATAATTATGTTAGTTTACCGGAGGGTATATGATAATGAAAAAACATAGAAAACAGTGGATGACTTCGGGGTATCCCCATTTTAGGAAACCACCATGTAGGATCATATAGGGGGTTCTTATAATAGGGAGATCCCAAAGTCACCAAGGGTTTCAATACTAATTTATTCCATGGGAATTCCAGGATCCTAAAATGGAGGTACTGTACAATATAAGGCCATATTTTGTGGTGATATTCACTTACATAGGCCTTACATGGTAGGTACCTCCAATTTAGGTTCCTTGAAATGGCCATTGATTTATGGTCTAATGACTTGGATTTGGGGTACCCCCATGACTTTGGACACTTCCGCATTTCAAACACCAGAAAACCAACAGTTCATGCAGCATGACTTGTGCGCTTCAACTTGAGTTAGTGGTTATACAGTTATACATACCCATTCTTTTCCCTGGCAAACCACGGTCATTTTCCATATCCATGTTGGTTGTCGTTAGTTTGCAATCCAGTAATTATATACCACTAAATTCCCGTAAAACAATTAGTTTCTACTACTACAAATAATTACCAGTACCCGATTTGTCTGTTTAGTTGGCTATAGATGGTTAACCATGGTTATACCACCCCAAAAAATGATGTTGTTTAATCCCCGAAAATGTCCAAATTTATTGCACTGTGCTACCGTTGCTGGCGTCAATCCTCTGCGCCGGGTGGCTCGAATGGGAAACTCTGGCGAGAAGACTGTGTTGACTGCCACCTTGTGATGCAACGGAACTTGAGGATGGGGCTTGGGGGCTTGCGGGTGATAAACTAAAGTGATAGATAAGCCGGCTTTTTCTTTTTTTGGGGGGATAGTTTGTATAAAGATGTTTCAAAAGACGTGTGAGATATGTCAGCTCTATGGTTCTTGATGAACGGTTTGAAAGTGCTTGGGATGGGGCTAGGGTGTATGGTTGGGATGGTGCCTGTCCTAGATTTACCGAAGCAGTCTGATCATAATTTCTCCAAGATCATCCCATGGCATATCTATATACCCATGTGGAGGTTTCCTGAAATGGGGGTACCTCAGGTACCATCTATTTGAATGGGGATTTTCCATGAAACCATCCAGCCAGTTATTGGGGTATCTCCTATGGAAATCCCCAGCTTCACCATGGCCACCGTACTGCCTGGCACATGCAGTACCGGTCCAAGGCTGGGGTCTTCAGCTTGGGCTTATCGGGTCGTGGGCCGCAGGGCACTAGCCACACTTCATCTGCGCAGCCGCTATGTACCTCACGTTTTTTGCACATGGCAGATTGACGCAATCTTTTTGGAAATCCTATGGAAATCCTGGAAAACTCCATGAAAGTCCCGCAAAAAGATCAATCAATATGATTCAACATGGATATCTTATATAAATTCCTATATTGGAAATGTATCAACAGGATTCAACAGGTATGCCAGGTGTTGGTACATCTGCATACCTTTCCTGTCTGCCGTTTTAGTACTGTTCAGATAGCTTCTGTGGTTCATGACGGCCCTTGAAAGATGATTTCCGCATGGAACAAGGAAAAAATGCCAACTTTCATGATCGTTGCACATCAAGTAATGTGGAACAAGGAAAAAATGCCAACTTCCATGGTCGTTGCACATCAAGTAATGTGGGTAAAACAATTATAAACCACCCTTTTGGGGATGATAAACATAGCACCTATCTGTTGTGATCTGGGGGATGGTTTATTATTGTCTTAAATATCCACATGAAACTTACATTTGTTCTTTTGCTTTGGTCTTTACATGATTATGTTGATTTTGTTCAAACCGTTAAAACATGTTAAACACAATTGTTTAAACACACGTTCAGTGACACCTCCTGATATGTCCTCATTTACCAAATTCATTGCTGGCTATATCCTGATAATGTCTGTGGCAGCCCATCAGCTGGCTATCCTCCCGGTGTTTTGGCCGGGGGATGGGATTAGTTGGGGACCACATCTTTTCGGCGTAGCTTAAAACTACCAACCCCATTTTGGAAGATGTAATGATATACTTAATGCATTAAAGTGATAATAGCGTGAGGCGTGAGTGATTAATATGAAATATAAGATATATAGATAATCAAACTATCTCAACATGACCAATTCTTTGAGTCCATAGTTCCATTCATTTAGTCCCTCGTTTTTTGCAGGCCTTCCCCAGGCCGCGGCACAATTTCGCTGGCACAAGTCATGTGGGAGTTGGTGGGTGGGTCGAAGGCGCCACCATACACGGCCACTCTCTTCACTTGCTGCGCCTGCGTCACCTGCGCCACGAAGTTTGGGACCAGCAACGTAGGAATCACACCAGACCTATATGAATATAGAGATAGCAAAATGTACAGTACGCAAGTTGATTCTGGGAGTTTCTCAGGATTTGAAGTGAAACTAAGTAACATCAAAACCTTAAAATATTTTGCACTTCCACCCTGGGCCCTATTGAAAGAGAGGAAACTCTTTCCAGGACCTGAGTGCTTCCTCCAAAGTCAGGATGATAGAAATATCCCAGAATCCTCACCAGCTAACCCCATCATTGTATAATTTACAGTACCCATCAACTACTGGAACGGTTTATTTTATGTTTATTCTTATTTTGACCCCGCCCTCCCTATTACTAAAACACGGCCGCACCCCCCAAATGGTAAACACGGTGATCTAGTTTATCTTGTTTTTATTATTTGGTGGTATTTTGCATTAGGGTGCCCCTAATATTCCAATGAAAACCCTAATAATTCAATAAAAATACTCGATTTCAAATTTGATTAAATCCCTTATCAAAATCTATATAAAATGGTGCCAAAAACTGGATTTCGATGCTTTCCCCTTTAATAACCTTTAATATTCCAATGAAAACCTTGGAAAAAACATTAATAAAACTTGTGAGATAGGACCCTATTAAAAACCTCCAGGTACCATTCTATTTCTATTAATGGGGGGTTGAACCCATTGTTTCACCATCCTGTTCTCCTATTCATTCTCAATTACCACAATTAAGAATCCAATTGTAACCAACCAAAAAAAAGGAAGTGCCAAACCAATCCTATCTTTTATTTGGGGGAGTTTTAGTAATAGGAAGAAGGGATTAGTGATGATTAGTCCAATCATGTTTCGTTTTCAATCCTCATATTTCATGCTCAAAACTTCCAATCCACCACATTTACTACCGTGTTTTTGACCCATTCCCAGCTGCACGCGATGGCACCTTGCCATTGGGCACCAGAAAGGCTCCAATCCCCGCTGCTGCCAACGTCGCTGGGACCACGGCCCCCATCCGTGGCGCGCCCCGCGCGAAGGTCGCAGCATGGCGCAACGGGTGGCGGAGGCGGCTGGTCACGCGCCGAAACATGGTGCCGGTGTGCCGCCGGCGCCGCCGGCCGGGAAAAGCTGGAGATGGCCGCAAGAATCCGCAAGATTTGGGGTGGTTTTATCAAAGTTTTCCCCAAAAGGATCCAAAAGGTACAGTACGAAAAGGTTAGGTTGGATGGGATGGAGTGAACATTTTTTCATTTTCCCATTGTTTTTGTGGAAAAACATTCACAACAGAATGGTCTCAAATCCGAAAGCCTTCAAACATTGTTGGTTTGCATGGAATTCCGCATTGCAGTACTCAAGTTGTTCAGGATGGTTAAAGGTGACAAGACAATGCATTGGATGCATGGCAATTGAGGAACACAAACACCAATGCGAGTGCCACTGAGCGTCGCACACTTGTCTGGATGTTAACCAAAAATCAAAACACCAATTTTGCGGATCAACGTTGATCAAATCCATTTCATTTTCTTTTGTAAAATCCCTATCTTACATCTGCTTTGATTGATCAAATCATTTTGGTATGTAAAATCCTGAATGATCCCTGTCCGCCAAACTTTGGCACAAACATCGTCCAGTTTCCACCAACCAGTCTGTTTTGGCACATTGAATCCTATCATCCGGCACTGCATTTCATTCAAGTCCACCGCACGTTGTCCATCAACGAAATCCACCTCCAAAACAAAAAATAAAAACCCCTCAAAAAACCTAGGGGCCCGATATAAAAGTTCAATAAGCGATGCGTGTCCGGCGTGTTCCCCTGAATGGCCCGGGATACCATCCCGTACCATCCCCATCAAGCAGCAAGTTGTTGGAAAGCACGAAGCCTTCAGCGGCCAAGGCCCAGCCGGAGGCGCTGTTCAGCAAAGTGATGGCCACCGGCATGTCAGCACCGCCCACCTGCGATGGTCTGATGATCTGATGATCAACAGCCATGATGGCCCATGATCCATGGAAATCATGGTTGTTTCAATACTAAAATGAGGGATCCATAGCCAAAGATCAAACCTCAGGTTTTGTTTTTTTCGTGTGAATGATTATGGTTTAATTTTCGGAGTTGACTTGACGATGTTCTTGTTTGTGGTATGATATTGGTGAAAACTATTATGGATCTGGTCAACTTGATGATTTCGGGTATAACATCTACTATCATTTAGATCTTGTTGTTGTAGATGGAATATATAGTAACCTAATGTGAAATTGGTATATATATATATATATATATGTATATATATATATAGCTGATTTCTATATAATCCAATTGAATGGATGTAGTATCCACTTAGAACTCCAGCTTGGGGCTATATATAACTGGGGTAGATTCTTCGAACTGGAATGCAAACTTAAAAACTGGGATGTAAAATAAATATTATCGTGTGTGGTAAATGCCTTATTATATCGATACATCATAATATCACAGCCCTATCACAGGAGGGGTATTTTGTTCACGGAATCCCCGGTTGATGTCCACATCAAAATAGCTGGGAAATATGGATTCTCATCGCCTATAACATGTATTTAGAGGTTTTGATCCATAGCCAAAGATCAAACCTTAGAAGGATAATCAATGCAATTTTATTGTATTGATTGCATATTTCCATCCCCGCTTTGGTGTGTGAAATCTGTCTTCATCCTGGATCAAATGATGATAGTTTGTCAGTTTGTCCATTTGTCCGTTATCTTATCCATCTTTGACTATTTTTGTATAGAAGTCAAGTAAAATCCACGTGCTCACGTCTTTTCAGCATAATTACAATGGGATCCATGTTTCCTTCATTAGTTTCATCTGGTTGGTGGTTTTAACCATCTTGAAAAATATTAGTCAATGGGAAGGATTATCCCATATATGATGGAAAATAAAAGTCATGTTTGAAACCACCAACCAGTCATGAACGAAAGCAATCTTACGAACGTATTCTGGATTTTTGCCCATAGGCTCCAATATAGGAATCCAGAATTTATACAATCTGATATGGACCCAAAATGCAATCCATCACCTTTACCTATCTCCAAAGCTTCACCCAAGAGGAACTCACCATGGTGAAAACATGGGTTGCGGCTTCTCAGTCAGATGGTCATCAATCCATTTTCAAGCTTTTCGGCTTCAAACTGCATAGTTAGTACTTTTCAATCTGCCAGGTTTCTGGAAAATTGGGGGATCCTCACCATGCCATGGCTTCCACTCCGGGTCATCCATGGGATTTGGGGTCCCCCCTACCCCATGGCTCCCCACCGGACCTGCGAGGTGACCACCAGCCCCAGCCCCGCCGCCGCAGCGGTGCCGGCCAGCAGCGTGGAGACCGCGTCCACGCCGACGCCGCCGAGCAGCGAAGGGTCCAGGAAGGCCCAGAGGCCTACGACGGCGACGCCAAGGACGGGGTGACGGGATGGTTGGGGTTGGGAGGATCTTCATGGGGAATTCAGGACACCTGAACCATGAAAACTGCTATTTAAGTTTTTTGAACAGAATAGAAAGGATTTTAGGCAGTTCATCGTGATTTATATCGGTTTCTATTGTTATAACCGGTCTATCCTATCCGTTTGATATTTGAAGGGGAATTTGAGCGGTTAAATAACCCACCGCTTTGATGATTGTTCCAGCGTAAATCATAATGAATAACATGTCAAATCGCCCAACAACGAGAAATAACTTTGCTTTTGACTGAGGCAACTATTAGGCCTATGGCCTATGGTTCATATACAACCAACGTTGACCGACAATATACTGTATTTTATATCTGTTGGCCGTTATCATGTCCAGTGCGGATTCAATCATAACGTAAAGATGTGTTATCCATCAAACAGGGGCACATAATCACGGAAGTATGGTTTGTTCTAAGACTTCTAAGATTATAAAACATTTAGCCACTCGCAAGTGGCACGTAGCCAACGATCTCCCTGCGTATCTTTCCTCGACAGATATGGATGACGTATATATATATATATATATAGATGTTGAGCCAATTTAAGCAACAAAAATGGCGGATTTGATTTAACTGGCAAAGAAAAGATTCATTGGGCTGGCTTTTCTGGGAACATCCTCAACTGGCTGCTTTTTCCAGGTACAAATCTGGATAATCACTGGTCCCGTAAACCAATCTGAGGCAAACAAACACATGAAAGCGGACCAGTTCCCCAATGCTCTACAATGGAGATGTAAATCCACAACGGCCAACTATTGAGGCACTATAGGTAATATTGTCTATATATATATATATATATTCCAGGAATAATCAATGTGGGTACCTGAGATGCGAGTACCAGCGACTCAGTAAATCCGAAACTGATGAGAAACCAACAAACATGAGGATGTGAGGGATCGAAGTTTCACCAACAAATGCAAATGAGCCAGAATTTCATTTTGCCTCTGTCAGGCGCTTAGATACTAGATGCAGATAAACTGATCTTGAACACCGGAGCTGTCACCACCCTGGTTTGGAATGCCCCATGTCACTACGGCTCCATCTGCCAGAATGGCAGCAAAAGCATGGGATGCACCGCAAACCTGCTGCACATTCCTAAGCTGACCTTGAACGCTGGCGCTATCACCACCACGTGTGGAAGGCCCCATGTCACCACGCTTCCATCTTCCAGAATGGCAGCAAAAGCACCGTACGTGGCAGAGATATGCTGCACATTCTTGAGCTGATCTTGAACTTCGTAGCTGTCACCGCCGTAGTCTTGATCGCCCCAGGTCACCACGTTTCCATCTTCCAAAATGGCAGCGAAAGCACAGCCTGTGCCACAGATCTGTTGCACATTCCTGAGCCAACCTTGGACGCTGGTGCTGTTACCACCGTGGTTTGGATGACCCCAGGTCACCACGCTTCCATCTGACAGAATGGCAGCGAAAGCACTGGCTGTCCCGCAGATCTGACGCACATTCCTGAGCCGACCTTGGACTCCGGTGCTGTCACCACCATCGTCGGGATGACCCCAGGTCACCACGCTTCCATCTGACAGAATGGCAGCGAAAGCACTGGCTGTCCCGCAGATCTGACGCACATTCCTGAGCCGACCTTGGACTCCGGTGCTGTCACCACCATCGTCGGGATGACCCCAGGTCACCACGCTTCCATCTGACAGAATGGCAGCGAAAGCACTGGCTGTCCCGCAGATCTGACGCACATTCCTGAGCCGGCCTTGGACTCCGGTGCTGTCACCACCATCGTTGGGATGACCCCACGTCACCACGCTTCCATCTGCCAAAATGGCAGCGAAAGCTTTGGCATTGTATCTGCAAAAGATCTGCTTCACATTCCTAAGCTGCTCTCGAACGGTGGAGCTGTCACCACCAAAGTTTGGATGTCCCCATGTGACCACGCTTCTATCTGCCAAAAGCGCGGCAAAGGCAAATTCGGTTCCACAGATCTGCTGCACGTTTCTCAGCTGATCTCGGACTCCAGAGCTGTCACCACCATCATCTGGATTGCCCCACGTCACAATTCTGTCACATCCATCACACCACAAAGCAAACGCATTCCATGTTGAAGCTATCTTTGGCTGCTGTGCAATAGCAGTAAGGCTGCCTCCATCCTGAAACTCAGAAAATTGAAGAGATTCCGTTGGATCCAAAAGACGGCCATCAGCTGTGACAAGTCTCAGGAAAGGTTGCTCCAAAGACAGCTGCGCAGCTACTTTCAGGTCAGCAACAGTGCCAAATTGCGAGACCGATATTGCTTCGCGCCGTCCGCTTGGCAAGCAGACCTGGAGTTCGATGGAATTGTCTGCCACCTGACCGCTCGTGGCTTTGCGCTTCATTGCACGGCTGCAAAGGTGTCTGAGCAGCTGAACAAATCTAAATGGGAAAACCATGATGCAAAATCTACATGTTCATTGTTTCTGGAAACATTGGCATTTTTACCATGCTTTTCATTTTGTTTGCATGTTTTGTTTTTAATGTGTATATCTACAATATATTTAGAATTTTATGCATCTACTCTGCATGCCAATGAATTGAATTATGAATTATTCAAGTATTCCTTGGATGCTATAACTTTCAAAGCAAATGCTGGTCTTGGATTGCACTACGGCTGGTTTCTACCATTAGTCCCTGGAAACCCAATCGATCGGATCCTGATGGACTGACAAGCGGCAATTGTCACCTACAAGTATCGCTCGCGAAATTTAAAGACTTGAGCCTCAGGATCGTCATTCTTCAATTAGTGGGGTACCTCACCTCATGGGTTGGACAACCCAATGGATCTTCAAACATTATATGGGTTTGTCCAAACAGTGGGGTACCTCATTGCATCCAATGGTTGGTGCCCCACTGTTTTTCCTCATTCAATTTGTGCGATCTTGGTTCCCCTACACTGGACTGATGACCCACAAGCATGAGAGCTAGAGACCATGTTTCTAGTTCGGTTATACAAGAATCCCAAACCTGACAACGAAGGTACCCACCCCGCTGTGCACAAGACCTAATTTTGGAATGTTACGCTCCAACCACCTTCAATATCTCCAGATAAACACCACAAATATCTCCTATCCTCAAAGACTTTTCCAACGTTTCTCTTCCCAGGATGAGTCCTGCCTGCTGCGCAAGCCGCAGCCAAAGAACCCGAAAGCACCTTGCTCGCATGCAATGCCAGGGACCAAGCGGTTTTCAAGTAAAACTATGCAAACTGGGAATTTCCTTTCAACAATGACATTTCAATTGTGAGATTTTCCTTCGAACCATGTTGGATTCTGGGTCCACAAACCACTTCAGATTTGTTCACCCCAAGCCTTTTGTCCACCTGTACGGGTTGAAATTGTTGTTCGATAGTTCACTAGAGGTCACTTGCTTGAGTTGTCGGGAAGACCAATGAAGTCTCTGTGCAAAAACAGAAGTTTATACCACTTGCCACCTACCGTCAGTTACCTTGGTGTGGAGCTTCTGTTAATCAACTGGGGATTCAAGCTCTCTCTGCCCACATATTATACCATTGAATGCTAAACCACTCAGCATCAGTGGGAAATCCGTCAGACTGAACATCATCCCATCCATCAAGCCACCTACCTGAACATTCCAGAATAATCAAAACGATTCAAAGGTCACCAAAGTCATGATTTCCCCAAACTTAACTAGCAAGAACTTTAAAACTGATTCACAAGTGAAGATGTTCAAGCAAATCATGGTTCGCCGTCAAACATGTTTCAAGATCATCAAATCGGATGCTCCCCCTACCTCAACGGACATATTCAAACAGTTGACCATTTCCTCAAAAATAGTCCGATCATCTTTCATCTATGAACATCAAAACCTAACTTGAAATTATTTTGTCCAGGGTATTCCTAGGCCAACCAACATATTATAATATATATATACTATATGCTGGATTATGATGGATTATATCACCAACAAACCTGGTCCTTCCTAATTTTCATATGTTTTGGGACACCCGGGCCCCCAACCCCAACTGGCGGCCAGGGCACGTTGCCGCCAGGCACCGCTGTGTTGCCACCCACCAGGCCTTGCAGCTTGGCGAAGGCCACCACGGAACCGGTGACCTCGGCAGTTCGACCCTGGCAGTCATCGGGGGTTGGAACGGTTGGAAGACTGGTGTTCACTATAAATTTTCGTGATTTTCAGGGTCTATGTTAATTTACCTAATGCCAAGTTAGGATTAATAATCCCCGCGGTATTAATCAACCTCCTCTGCCCCCCAAAAAAAATGTAATTTAAAAAAAGGTGGTCCCCCCGGATTAATAAACCCCCCCGATTAAAAAACCACCAGTGCTGAAATCAATTTTTTATCCAACAATTTTTATTTCCAATTCTATTTATTTCCAATTTGTTTTTACCTTTTTTTTAATCATCATTGTTATACTTAAGGTTTAAGTTGATCATTGAAAAATTCAAAAAATGACTATTCCCCAAATGATCGATTTCTAATTAAAATCTTTATAAAAATCATCAGTTTGGATAGCTCCCAAAGGGTACCCCCCATGAGCCCATGTCCCCCATTAATAATAACCATGGTTTGCCCCCGATTAATCAACCACCTTTCTGATCCATGAGATTTTAACAAATCCAATAGAATTCAATTAAGATCTAATTGACGTAAGCCATATCCAAATTTTTATGGTTCAGAGTTTCTTATTATTAAGGGGTAGTCAAGAAACTAGCCAGAAGGTACCCCCCTACCTACCTGGTGGGGGGGGGGGTTGATTAATCCGATGTTGGCATTAGGGGGTATTTCCCATCAAAAAGGCTTGGATAAATTGAAGCAACACAGTATGACTGTCTAAATGCTGTCTTTGTCCCAAAGAATCAAGACGATCTAAGCACTTGAAACAAGCATGTATAATGTATTCTTGTCTGGTCCGAAGTCATGGAAAGGCGGGACGATTGGATCAAACGTGGTGGGGTTAACCCAGAAGAATGTAGTTTTCGTTATAAACAACATGTTTTTACCATCAAAAATGACCTTGGTGTGTCTACATACATCGATGGGTCATGTTTGAGAGAATCGGGGTGGAATAATGTGAGACATATATCAATAATATACCATGCATAGAGATGGTCTGGAGTTGAAACTGTGAAGAATACATGCGTGGCCATCATAAATCTGCAGGGCACAAGTGCACGAGTAATTTGAGGTATGGTAGCCCCGCATCCCTTCAAATTCATGGGGATGGGTCTAAAATGTTCATGCACCGCCTGTTTGATATTTTTTGGATACACCTATCATGACCAAGACTTGTGGGTCCCTTGTGGGTCCCTTGGTACACCCCATTTCGGCGACCGTGTGAACACCCACATCACCGCGAGATTTCAGCCTTTTCTCCACACAGGATGAGGTCGCGAAGCCCGAAATGGAGGCGTCTGAAAGGGGGGTACCCCAAAATCTCTATAGTGACTCTATAGGGTATCTGCAGTATCCCAACATCTCAGAGATTCCCAGTTGCATGGATCAAGATTTTCCCCGTAATTAAATAGGGCCACAAGACTTGGGGCTTGGGGTATAGCCCAGTTTCAGACACCAAGTTCAAGAATCAGCTGCCCTGTAAGGGCATACCTTTCACTGGGTCCCAGCCCTTGCAATCATCGTAAAATCCAAAGCTGCCGTCGGCTTTGCGACAGTAGGTGTAGACGCAATAGCCTCAAGGGCAGTGTAATGAAAATTATGACGTAGCCAACAAAATAACCATCAATAATTGGGATTTACCCGTCCACAATCAGGTTTCATCCTTGTCACTACAAATGAAACTTGTTTTGAGCTCTGTACTGCTCTGTATTTACCCGACCTCAATACTATCTGGGGTTTGAGGAGCAACCCCTATAACGGTGGAAGAAGTAGGCAAGAACTACCATGCCAAATCCTTTGACATTTTAGTTTGACCCCACATAGGAACAGTCAGAATCATTTTGGTGCCTGGATAGCTCAAGAAAACTTGTGTGGTCTGTGGTAACTTAGACTTGGCCTCCCAAGTTTCTTATCATTTAACAATCTGCATCTTGGAAACAAATACTGGCATCTTATTTGGGTCTATCATCCAAAATATGGTATCAAACTGCTAGTTCTCACTGAATCTCCATAACATTACAATGGGGTGGCCCGGGTCACCATTTTTGCCGCCCAAGCCACCAATGTCACAGAGTGGTGAGCCCATCGTGCAGGTCCAGGAACCGAGGAGCCGTCCCTCCTCGGGCGTGGGCGCGCCACGTTTCCGGCCTCGCTGGTCCACCTTTTCCACGTCGTCCCAGGTCATGTTCACGTCCCAGGTGCCGCGCCTGGAGTTACCTCAGTTTCTGGCAACGTGGAGAGCAGGTGTAAAACAACTAGCCGTGGGGATGGCAGGAGGATGGGCTGGATGAGGGACTATACCTGCCCTAATGGAGCAGCTGCAATGATGTATCTTGAATCATCAAACAAATTGGTACAATAAGTCTGGTTCGAAATTGGGATACCAATGGGCCTACATATTTGCTAATGCTTAGACCCTTCCCCATTTTTCGGGGGGTCCAAGAATTTTGAGCCATACCCACATGTATGATCACTGGCATCCAGCCACCCCCCCAATAGGTAAGTCACCCCCACAATAGATGGTGAAGATTCGCCGTTGGTACTCGATGAATCCTTCATGGACCCTTACTATTTAAACGGGTCAGCTGAATGGGTGCTGAATAGCCATGATATACAGCAAGTTGAAAAGGTGCCATTTTGTCCTTTGAAAAACCATATGGAGGGACTTGCCAGGATCGACCCGCGATTTGATTTTGGCAAGGCGTGACCAGAACATGTTCAAACTAATAAACTGTACAACCCAGACAATCCATTATCATGTGACTGTCATCCATGCTCTTTCTACCTGAATGGCTGGTGCTTGGAGTAAATGATACCAGTGATACCTTCCATACAATCCGCCCAGCTGCAGAATTCCTCCGCCTTCACGGTCATGGCCGCGAAGTCATGTTGCAAGGCACGGTAGTCGTCAGATAACCAACCGTTCTGATCGCAGTAGTGAGAATCGAAGGTTCGCCAATGCACTGCAGGTTCCTTCCTGTTGAAAGAAAAAGGCAGATGATTGGGATGGGAAGGGTGCCAGATTCACTGCCAGATTCACTGATGCTTAACAAAGTACATCTGTTTCTAGGGGTATATCATGTTTATATATATATATATTATTATAATATATATTATATTATTATAATATATATATATATATATGTATTATATACATATATTATATTGCAGTATATCAGTATTATATATTCAAATATTGCATGCATACAACAAATGCCTAATATTCACAGACACGCGGACACCGGTAACATCCCTTCACCACGGCCACGGGTGGGTCCGGCCTAACATCAATAGACTTGGCCTGATAAAGGACGTCCTTGTTGTAGAGAGTATCTGCACACCTGGAAGGAACATTACCCTCTGGTAATTTAACATAGCTATTGAAAATGGCCATTTATAGTGGATTTTCCCATTAAAAATGGTGATTTTCCATAGCTATGTTAGTTCACCAGAGGGTAACACATAGACAGAACGCAGTGGTGGTGGTTGTGGTGACACCCTGGTGGTTGTGGTGAAGATGAACACGTCAAACAGAAATGCTGGTGATGATGGGGACGATGACGATGATGATGACGAGGATGAGGATGAGGATGAGGATGAGGATGATGATGACGATGACGATGATATAAATGGGCTGATACAGTAAATGGCCCTAACTAGAGTCATCTAGGGTCATGTAATAGCTGAATGGTTCTGCCATCTTGGACTGGCAATTCCTGCTCATATGTATCCCATCCAGGTTGGGCCCCGTCTCAACGCCAACAACAATAGCTTCATATACTGTAAATACCTGTAAATACCCATTATATCCCATGTTGATCGTCCGATATTGTCCGAATCTCCCAATGTCATCTTTCCAAGGAACACCTTCTGCGAATTGAGTTCACACCAAGCGGATGTCTCTGGCTGATTGCCATTCGCAGCTCCTGGGACAAACACGTCTGCGTGACCATCCCCAACTTGGTTACAGTAAAGATCACAGATTAGCAATTGCTTATCAACTTATCAATCGCATAACCTCAGGTGTCACTTCTAAGCTAAATTGACCAATCACTCACTAGCTACCAGTACCCAGTACTGTAGGTTAGTGGCAGTGCTCGCTCCCTCAATCAATGAACAAAGTATCTAGATTCTAGATGCCCTGCATTCCTGCATTTGCACTCTCCCACACGCCTTTATCATGTTTCATCATGATTTTAAGGAATTGCAGGTTCAAATCCGTAGATAAACCAATAAATGCATCACCATTGATTGCAATTAAACACTTGTAAACCTGTGATGTGTGAAGGACCCAGAATTATTCAAAAAGTCTCTTTTTCCTTGGCGGATCAACTTAACAACTCAACTTTGCCCAGGATCTTGTGAACTGAACCAGCGGCTTCTTCTTATTCTCCGGATGCTCAAAGAGGCTCTGGTTTCCGCAGTCGCTACGTTGCACGTAGCGCCGGGAGCGGTCGGTGCGTTCGGGTAAGGGCATGCCACAGAGCGAACACAACCTGACGGCGGGATGTCCAGGATCCTGGATGTAGGGTTGGCGCCACTGGGATGTGCAAAAGTGGTTGATAACCCAGGATAACCCATACATTATATCATGTATATATACGTGTATATATATATATATATCCATATATATATATGTATAATATATATATATATAATTATGTGTGTGTGTGCATAAGCGTGTGCAACCATCTAACCCACAAATAACTGGGGTTCTCCCCACATCTCAATTGGTGATTCCCCCCTTACATCCACATTTTGCTGCACTCCCAAGCAGGGTTTTGAAGCTGCACTCCGCCCGCCTGCCGTTCACATCAATGGACACGTCAACTCCGGTTTGGTTTCGCTGGATGTCTGATCCAGTCCCTTTCCTGGGATCCGCGGCATCTGCTGAACACCGAAAGTTTTTTTTTCTCCTGGGGCACGTGTATTACTGATAGAGAATTATGTACATAACCCAAAAAACATGCAAACAAAAAATAATACAATCAAACCTGAACAACTTCAAAGAGTGGACACCAACCATAATCAGTTTGTACCAGCTAGCCAATTCCTGCATGCCATACTTGGCCATGTGGCACTGTGGATATACTCAAAAGTGGCTTAGAAAATGAACCATCGCGTCTACCTTTGTCTATGTTCAATATCATGACATATGAAAACATGTATCTCATGTTGAAAACATATATCAATTATCATTTGTTTCAAGTGGATAGCCCCTTTTGCAGTGGAACATCATTGTTCCAGGGTGCCTGGACAAAAGATAACCAAAATAAAAACCTACGCCACGGCCCTTCGATTTTCTGTGAAGCTTCAGTGCTCTCACTGCCGTTTGCACCAGGTTCTGACTACCCCCTGCATCCAAACACGTCTCCGCAGCAGAAAGGCCGTGGCTGAGTCCAAGAAGAGCAGCCAGGGCAGCAAAGAATCGCTTCATGACACTACCATTGGGTGTTAATCATGACTTCTGCGCTCATCACTGATGCTCGCAAAAAGTGAGGGAGAAGGGATATTCATCACATCTGAAGTGCTCGTCCAACTCAGTGATCAGAATTGGCCACATTATATAAGTATTGCCATTGCAGACGTGCTAAATTCTTGAATGTGCAAACAACATCTGAACATATTTGACAGGTTGGATTATCCATTTGGATGCGGGCAAAACTCTTGAGTCCTCTGCCATTCTCTGCCCAGAATTCTGGAAAGCATCCAGCCTTTGAACATCCAAATTAGAACTACCGAGCTATCAATGGAGTGGTCCGTGAATTTCCTGGTTGACTGAGCCGAAAAGCCAGAAAGATGCGCTATCGGTCTGCTTAGGGGCACACTGCAAGAGCTTCTTGGGTGGAGGTCAGTGCAACATTGGTAAATAAAAACCCATTCAATCTAAGGCTTCAAATCAAAACAAATCTTTCGGCAAAAAAAAAATCGACCAAGTATACTAAGTACCATTATACTAAGTACTATATGTACTATTAACGTAGAAATTTTGTTTGTTTAAATTAAAAAACATTACATACGTTGACCTATACATTCACGAACCATTTGCCCAAACGTATCAACCTGAACATGTCGTTACAACCTCCGGCAGTCCCACAGCATGGGACCTCTTCCAGTCCCTGAAATTCCATGGGGGTTGAGCTTCCACATCTGTCACCGGTGGTTTCAACCCAATCTGAAATATGTTTTTTTCGTCCTTGGGGATTGTCATCCAACATTAATGTTGGAACATATGTTTCATGTTTGATTTCTATAGATCTTGATCACAGTGAATATCTGTCAATCAACGCTTGGTCTATGCTCAACATCATCAAACATTCACCCGATCCGTGGATGATCTGTCGAGGCGACAGTAGACCAAGTTTCTACCATGCGTGATTCCCCCACTGATGGGTGTTGGTTTGTAAACCCATTCAAGATCATTCAAGTATAATGCTATAGAATACAATAGTTACTATAGATATATGATAGATCAACCATAAATCCAATCGATCACCCATCTATGATACTTATGTTATTTATGTTTACCAACTTAGCTAAGTATATCGTATGGGGCACCAGCTTGTAGCAGCGACGATTCCTTGATATTTCTTTTTGGGTGCAAATCAAAATTATCAACCAATGGTTTTATTCCAACAATGACACATTTTGTGGGTCAGTTGGGAACCCAATTCTCACCATTACCTTCATTATTCCAGCAATAGTGGTAAGTGCCCCTTTTTGGACCGGTCCGCAGATCTTTTCTGGGTCCAAACCTTCAAGATCCTTCAGATGCCCTGAGGCATGCCTTTCACAGGGTCCCAGCCCTCGCAATCATCGTAGATTCCAAAGCTGCCATCGGCCTTGCGACAGTAGGTGTAGGCGCAATAGCCTCAAAGGACCGGGGCTTCTGGACGGAAATGCCATGGGTCCCGGCCACTGTGGCGCCAGACGTTCCATCATAATGAGCGTCAGTGTGGAAAACTGGGCTGGAAGAAACAATCAAAATACCTCAACAAAAACACCCATGATTCCTGGATACATTATATTGCTATTATATATATAATTATATATATAACTATTATATGTAGCTTAAGAAATTAGTGGATTTCGTCATGGATAATATATATAAATCATAATAAATGAAACTAACCGAACGAACCTGAAATCAGGCCGCTCCGGGTTAGTTCCCCCATGTTACCCCTACCTTCGCATCATTCCAGTGAGGTCACAGTGTATTCCAACCCCTCCATCTGTGCTGAATTCCTGGGTAGCTTCCCTTGATCCCTTGTGGCAAGCAACCAATGTCGCAGAGTGCTGAGCCCATGGCACAGGTCCAGGATCCAATCAGCTGTCCTTCCTCCAAGGTGGGGCTGCCCCGGGCCTTGCTGGGGTAGTAGACCTTCACCATGTCATCCAAGGTCATGTTTTCCCATACCTCACGTCTCGAGTTACCTGAGCTGCAACATACCAGGGGCAGATTTGTGGGCACTTTGATGTGACATGCCCTAAATGGGCACGTGAATGGCAGAATATGCAAAAGTCACGAAAAACAACAACCCCCTAAAACTCTGAAGTAAGCTGCAGAATTCATCCGCCTTCACTTTCATGCCCTCGAAGTCGTGTTGCAAGGCCCGGTAGTCATCAGTCAACCAGCCATTCTGCTCACAGTAGAGAGGGTCGTATTTCTGCGCCACTGGCTCTAGCCTCTAAGGCTGCAGGATGCGCCACAAATTGCGTCAAAGAACAACATTGTCTTTGACACCTAAACCTAAACACCAAATGTATCCAAATATGGTACAGAAACCATCCACAAGTTATGCCATGTATCCACCTGTGGCAGTATTTTAAAACCAAAACACCAATATTGGGTTTCATCATTGTCTTCACCGTATCAGTATCACAAACACCAAAATTGGTGACCGTTAGTTGACCTCGCCAGTTTGCAACCATGACCCGCGATATGCTTGAGACAGGCATATTATGCAATAATATACATCCACTGCCCAACATGGGCTGGGCCTGATATCAATAGACTTGGCCTGATAAAGGGCGTCCTTGTTGTGGAGGGTATCTGCGCACCTTGAATCATGTCAACTCAAAACAGAAAACAGTCTTGGAGGCTGCAGTGACCCCATATGAGGTAAGAACATGATAGTGCTGATGAAGGTGATGATGACGATGATGATGATGGTGAAGAGGAGGAGGAGGAGGAGAAGGATGAAGACAATGGTGATGATGGTCCATGGTGATGCCGAGGAGGAGGAGGAGGAGGAGGACAATTTGAGGATAATAGCAAAAAATGGGTGAGGAGTGGTGATGATAATCATGCTTAGCGAAGGTGCCCAAATTGGAGATGAAATTGCTTCATTACGCATCGATACATCTTCTACGCTAGGCCCCAGTTCTAACTGAAGCCCCAAACACCGCCGATCTCTGGGCGCCCATCATCGTACTACACCGTTTGACAGCACCGGGAGACCTTGGATAACCCAGTGGGGATAGATCAACCCAGCAAATTTTCTTCAGGGCGAAGATTGTGTTGGTAAGGATGGAATTGGAAGATGGTGGAGATATGTGGAGATAGAAACGAGATTAGAGAATTTCGGTGATGAGAAACGATTCAACAATGGGTTCAAAGTCACCGGCCCCATAACTGCATGGGTTTGATTAGATCATATTGGATAGTTAATAGTTAACTCCCCAGTTTTACTGATAGTTAATTGGATTTAGGATATATTAAACTTAGTTCCCAAAATAGATAACATTGGGTTTAAAATGCTGGATATAGTTATCCCCTGGTAAACTAACATAGCTATTGAAAATGACCATTTATAGCTGATTTACTTATTAAAAAATGTGATTTTCTATAGTTATGTTAGTTTACCAGAGGGTAATCCTTTATTCTTGATGGTTAAATACCCAGAAGCGAGGCACACCTTCTGCGCATTGAGTTCACACCAAGCAGTGGTTTCGGGATGAGTTCCATTGGCAGCTCCTAAGTCAGACCCGCGTTAAAAGATATCCAAAAAAAATACAAACAATTGGTGAATTCAAAGATACATTTGGTGATTTTTTTGGCAAGATAATGAAAAAACCTTGAGAATTTCATAGAATGTCTATCTTTTTTGGAGGGTTGCTATAACACTATAAGTACTTGGGGATGTCCAAAGTGTAATCCCCAAATTTGGGACAAACTGCTTATCTACCACGGAAACTACGGGTATCACACACTTGTCACTGGCAAGCATAATCCCATTTTCAGGAGATACACAAGTAGGATATCCGGAATGGAAGCTGCCTCAATCAATCTACAATCCACAATTGGTAATTAGATGGATCCCTTGAAATTAGGTACTACTAAGTCTACTAGCAACTAGAAGTTCATTATAGTTCATTCATGTGCATGAAAATCATTGAAAATCAGTCCCTGACATTTGCCGATTGGACTTGCTCAGCAATATCATTGATTCAGTCTCTAGTACATATCATGCTAAGTTGTATGGAATCGTTGTCAAAGACCAATAAATTTCAGCGCAGCAAATGAAGTGACAACCACTTAATTGTGCCCAGGATCTTGTAAACTGAACCAGCGGCACCTTTAAATTTTCAGGATGTTCAAAGATGCTCTGGTTCCCGCAGTCCCTCCGTTGCACATAGCTGCGGTCCGACCCGGAGTCCGTCAGGCGTTCGGGCAAGGGCGTGCCACACATTTCACACATCCTGCCGTTCATATCGATGGACACCTCCGTTCCGGACGTCCGGTTCCGCTCCATGGACGACTCCTTCCTAAGCTCGGTGACTAAAAAATCCTGCAATGGGTAAACAAGCAAGATTTATAGAGACAGTATAGGGAAACCAACTTCAAAGCCTCAAAAAGTGGAAACCACGGCTAACCATGGAAATCAAATCGTACCACCTACTGTAGCCGCTATAGCCGATTGTTGTATTACCTCTGCCTTGCTCAAAAACTAAGATTGACTAACTTTTCTACTCTTATAAGTATCAAAGAAAAAAGTGAAGACCCGTGCAATATTGAATCAAAAATGGATCATAAACGAGATCAAACCAAAAATGAACCAAACATGAGCAAAAAATATGGATCATCTGGCGCGCCAGGCGTCAGTGCTCGTCCGTCTTTCTGCATCAGATTCAGATCGCATCCCGCATCTGGACACGCGTCGTCGCGAAGGACTTCGTCGCTCACGGCACCACAAAAGGCAGGTCCAACGACCAAGGCAGACAGAAGGGTGGCAAAGAACCGCTTCATGGCACGAAACTTGGGTAGCAATTGTTCATGACGCTCGTTTTGGTTGTTAAGTCATAGCCCACTTAAGATTGTTCCCGCAAGAAATGGGATATTCATCCCGCTCCGATGTGCTCAATATAGAATTGGCCAAATGAATTGAATGGTGAACCTCAAAGCTAGAAATCGTTGACTGGTTGGTGGCTTCAACATGCTAGAAAACACAAATCAACTCGGATCATTATCGCAAGTAGGGGGTAAAACATGAAAAACATCCAAAAGGCCATCAAGTTGAGGATGCGGATTTCAATGCCACAAGCTGTTTATGTTTTGTGTGATGTTCTTCCTGCTCTAACACGTGATGGCAAAGCTTCGAGTCCCATGTCCCAAAGACAATTCTCTGCCATCAGCCCTCAAAGTTGTAGAGCTGCATCATCCATGCCGCGATCAGTGGATTTCCCAAGTTTCAGTACTACACCTTTTTGGGGTAACTTCAGGAAGTTCGTGGCCTGAGGTCGGCGTTACAAATAATTGGCAACTTTGACGCAGCATTCACCAGCTGTTTACAAAGACATGTCAAATTGAAACATATGGCTATGGATCAATACCTATACATACCATTTTTAATGGAATGAACATCCATAAATCCCAGCTATTTTGATGTGAACTACAGGGGTACAAGGTTTTGACACACTGCCACATGTTGTGCCATTCAGCACTGTCCTATTAAACCCATTCAGATCTCTCACAAGTCACCCGCAAAAAGTCATGATGCGGCTGCTAAACTCTGATGGGTTACTTTGAGCCTCTCCATTTCTCATGAACAGTACCCTCTGGTAATTTAACATAGCTATTGAAAATGGTGATTTATAGTGGATTTTCCCATTAAATAATTAAATATGGTGATTTTCCATAGTTATGTTAGTTTACCAGAGGGTACCTAGAACAACAGATGTAGGAAAACCCATAGGATCCATGTATGCCATATATGGTAACATGGATCCCATCAATATACCCCCAATGTGAGCATATATACCAGCACCATGGATCCTATGGGAAATGTAGGAAATGCAATCACAAAATCAAGAGATCAAATTCTTCAAAGCAGACGTTTGCCCTTCACAGATCGTGCATATTTTTTGACATGCTCAAACCCTGCATAGAGCCAGTATGTTCTATTCCAAAACAAACAACTCCAAACCATTCAAACCAAATTAAACCAACACCCTAGAACCCTAAAACCCTGCATCCTAGAAACATCTAGTCACAGATCTCTTTCACCCTCTGGTGACAACTACATTTACATAACATGGTTTATCGACGTAAGACGTAAGACTTCAGCATCAGTGAAGCTCTGCTTTCGTGCCAATTCTTGGGATGATCCCTGAGGCCATTCTGAGGGGTCGTTGGTAACCCACTTTTGATCCATGCCGTCTGAGGACCATGCGTATAGTCCTATATAGTCCTATTTAGTCCTATATAGTCCTATTTAGTCCTATATAGTCCTATATAGTCCTATATAGTCCTATAGTGTATACAGATGTATACAGCATGTATACAGCATGTTGCAATCTTAGTGATCAAGATGTGATATTTGAACCATCCGTAAGTAACCATCCCCAGATCTTTTCTTGGCACCGCTCCAAAGCTTCAAAGTCCTGGACCGCTCTGCACCACACAGGTGGTCAGCTGCCCTGCAGAGGCATGCCTTTCACAGGGTCCCAGCCCTCGCAGTCATCGTAGGTTCCAAAGCTGCCGTCGGCTTTGCGACAGTAGGTGTAAACGCAATAGCCTCAAAAGGACAAGTTCTTTTCTGGGCAGAAATGGCAAGTGGGTGCAGTGGGTAAACCACCAACCACTAAGCCTGCTGCACACCAGTGTCCATTTCATGTTCCCTTGCGTTTCTTCAAGCATGTCTACTCAATCTGATTTGACATTGAACTGGGCTATTCACATGGCCATCCCGAAAATATATAAACGCAACTAGGTAACAATTTAATACATGTTTGCTTTAAGTGTACATCTAGGTAAGATGGATAAACCTCTTTAAAACTTCAAAACCCTTAGCAAAGAAGCAGCCGACTCCAGTAGGGACGCAAAGCCAAGGGTCCAGAAATGGATGAATCAATGATGAACACAAATAGTTTATATTTGAAACTGTCAAGCTGGCTGTCAAGCAACACGTACTGGCTGTTTACATGTGTTTACGGTTGCAGATCCACCACCCGTTGAGGATATATCCCAGGCTGCTTTCCCTGTGGCAAGCAACCAATGTCACAGAGTGCCGAGCCCATGGCACACGTCCAGGACCCAACCAGCTGACCTTCCTCCGGTGTGGGCGTGCCACGTTCCAAGCCTTTGCCGTAGACCTTCGACATGTCATCCATCGTCATGTTTTCCCATACCTGACGCCTCGAGCTACCTCGGTTGGCAGGGTACCAACTTCTAGCCAGTTTCAACGCTACTCTGCTATTCTTGTGCTAGCCCCAATCCAAGTACGCGTCACCATTTCCTACCAAAAAACACCCTTGTACAGTAATTTGACCGTGTGAAAATGCAACTATAACTGGATTAACACTGGATTACAAAGAGAAACGAACACTCTAAAACACAACTTTGCCCGCTCTGGCAAGAACTGAGCTGCAGAATTCATCCGCCTTCACTTTCATGCCCTCGAAGTCGTGTTGCAATGCCCGGTAGTCATCAGTTAACCAGCCGTTTTGGTCGCAGTAGAGAGGATCGTATTTCTGCGCCACTGGCTCTAGCCTCTAAGGCTGCAGGAGAAAATCACATCATTGTGCCACAAATGGCGCCAGAGAAAATGCATTCTGTTTGTGACTGTTCCATCCTACATCTTGAAACACACGAGTCCATACAAATCACGTGTATCATTATATATATATATATGTATACATATATATATAAATAGCTTATATTATATTGCTTGTACTATATATATATATTATGTAATATATATATATATAACATAAAACATAATCTATATTTATATAATATATATAATATAAATATTATAATGTATATATATATATAATAAATATTATATATATACTCTATATATAATATAAATACTATATATATATACACAAGCATCCAATTTGTGTTCGCAACTCGCATGTTCTTTCAGCGCTCCCTTCTGGCCATGGCCTGACATCCTTGGACTTCGCCTGATAAAGGACATCCTTGTTGTAGAGGGTGTCCGCGCACCTTGATACACCCATTCCAAGAGCTTATGATGCAATCCCGCATTAAAGCGATTCCCCTTATGGGATCACAAAGTGAATAGATCCATTACATTTTACCATGGGGTCCAGGATGGCATTTAACCATTGGGGGAAAGGGATTAACCATGGGGTTAAACACCATCAGTCTTATGGGTGGCATTTATCCATGGGGTCCTATCATTAACCAATATTTTTGATGGTGTTGATAGGAGTTGAGGGTCATTTTGTCACACATAAGACTGGTTCCAACATCTTTAAAACACAAACCTGCCTTGATCAAAATCCCCAATTGCACTCGGAAAAACATGTGCATGGTGAACTTCTAAAGACTTAATATCAATAGCTAATAGACAATTATGTGTATCATCTGAGTGTGCTTTCAAAATCAATTCACTATTGGACAACTATTTTCACTGCGTTATAAGTTATAAGTGTCTCCATGATAGTTCCAAACATTTTTTACGACCCACTTATGTTGCTCAACATCTCCTCCATCCTGCATTTATATTATATATATATTACCTAAGGTTATAAGCAATTAACATCCCCTATTTTGGTGTTTCAGCAATCGTTACATCAAAGCACATTCGCACTCATAAACCAACAGATTCCCATCAGCCCCAGAACTGGTTCAAGGATGTTCAAGGGAAGTTCAGCATGATGTGGTTTCTTGTGAACCCAAGTTAATCTTTGGATATATTTGAGCGGTTCTTCAAATAGGGGTACCCCCAAATCATTGGAAATTCGAGCATTTGTGTATTGCAAGCCATGATCTTGAGGATGCCCCATTTCAAGGACACACCCGATGGTGCCAACAGCATTTTATGCCAGATAAATGCTGGTAATTCTTCAGGCGCATATCATCACCATGTCCCCATCCTTCACATCTTCATTTCTTGTAGCACCATATCCCCATTTCAGGCGGTGCATATCGTGCTATCATGTCTCCACCTACCTCCACCTAATATCCCCCCATCCTTTATCCCGAAAACACCAAGGAACACCTTCTGCAGGTTGAGTTCACAAAAAGCAAACGTCTCGGGCTGTCTGCCGCTGGCAGCCCCTTGGTCACGAGTTGTGATTCATGGAAACTAGAATGACCTACAGTACTTGTGCTTAGTAGGTACTGGAGGAATGCCCCATAATAGCGATTAACATCTATTAACATTGATTGACATCTATTAACATCTATTAACATCTTAACATCTATTAACATCTATTAATGACCCATAATAGTACTATAAACTATAACTATTAATCATCCCCTTCCCCCACTCCCTACAAAGTACTACCAAGCACCTTGGTACCATGCTGGCCTCAGTTTCTCAATACATCGGACAGCACCATGATCCAACTCATCCAATTCCACAATGGGAAGTATACCCTCCAGTAAATTAACAGTTCGACCCTGGCAGTCATCGGGGTTGAAAGATGAGTGAAACCTCTAAAAATGGGTGATTTTTTCAGGGTCCAACTGTTAATTTACCAGAGGGTAAGATGTATTTAAATCCACCACCCAAAACTATGCATCAAAAAACTCTGCCAACCAATGGTTTTACAGTAAAAAACCTGCTCAAATAATCTGAAACTCATGAAATTTAAGGGGTCCCCGATTCTTAGATTCTTGGGACAGACCGGTATCTCAAAATACCACGGTTTATTCATCAGTTCTATACTTCACTTTGATTGCTAAAGAATGAAGAACAAAACACCCAAATATCATGTTGTTGGTCAGAAATAATATTCCATTAAATGCCCATGATTCCAATTTAATCCCAATAAAAAAAAAAAAACAATCATATACCATTATATATGGGTTTGTCTGAAAACAGGCTACTTCCAAATTTGGATGGTTTATGATCATTTTCCCTTATGAACAATTGACATTTTATAGGTATCCCATTTGTCAGACTCATATCTATCCCAGCTGACTTTAACTACGCGGATTGCCTACACACCCATATGATCATTTTGACCAGGTGCTTCTGAACTGCACCAGCGGTTTCTGTTGGTTCTCAGGATGCTCAAAGAGGCTCTGGTTCCCGCAGTCGCTCCGCTGCACGTAGCGGCGGGAGCGTTCCGTGCGTTCGGGCAAGGGCATGCCACAGAGTGAACACAACCTGGTGACAGAGCAAGACTTCAGGATTTATGGGAATTTTTAAGCAACAAAAATGGTGATTTCATGGGAATACAAGGGAATATCATGGGGATATAATGGGACAGGATATGATATAACTGACCAAACAAATGCTTTAATGTGGACAATTCAATGCCATAAACCCTATCATTTGGGGATGGTAAACATACCACTCATTAGAACAGTGATTCTTGGGATGGTTTTTTTTCACCACATGATAATTCATTCACCAATCCCCGGTTCGTTTTCAATGGAATTTGGGCCGAACTGCCACGAGCCCCGGCGATGCCCTGGGCCTTCCATTCATATCTGTGGACATATCAAGTCCCACCGGCGCGCTGGTGACGGTGGATGTTCCCAGGGGCACTTCCAAGCTCTTCCTGAGGTCGGAGGAGGTCGGAGTTAAACCACCAGGAGATGATGATCCGGATCGAAACGGTATGGCATTTGTTTCCAATGCCATTCCTGTATGTATATATATATATATATATATGTGTTTGTAATAAGTATTATATACATGTATGTATCGTAATATATAAATATACATATATATACATATACATATATTTACATATATATATATAAATACACATAAATACATATATATATATATATATGCAATATACAAACATATGTATTTATATATATAATCATATTTACATATATATATATATATACATACATACATATATATATATACACAAAAATACACACATATAAACATAATTACATATATATATACTTAAATATATAAACATATATATATAAACATATATATATATATATATTTATGTATGCAAACATACATATATATATATAAACATACATATATATATATACACATAAACATCTATATATGTAGTTATATATATACACATAAACATACATATACACATATATATAGTTATATATATACCCCGGGAAACAATTATTTAGTAACCAATCCACATAGTGTTTATTTACCCCACCACCTACGGTACAGTAGCCAGCTACTGTAGGATTCAAAACTTGCAGTTATCCCATGTTATCCCATTGAAATAGATATAGATGTACCGGCCATTGAATAGTGAGGGAAATGGGGAAATGGTAACTTCCAGCAAACTCCCTCTTTCATTTTTTTTTCAAGCACCCCTTTGTACTTCCACTTCTATGGTTGTCTCAGTTACAAGTCAGTTATGACTGTAGTAACCCGCATGCCATAAACCTGCATACTTGATGCCAGCCATTATTATATAACAATATTGAACATAATTATATAATACTATCAAACCCAATCATAAACAATTCCCAATCTATCCAAATGCACCATTAGAGTCCATTAGAATCATTGGATGAGAATTGGTTAGTATTGAACATATGTATTATGCAGGCTTATGATTGGGTTTGCCACATGGGTGGCGGACAAAATTACTTAGTACTCGCAATGGACATGGCCTATAAGTGGGTGGTCCCCTATCGGTTGTGGAGGTTTGTACTTCCATGCTATGTGTAAAAAATAATCCCCTTATTGATGGGTAGGTACCCTTACCCCACCATACCATAAAAATCTGGTCTATGTAATGGTGGGGTGCGGGTATTCTTTATGGAATGGATCTTTTTGTTGGGGCTATATTACAACTGGACATACAAAAAAATCTGAAAACGGTCCCTGGTTTAATTGCCAACATGTGTGTCCGATGAAATGGAAAGCTACATATGTTACATAATTGACACTCCCACTGACTCCCACCTCATTACTTTTTTATTATGGTAACCATATTGCAGACCACATAAACAATGTTAAAACAATAACAATTCTATTATGGAAACGCCGATTTTAGGGCTAATGAGTCCAAAGAAAAGTACAGCTTTATATAATGGATTTACCACCCCCTTTTATGAAATGGATGGTCCAACATGGCACCAAATCTCAAATGTTTTTGCTCAATTTTCCAAAATGGGCCGTTTATGAAATGATCCCGGTTTTTCCAATCAAGGGGGATGTAAAAATAGGGTATAGGTAAGTAGGTGGTCCCCTATCGGTTGTGAAGGTTTGTATTTCCATGCTATGTGTAAAAATAGGGTATTGGTAAGTGGGTGGTCCCCTATCGGCTGTGAAGGTTTTCACACAAATTTGATCATCCCAAGTCCACTCCCTAAACTGTGAGCCCAGCTTCAGCGTTTTCACCGCTTTCTGCACCAGGTTCTGCCCACATTCCGCCTCCAAACACGTGTCCTCTCGAATGACTTCGTCCTTCACAGAAAGGCCATGTCGGAGCATCGCAAGGGCCAGCAAGGCAGAGCATCGCTTCATCGCAGCGGTTTCACCGTCACGAGGGCTCAATGATTCCCTGGAAAAGTTGGGACGTTTTGGTAGTCAGGTGTTCATCCCACCACCGTTCTCCATGTTGAAAGCTGATGGATTTGGATCCACAGAAAGCACACGTCAACATCCTCAACATGTCACCCTTGAGAAAGCCATATCTGGAGAAAGTTTCGATCAACCCTGGAGATGTATTGACATTGCCTTTTCAAAACAGTTCAGGTTTCCTGATTGAGCAGAACAGAACTCCGAATTCTCACAAAAAGCAGCAGGAGCCCTTGTCACGAATCTATATACCTCTTTTTGAGGGATAGGACACCGATGGCGAATGGGGCACTCTCTGCAAAGAAAGAGAGCTTACCATTTTAGCTAAACGATGGGACACCACAGCATTGGAACTGATTCATTTCAAACTCATCTTTCGGTGCCTGAAATCCATTCCAGTTTTTGGTTTCTTCAACTTCCATTTTTTGCCTCAAATTAAGCGCTCTAACTTTCCCAAGCAGACTTATCAACCCTCCTACAATGTGGTAAAACCATCATAAACATCCCATTGGGATCGTTTCGACAATCCTTGTCTATCAATACTGAAATTGGGAAGCCATGGCACTTTTACGACTACAAGGTGGGGTTCCCCCAGTTATAAGTTGGTTTCATTTCACGCCATTAACTGAAGTTACAACATCTTCTGATCAAGTATCGAAGTTCTGTTCACCAACTCAACTAATCTAAATCAACTAGAAATAACACCAAGTTCACACGTTTCATCATGTTTCTGGGTGATAAAAAAACATGTGAAAAACTCGGTTTTCCGGTGTTCCCATGGCCATCCCGTGGCCATCCCGTGGCCATCCCCGCCATGCTCCCGGGCCGTCAGCGCGCCGATGCCCGAGGCCAGGTACTCGGAGGTGGCGTGCATGGCATCCGCCGTGCCCGGGTGCTGCAGCGCCGAGGCCACCGCGGTGAGGGAGGCCGCCAGGCCTCGAGGCCAGGGCAGGGTGGTAAGGGGAAGCCTTCCCCGCTGGCTGGTGATGTTTGGATGTTGTGAGTTGTATAAACCCATAGTTTTATCAACCCAACTATAGTTTTATAACTCCAATATTTGTTGGAATTTTATAAACCCAACTATAGTTCTATCATGTTACATCATGTTACTATCTGTATAAGTGGGTCTAGATACCTTGTAGTTAGATGGAAGTTGTTTATCTTTGTGGAATTAGAAACTTACCAAACACTAGCGATGAACCAACCAACACTGACGATGATGATCTCACCGAGAAAAATCCATGACAGTTGGGAGCCACATATTTCCACTAACTCTGGCTTATGGCATTTATATATATATATATATTATGCACCAATCATCTAGAATCTCTATATAATACAGTAATACATGACAAGTACTAGACCATATATATATATATATATGTATATATATATGTATATATATATATATCCATATATAATATATAAGAATTATATTATACAACTGTCAACTTATGGTCACCATCCAACCCTCCTTTTCGGCGGCACCGTGCCACCTACCAGCGAGTGGAAGGCCGCCACCAGCTGCGGAAGTGAGGTGATCTCAACCTGGTGCATGAAGCGCATGCAAAATCTGTATGTAGATATCTTGTTGGAGAATCTATGTATATCAAACGGGTTATCTATGTATATATTTGGTATACATGTATATCATAATATTATATATATATATACATAGTTATATTATGATATATGTTGTATTCCATGATGTACCATTCCAATAAAAAAAAAGCACATAAACAAATAACAAATCTACTGAAATGGTGATGAATTGCCTTTATATATGTCTTGAGGTTGTTCTGCTATAGATAGTTTCTGAATTAGTCACACATCACTATGAGTGTTTAATGACTATGATGATTTGATCACCACGATTGTTTTGCTTGATATTGATTGTTGATTGTCACTAGAACAGTTACTGACATTCTCCATTTTAATAATGATCACTAAAACAACAATACAGTAAAAACTAAATGCAAAATAATGACTAGCATATGATGATCATACTCGTCCCATGTGTACAAGTGTGTGCATGTCAACGTCATGAAAATACCTTGAAACATCAACCACATAATAAAAAAAAATAATAACAACAAAACAATGTTTTGCACTTTCGGTGCCTCTTTTGGGGCTATAATCATCCAACACCAGGGGGTTGCACGACCCAGCTACATGGATACATTACAAACTTGAAGCATCTAGAAACGTCAAACAAATGATAGAAACACATGCAAAATTTCAAGGCTCTATGGACATTCCCTGCAATGATTGAAACCTCAAACGATAGCCAAGTTGTTTTATAAGTGGCTTGATTGTTAGGTTTCTGGTCGATATAACGAACTAGTTTGATGGAGTCCACCAACAAACATAACTTCGGGGCACTACTAAGAATCATACTAATCGTATAATAACACAATTTCTTAGGATAATCAACATCATACTACTCATAATACTCACCGACAACAACATGAATGTGCCTCAGGGGGTCATGGCAAAAATGTAGGGGAACTGAACCCATAAAATCCCCAGTAAGTTCGCCAAACGGTGGATGAAAACCCAACATGATATCCCAAAAATAACCCCTTAATGAACCATTTGAAACTTAAAATCTAAAATATAAACCATAAGCAAAGTCCCTGACCTGCGAGGCGACCGCAATGCCCAGGCCGGTCCCTGCGGCCAGCACTGTGGCCTCACCGTGCGAGCAAAGGTGGTGATGATGATGTGTCCAGGACAAAAAGGTGGACGAACATGTGGATCCAATGGGAAATCAATGGGAAAATAATGGCACGCAATGGGCAACGTGGTCTTGAGGACCCAAACATGTAAAAACACATGAAGAACATCTGTGGTTTTATCATGTTTGGTCAAGCAAAATGCCAAACAAACAAGAACGAAGACGCGAATTTGCGTTTTCATCCATAAACGAATGCGAGGTTAGAGAGGTAGCTATCCAAAATGAAGGGATTGACCAGCCCATTAACTTAACTTCAGTGACCAATCAATCATGGGGATAACCGTTATGGGTCGCAAGTCAAGACTCTCAAGGGTAGAAACTCATTGGATTGTGATTTCTTCAAGGGTGTTTTCCCACCATGATAGCTTCGCCCGCTATAGCAGCCATGGCCGATCCCTTCAATGAGCTGGACATCTGTTAGGACCCAGGAGGCACATTCGTTTGCTTATCGTACAAATAATAAAAAGTCCTAGTCAGGTACCTATCCATCCATTTACCCAATTTTACAAATTTGATATTTCAGGAGTCTGCCTAAACATTAATTACCCAACAACAGACTTTATCTTTGCTGTGCCACATTGGTGATATTGTATCCCATGAAATATCTCCAGAAATGGTTGGTTTTATCCCCATATTATACCCCACTTGCTAATCAACATTAATTTGCCCATAGCTATACCCTGATTGTGTATATGTGTAAATATATATGTGTATATATATATATATTATATTACATATATATATATATATATATATATATATATCATTGCAATCCTCAATGCGTTTCCACGTATTCAAGGTCCAGCTCCAAAAAATATGAGTGTATTGTGATATATATATATATACATATATATATAATGGATGTAAATAAAATGCATGTATATATAAATATAAAATTATATTTATATATTTATGTCTATATACAAATATATATATATATACATATATATATATACACACATATGGGTGATATTCTTACATGCCAAGATTCGTATACATAAATGTGTATGTATATATATATACGTATAATTGTATATATATATATACATATATGTATACAATACTGCAAATCCCATTATATACCCTTGTTCAAGAAAATAATGGCCAGAAAATCTGCCGGCCTGCCAGCGTGCTTTGTGGATGTTCTTGTGATACGTCTTGTGATAGCTGTAGTTTCACCTATAACTGCTCCTTCGAAGGGTTTTTGTTTTCGCTGCCCCCGCATAAAGTCTAGTAAATAAATAGTATAGTCAAATATAGTATGTCTAGTATTGTCTAGTATAGTCTCGTGTCGTCTCGTGTCATCTCGTCGCGTCTCTTTTCTCAAGCTACCTAGCACTGACCTTATTTACATCATCACTGTCTCGGTGGCCATTGTCACCATCGCCATCATCACCATCACCATCATCACCATCATCATCATGACCATCATCATCACCATCATCATCATCATCATCATCATTATCATCATCAGGTTCATCTTCTTCTTCCGGCCCGCCCCTGGGATGCAGCATTTTTCTGTTTTTTCTCCACATTTTACGGCCAGATGCGGCATTTTCCATTTTTGTTCACATAGATTTCCTGCCCGTTCTAGGCAGAAGTACGTTCTAGCCTGCCGCTCTTGTGCCCAACACTTTCCATCAGCACCTGCCACTCCTGTTTTTCCTCTGCACTTACAGCCTTCTCCGCATGCACTCTCACAGCCATGCAGTTTGCACCTACTAACTTCACTCCTTTCTGCTTAATCTCCAAGGTCTTACACCAGCCAGTTTTTACACAAACACTCTTTCACACCAAGCACTTTTTGCAGAAACCCGCTTTTACACCAACCAGTTTTTACACAAGCCCGCTTTTACACAAACTTGCTTTCCCACAAACCACCTTTTACACAAACCACGTTTTTGCACCAACCAGTTTTTACAAACCATCTTTTAGACAACTTAGTTCTTGCGCAAGCCACCTTTTACACCAACCAGCTTTACACAACCCCTTCTTTGGGCCTGTAGGCCGAAGGCAAGAGGGGCGGCGGAATGCCGAAGGCTGTAAAATATGTTGTTGTCCAATTATTATATACCCAATCAGTCATAACTATGATCCCAATTGTATACCCATTATCTCATTACAGCATGATGATCTCTCATTATTATGCCCCTATACATTGTTGGTTCCATCGCCACAAAATACCCGACAAACCAACATACACTTACCAGGAGAATCGTATATTGTTTGGCAATATGTTTGTATAGTAATAATTACAATGGGTGTGAATGGTGCATCCTTATCAATATTAATGACAATTACTCATTATCACTAGTTAGCAACTAATTAGTGACAAGAATTAATGAAGGATTCTGCGTAATTAATAGTATCAGTTATAGTTAAACCTAAACAATGGTAATATCCTCAATCACCCATGAATTAGTTTTCACTATTAATAATGGTCACATCAATGACACACAAGATACCATTATCACCATTACTTGGTGGCTCACCCCACGTACTAAATATTTTCACTTATGGATCATTTCACTATTATCATAATATAGAGTTAATTACATTCTAATAGTTACAGTATCACTACTGATAATCATGACCTATTAATTGGCTACCCAGGCGCAATCTGCGTAAGCACCGCCGTGGTGGCACCGTGAGCGTAGGCCAGGCCCAAGGTCCCTCACGAAAACTCTGTCAGCCCCAAATGTTGACCCGGTCAAAAGGATTGATCCTTGGGATGGTTAAATATGGTAAACATGGGTAAAATATAGGGAAAACATAGGTATATATATATAGTACATACCGTTATTATAGAAGATATTCAGGAATTATCGGAAAACCGATCTTCTATTTGAAACGGGTTTGGGCGCGCGGAAAAAGCCATTTCAAATAGAAGATAAATTAATTCAATGACCCAAAATGGTAGAACATCCGGGATGTTGGAGCTACTTTGGCACTCTCCGCAACCATGGTCCCGGGAGGGTCCAAACTAATATCTTCTATTTAAAAACCATTTAGACCAACACCAAAAGCACAAACTTGGTGGATCATCCAACCGAATATCTTCTATTTAAAAAATGGCTTGTCGCATCTCCATACCGTTATTATAGAAGATATTCAGGAATTATTTCAAGTATATAGAAGATGCATTTTGGGGGTGCGACCAAAGGCGTTTCAAATAGAAGATATTGCAGAGTGAAAAAGTAGTTCAAATGCCCAAAAATCCAACAATAACTGGAAAATAATGCCAATATCTTCTATTTGAAAACGGGATTTCCCTTCTTTTGGGCTTGTGATGGGAACCTCTGGAAAATAATGCCAATATCTTCTATTTGAAAACGGGATTTCCGTTTTTTTTTTGGCTTGTGATGGCAACCTCTGGAAAATAATATCAATATCTTCTATTTGAAAACGGAATTTCCGTCTTTTTTCTGGGCTTGTGATGGGAACCTCATTTGAAAACGGGATTTCCGTGTCTTTTTTGGCTTTTCTGGAAAATAATGCCAATATCTTCTATTTGAAAACGGGATTTCCGTGTTTTTTTTTGGCTTGTGATGGGAACCTTTGGAAAATAATACCAATATCTTCTATTTGAAAACGGGATTTCCCTTCTTTTGGGCTTGTGATGGGAACCTCTGGAAAATAATGCCAATATCTTCTATTTGAAAACGGGATTTCCGTTGTTTTTTTTGGCTTGTGATGGCAACCTCTGGAAAATAATATCAATATCTTCTATTTGAAAACGGAATTTCCGTCTTTTTTCTGGGCTTGTGATGGGAACCTCATTTGAAAACGGGATTTCCGTGTCTTTTTTGGCTTTTCTGGAAAATAATGCCAATATCTTCTATTTGAAAACGGGATTTCCGTGTTTTTTTTTGGCTTGTGATGGGAACCTTTGGAAAATAATACCAATATCTTCTACTTGAAAACGGGATAGAAGCGGGACCCGGCCGAAGGTACTTTTGCACTCCCCTCTTCGGGGGTCACCCGGGTCTGGGCGTCAATGTTCTATTGATTTTATTTAAAAAAAATCCTGCAAAAAATCACAAAAAATGGCAGTGGGACAAAAGAATTTCAAATAGACGATATTGCAAACATCATCCCAATGTTGATGGTTGCCAAGTGCAAAAGTAGTTCAAAAGACCAACAATCCAACAGTAACCCCTTCAACATTGGGATGATCTTTGCAATATTTCTATTTGAAAACTGTTTTTCATGCATTTGGGATCTGTCGAACTCATGGGGTTGCAAATGAATATCTTCTATTTGAAAACCATTTTGTGGAACTCTCTGGGTTCCCTCATGAAATATTATCTTCTATTTGAAAAGTGTGTTTCAGTACTCCTCGAATATCTTCTATTTGAAAAATAAATTGCATTACAGATTATCTTCTATTTGAAAAGTGGTTTTAATCACCATCCCTCAATCAAAAAAGCTAAAAAAAACCATGGTTTTTGAACAGTTTTTCACCGACCCCCCCCCCGAAGGCGAGAGTGCCAAAGTACCTCCGGCCGGGTCCCACTTCGGGAGGTACTTTGGCACTCTCCTCTTCGGGGGGTCACCCAGGTCCGGGCGTCAATGTTCTATTGATTTTAGATAATTTCCCTGCAAAAAACACAAAAAATGGCAGTGGGACAAAAGATTTTCAAATAGAAGATATTCCAAAGATCATCCCATTGTTGAGGGGTTTATTCTTGGATTTTTGGTCATTTGAACTACTTTTGCACTCTGCAATATCTTCTATTTGAAAAGCGTTTGGCCGCACCCCCAAGAAGCATCTTCTATTTGAAATAATTCCTGAATATCTTCTATAATAACGGTATGTACTATAAGTATGGTAAAATATGGATAACATATAACGAAATGAGCAAACCATAGACTAACCCTTTAAAAAGTCTTGTGTTTGACGTTTTTATGTTTTTTTTTGTGCGGTTTAATATTGCAAAAAGGTGACCTTGACCAGTTGTCCGAAATGTGTTTTTAGCCCGGTTTTGAACATCCAACATGTGGTTTTAATAAAACGATGCAAACTGTGATCTCGCCTGAACATCTTTGAGAGGAACTGCTTATGAATCCTTTCCCTCACATGACAAAATCAAAATTAGGTTCATCAAACCAAAACAACTCATAATTGCAGGTTCATGACAAAAAACATGTGGAACAGATTGGATAAGTGGTTCATGAAGTTACTATTCAATACTATGCAATACATCTCAAAGATTGAGCAAAAAGAAACATATGATTTTAAGCAGGGCAGGATGAGTGCCTTATATATATATATTAATATATATATATATGTCCCAATTCATGGCAAATAAACAAACCACTTATCTACCATTGTCCAAGGCTCACACAGTTTAGTCAAATACATCCATCATGTCACGTTTTTGCAAACACAAGTAAGGCATTCACCTATTCGATTCACCAATGTTTACACTTTACCCAAATGAGTTTTTTCAATAAACCCATGGGATTTGGGGTTACCATGGATTCCCCATAATTTTCATGCAAACCCAACTCTTCGAAAACCCAATTGGCGATGTCATTCCCCACCTGTCAGGTGAGGGTTGTTAGATTTTATGTCAGCTGGCCTCCTTCTCCTCCTCCGACGGACCTCAACTGCAAGCTCGTGATCGCAGTGGTCCCAGCCGGACCCGAACAGCAAGCCCAAGATCAGAGTGTTCCCCGCCGGGCCTCAAATGCAAGCGCTAAATCGCAGTGGTCCCCCGCCGGACCCGAATGCAGCGCCAGCTTGGACGCATTTGTGGACATCAATGGTCACCTGGATCAAACAGAACTCCCGCTTTTGAAGCAAGTACGTAGCACCAGGTCCAAGACGATTGGTGCGTGCCTGGCTGTCGGACATCTTCAAGCCAAGCTGATTTCTGGCCCATTTCATCTCAGCAAGAAACGCGGAATGGGGAGGGCCATGCAACCTGCTCGACACCCAGTGGTCTTTCTCTCCGACAAAGGAGTACCACGTCGACAATGTGGACATGTCAGCAGAAATCGGAGTAGAATCACAAGGAATGTGAGGACAGCAAAAGACTTCGGCACAGGCAATGCTGCAAGTCGCACAATCAAAACTGCATCAGCAATCAGCACTTGCCACCGAACATGCTCTGCCATTCTGGTGGAGTGAATGAACGGGGCTACAGGAGGAGCGGGGTTCTGGGGGGTCGGCAAAGGTATATATCAAGATGGTAATTGTACATGAAGAAATACATCCTTGGATTGGATAGAAAATGTTTGAAATCGGGCTATGTTGGGGATGTCAATGACATCACTATCATAATATGTTTCAAGTAAATAGCCTTTACTCTTGATAGCAGTTTAGTATTGCATGTGTAAGAGCATTATTTGCAATAGGTACAGTATATTGTCTTTTTAGTAGATAGCTATAGTTTATCACCTTTACTCTATTGATGCAGCATTTCCCAGAGCTATGTTGAATCACAGAGGGGGTAAGCTATATCACCCACATTGATGTACTAATATGAATTGAAATGGCGGCCAAGAACAGAAAACAAAAAAAAACAACAACTTCCAATCAGGCGCGCCAGCCGGCCGGCTGATTCCCATTTTTTTTTTGAGCTTTGGCCAGTGGCATCATTGTCTTCTCTTCTTGCTGCGAACGGTGATGGCACACAAAGTGCTCAAACGGAGGAACGAAACTGAGCAAAACTATAATCTTACAGAATGTTCTTCGTAGAGAAATTCGGGCATTCATGGCAACGCAAGCTTGTCTTCAGAAGAGAGTAAAGGGGTCTGCTGTTTGTGAACTACAAGTAACATTTTGATTTTTACACGCCCTTAGATTTGTCCCATTTGGTTACTTGAACGCTTCCTCCTACATGGACCCATTTATAACGTTTCCGCGTAGATGGACCCATTTATATTGGTAATTCCGCGGAATTGATATCACCGACTAGACGGGTAGTTCAATCCCTATACACGAAACGTATCCAAGCAGTTCAAGATTGTGCTTTATATATTACCAAGGAATGCTTATGATAACTAAATCTTTTCACTTTTCAAAGATTGTTGTTAAGTTTATGTTTTTGTCGGAAACTATCTTATAGCCAAATATAGCCAAATCTCAATCGTCACATAGTGACGTAACACAAAAACGTGCTCTTGCCGGCGCCACAAACTGCACAAAGAGCAAAGGCAGGACCACGTATAGACACTATCCATGCATGAACCTGGCGCCTTAGAACCTTTTGTGGAAAACATTGGATCAGTTGGAAAACGTAAGATTGCAATGCCGATCATGTACAATAAAATGTAACGAGCAATTGAAATACTGTACAATAAAATTGTCTCCGACGTGACCCAGAATTTTGTGGAAGCTTGAAAAATGTCTGCTTCAATCCGATGCAATCCTTACGTCAGCCATGTAAAACCATACCGAAAGCAACATACAGTTTAAGGTGCAGATAAACCCCGTCGCATTGAAAAAAAAAACGTAGCTCACACGGAGAAGGCAAACTCAAAATTCAGGTGCATACGAATACGATGCCTCTAAAAGAATTCAAGCAAGACTTACGTGATGCTTTCATAATCAATGAAAAATAAATCATTTCTGGCTGAAGTTTGACTGTCAAACTCGTGTCAGCAGGAATGCGGATTCAATGTCTCATACCCCCGGGACGTGGCTTACAATGGGATATTAACATATAGTAACAGCCCGTCAAGGGGCTTAGAGAGGTGTGGTCACAACGTCCAGGTCTCCCAAAAAGAATTGGTCGCCACATTCAGTCTGAGTGGTCACATCCTGTCGATGTCAACTGATCTGCTTCTTTGTGACCGCCTAAGTTGGCCAGATAGGTTTGATCCGACAGGTAGGCTGATGCGGGTAGACGGAGATCTAAATGTTTAGAACTCTGATGCAAATTGACAAGTCTCTGCCAAATTGAATGCAATCCATCTGGAAAAAAAAGAGACGGCATTGATACTTGTCATGGGATCTTCACAACAATGAGGAAATAACAAGTGTTGTACTAGTGATAAAGTAAAAGTAGCAACAGACTCATGGTCGTCGCACTCCTCACACACACACCTTTTTGAATCCATAGGCCTAATCGTAATTATGCAATTGGTTTGGCAATACTGCCTCTGATATAGCAGCTTGTGGCCGCTGAGCTTGGGTCCGCCCTCTAGAAACGGATCCGAATGAAGACATACCTAGCTTATATAGTAAATCGCCAGGTTAACCTTTCGAAGACGAGAAGAAGAAGAATAAGAAGAAAAAAAGAAGAAGAAGAAGAAGAAAATAAAGACCAAGAAACAGGTGGATAGAACTACGTTGAGTGCGAGTTGATCTGTTCTGAATGGTCTTTAGCTGCAACATCGTAACAAAACGTGTGATATCAATTCTAGACTTAACGGTACAGATTCCTGCGTGGATCATGAGCCATTCACATCAATCAACTATCCGGTGCACTGAATCTTACATGCAAATCTTCTAGTTGCAAGACATCTTGCAAAGATGCCACTTGCTCAAGGAAAGTGAGGCTATGCTCAAACGTCCAAATCTGGCCTTACAGCACATGGACCTCCAAAAGAATCCCAGCACTTCAAAGAGGCAATGATGTCCACACATGTATATATATATATATATATCTATCTATCTGTCTATCTATCTATCTATCTATCTATCTATCTAATCTATCTATCTATCTATGTATCTATCTCTCTCTCTCTCTCTCGCTCTCTCTCCCTCTCTCCCTCTCTCTCTCTCTCTGTTTCTGTTGAATTGTCGGAAATTAAGGTACTTAAAGAAATGGTGAACCAGACCGGCCCCTCCTGATGAAATGTTGGTCTGGCATGAAAATTGGACGAACCAGGTGGCTGAGAGTGTCTCCGTCGCCGTTCTCGGTCTGCACCGATGCATCCTGTTTCCCTTTTCCTCCTGTGGGCCAAAAACGAAGTCAAACGTGGGCCACATCACATGCCGGAGACCTGTCGTAGAAGCACCTAGATGTCATATACCTATGTTACTCAATCTGCGCAATAGATTCCGAAAAGAAGGCCATGCCGAAACAAATCTAATTCCATGATCCTGTCCCAAGCCCGACCGATCTGTGCCAAGGCACGGTGCTTTTCGTAGATCTTCGAGAGACACTTCCGACGTTCCTCTGGCCGATCGGGGCCGGGAACTTCCTCATCCAGGTACTTCCGACGTCTCGACGCCGCCGGCTTCTTCATTGGGACGGAGGGCAGCTTAAGCTAAATACAGCAGTTCGTGCATCAGCACCAGTCGGAGTCGGATGCAGTCGAAAAACGATCAAGGAAAAATCATTAGCCATCATGTTTGTACATATATATATATTACACAAATTCCAATGTATTACTATATGTTTGTGATTTATTTTTCCCCTCCACATTCCACAATATTCCATAGATGAATCATATATGTGTGCCCAACTGTTCGACGACGTCTGATTGGCCTTGGCCAGTTGCAGGCGCGATCCGCGGATGGATGAGCTCTCGAGCCGTTTCTATGACTGGGGGTCCGATCATGGCCAGTTATGCAATGGTGAACAGACACTTTGCATATATCATATATTGTCTAAAATGTGCCTCAATGAAGCCATTGATATACAATATCTGAAAAATGTGTATTTCACCACCTCTAGCCCTGCTACTTCCAGAGCCCTGCTGATTTGCTTCTCTGACCATTGGCTATTTGCATGCTACTTGCCTCGAACAGGATGAAGCCTGCTGCTACTCACAAAACTTGGAACCTCACAATCGACAGCCACTCACACTCTGCGACCTGGAATTTGTTCGGCCGTGCAAAGCCTATGAAGGCCACAAAAAAAGTGGATTAGATTCATGCTGGCATTGCTGTCAGCATGACACAACCGAACTGACTCCTGTCAGTTCCACCCGCCCACTGTGACTCTTGCAGTGGCACCCACATGGACTTTTATGTCAGAAAGTAGTGCGCGTCAATCAAATAAGAAAAAAATAGCCGTCCGAATCACATCAAAAAACTCTGCCATGGGGATCATCTTCAAGAACGGGTGGTGCAGGCAGCAAAATCTCTGCCATGGGATCATCTTCAAGAACGGGTGGTGCAGGCAGCAAAATCTCTGCCATGGGATCATCTTCAAGAACGGGTGGTGCAGGCAGCAAAAATTCTGCCATGGGATCATCTTCAAGAACGGGTGGTGCAGGCAGCAAAAATTCTGCCATGGGATCATCTTCAAGAACGGGTGGTGCAGGCAGCAAAAATTCTGCCATGGGATCATCTTCAAGAACGGGTGGTGCAGGCAGCAAAATCTCTGCCATGGGATCATCTTCAAGAACGGGTGGTGCAGGCAGCAAAATCTCTGCCATGGGATCATCTTCAAGAACGGGTGGGGCAGGCAGCAAAAATTCTGCCATGGGATCATCTTCAAGAACGGGTGGTGCAGGCAGCAAAAATTCTGCCATGGGATCATCTTCAAGAACGGGTGGTGCAGGCAGCAAAATTTCTGCCATGGGATCATCTTCAAGAACGGGTGGTGCAGGCAGCAAAATCTCTGCCATGGGATCATCTTCAAGAACGGGTGGTGCAGGCAGCAAAAATTCTGCCATGGGATCATCTTCAAGAACGGGTGGTGCAGGCAGGCAGCAAAAATTCTGCCATGGGATCATCTTCAAGAACGGGTGGTGCAGGCAGCAAAAATTCTGCCATGGGATCATCTTCAAGAACGGGTGGTGCAGGCAGCAAAAATTCTGCCATGGGATCATCTTCAAGAACGGGGTGCAGGCAGGCCATGGGATCATCTTCAAGAACAGGGTCTCTGCATGCAGCAATCATCTTCAAGAATGGGTGGTGCAGCAGCAAAAATGGGAATCTCAAGGGTGGTGCAGGCAGCAAAAATGGGATCATCTTCAAGAACGGGTGGTGCAGGCAGCAAAATTCTGCCATGGATCATCTTCAAGAACGGGTGGTGCAGGCAGCAAAATTCTGCCATGGGATCATCTTCAAGAACGGGTGGTGCAGGCAGCAAAAATTCTGCCATGGGATCATCTTCAAGAACGGGTGGTGCAGGCAGCAAAAATTCTGCCATGGGATCATCTTCAAGAACGGGTGGTGCAGGCAGCAAAAATTCTGCCATGGGATCATCTTCAAGAACGGGTGGTGCAGGCAGCAAAAATTCTGCCATGGGATCATCTTCAAGAACGGGTGGTGCAGGCAGCAAAATCTCTGCCATGGGATCATCTTCAAGAACGGGTGGTGCAGGCAGCAAAATTCTGCCATGGGATCATCTTCAAGAACGGGTGGTGCAGGCAGCAAAATCTCTGCCATGGGATCATCTTCAAGAACGGGTGGTGCAGGCAGCAAAATCTCTGCCATGGGATCATCTTCAAGAACGGGTGGTGCAGGCAGCAAAAATTCTGCCATGGGATCATCTTCAAGAACGGGTGGTGCAGGCAGCAAAAATTCTGCCATGGGATCATCTTCAAGAACGGGTGGTGCAGGCAGCAAAATCTCTGCCATGGGATCATCTTCAAGAACGGGTGGTGCAGGCAGCAAAAATTCTGCCATGGGATCATCTTCAAGAACGGGTGGTGCAGGCAGCAAAAATTCTGCCATGGGATCATCTTCAAGAACGGGTGGTGCAGGCAGCAAAATCTCTGCCATGGGATCATCTTCAAGAACGGGTGGTGCAGGCAGCAAAAATTCTGCCATGGGATCATCTTCAAGAACGGGTGGTGCAGGCAGCAAAATCTCTGCCATGGGATCATCTTCAAGAACGGGTGGTGCAGGCAGCAAAAATTCTGCCATGGGATCATCTTCAAGAACGGGTGGTGCAGGCAGCAAAAATTCTGCCATGGGATCATCTTCAAGAACGGGTGGTGCAGGCAGCAAAAATTCTGCCATGGGATCATCTTCAAGAACGGGTGGTGCAGGCAGCAAAATCTCTGCCATGGGATCATCTTCAAGAACGGGTGGTGCAGGCAGCAAAAATTCTGCCATGGGATCATCTTCAAGAACGGGTGGTGCAGGCAGCAAAATCTCTGCCATGGGATCATCTTCAAGAACGGGTGGTGCAGGCAGCAAAAATTCTGCCATGGGATCATCTTCAAGAACGGGTGGTGCAGGCAGCAAAATCTCTGCCATGGGATCATCTTCAAGAACGGGTGGTGCAGGCAGCCTTTTCTTTCGTCGAACGATAAAATGGAATGGCTGCCATGCACACAAGAGATCGGTTCTCCTTTTATCCTTGAGCACCTGCATGTTCTTCTCATCGTCAAACACATTCTTGTAATGTTGTCTAGCCAATAGTGATTTACTATTGGAATGCTGACCACCCCCCTGACTTGTTTTAAACAAATATTTTATTTAGGGGGGGTTTACTATTAGGCAGCATACATTATACCACATCAATGTCGGCTTTTGGAACTGAATCCCTTCGATTATCACCCCAGCACCGATCGCATGCCCACGTAGGCCGGCTCCGGAACAGCAACCGCTGGATGAAAGTGATCCTATAGCCGGACCTCGGCCACAAAGAAGTTGTGAAGACATATCAGATATAATGCCAGAAAAAATATCAGAAGATATGCCATATACATATGCCAGATAGAATGTCAGAGAGAAGAACATATGCCAGAAAGAGTGCCAGAATAAATGATTCAAAAGATGCCAGATAGAATGTCAGAATAGATGCCAGATAGAATGTCAGAAATAATGTCATAATATGCCAGAAAGTATGTCAGAATAGATGCCAAATAGAATGTCAGATAAAAAACGTCAAAGTACATGCCAGAAAGAATGTCAAATATTGCCAGATAGAATGTCAGAATAAAATATGTTATGTGTATTTAATATATATATATACGTATATAAATACACACTTCCAAATGGTATGTCAGAAACTATGTCACAATAGTGGTTCAGGGTGGGGATCACTCGAAAAAAGTGTTAAGTTGCTTATTTGTTAATTTTGGAAGGCAGCAATCGTTGTCCCTAAACTATTTCGGGTGTGGAATGCAACAAGCGTTGTACCAGAATCCTTCAGTGCACAAAACGTTTCTTTCGTTTGTTTGGTGAAAACCTGGTGAACACCTGGTGAATTCACCAGGTTTTCACCAAGTTTTCACCAGGTTTTGGCACTCACCAAGTTTTCACCAGGTTTTGCAAATTCACCAGGTTTTCACCAGGTTTTGGAAATAACCAGGTCTTCACCAGGTTTTGGAAATAACCAGGTTTTCACCAAGTTTTTGGAAATTCACAAGGTCTTTTACCAGGTTTTGGAAATGCACCAGATGTTCAGAAATTCACCAGGTTTTCATCAAGTTTTCACCAGGTTTTGGACTGTCACCAATTCAACCCAAATTTCACCGTAAAACGCATAAATTTCACCAAAGGAAAAGGACAAATGCTTCTTTGGGTGAATTTTGGAGGTGTAAAACGCTCTTTTGTTTGTTTTGGTGAAAACCTGGTGAATTCACCAGGTTTTCACCAAGTTTTGGAAATTCACCAGGTATTGGAAATGCACCAGGGTTTTCTTCAAGCTTTGAGCAGGTTTTGGAAATTCACCAGGTTTTCACCAAGTTTTCACCAGGTGTTCAGATTGTTCACCAAGCCTGGGCGATCAATCAGGAGGTTTCAGAATCGCATCAAGTTTTCACTGCAGTGATGGTAGATATGTAAGTTTGAAAGAAGCGTTTTTTTGGCACCATGTCCAGGAAAAAAACGCAAGAAGCATTTCGTACTCTCTCTTGAACACACACACTGGCAAACCCTCCGTAAGCAACTTAACAGAAGAAAGTATTTTGTTCCTATTTGTCTAACCAAATCCCCCTTTTCCAGACAGGATCACCATTCTTGTGATTATCTAATTACCCATTGTTCATGGTAAAACCAGGAACCACCACCTTGAATGGTTGACTGTTGAACCACCATGTTTTATACTTAAAGCCACCGTATTTCATGGTTAAAGCCATGTTAAACCACCATGTTTCATGGAACACGGTTGCCACCATGCTGCATGCCCCCGCCTGCCAGAGCGCCTAGGACGCCGCTGAGACCCATGGCATTGCCAAACTGCGCCTATCCCAACAGCGGGCGGTTTCCATGCCAGTGTTGACAGGTGGACATACCCAATTTATAGGGATTAAGAACATGGCGGAATGGGATATGGTATAATCATGGTTAAGAATGAACCGGTTAGATAAATGTTGATAAATTAGCTTCATTCGAGAAAATGGTGGAGCAACTGGTAACCATCCAAGAATGGGTTCAAACTAGGTACCGGGATGGTGTCGATAAGAATTATGTGAATATTGACGGTCAGATATGGTTAGTAACTGGGTAAAAGCTTCTCATGTTGCGACTAAGCATGTATACTGTATACTATACTAACTTCTCCTCGGTATCATCTAAGAAAAATCATGACATCGAACACTTTCTACTCAAACAAAACACCGAACAAGTGGAAAGTAGTGGGAAATGTCTCAGTATCCCGAACAACACGAGTTTCTAAAAGAATGGGAAATCCGCAGTTCATTCAATGACACATACACTCCTTCGTAACTCAAACGCATTGAGATGTCTCAATGCGACCTTTCTAGGTGACGGTGCAAAAATGAATCAAAACGGACATGAGTACACTATGTTTTGACGCACACCTTCCAGTCTTCTGGATGCTTAGTTGTACCACCCATACCCGATAAATATACATTTCTGTCAGCTTGATAACGTACTTAAAAATACCCGTCATCACCTCTTTCCCAGAAAAAAATGCAACACCAAACCACCATCACCCCAGGGCAATTAAGGATTATTAACTCTATATATGTATATATATATATCATATGGTTATATATTATATTATATATGAGTTTTATGAGTTTCCCATCATGTTTAGGAGGACTCCCAAAACAAACCACCCATTCTCACCACCTCGCCCTGGCCCAACAAACGGCCCCTTCCAAAAAAAACTGCGGCACCGTCTGCTGAGAGCTCAATCCACTGATGGCACCGATGCACATCATGGAGGCGACCAGGTAAACCATCTGGCTTTCCTCATTTCTCGGAATGGATCAGCATGGCATTCGCATTCAACTGCGAATGAACTGCGAATGCAGCACAATTAATCTTTTGAGGCAAACAATTTTAAATCCCAGAGGAATCTGAAAAAAAACATCAAATCCAGAGTTTCCCTCTGTGAAAAAAGTTGAACTCCCCATTTTCCCTGCTGAATTCATCAATTCGGAGCCGAGCATCATTCGCCAGATCCACCAGCCCCAGGTAGGCTCCCGCTGCATAGAGCCCCACGAAGAGCAACGCAGGAACTGCGTAGAGCTCGGGGAACTGAGAAACCTCGCCCGTGGCGTGAGAAAACCCACCTTCATGGAGGGGGGTACCCCCAAATCATCCCAAAAAATCGACAATTTTCGTATAAAACCAATGATTTTTGGGGATCCCCCCAAAAATCATGCGAACTTTATAATGATTGGTAAAAACTATAGGGAATCTAGCCATGTGGTTAATCTATTTCTGAATATGGGACATTTCTGGGACCTGGTTTCACCAACATTTTACTGTAACCCACCCTTAAAAATAGTATGGTGACCATGAAAATTGGGAATTTCACCCAGAACTACTGGGGTTGGACCTATAAACACGTTCAAACACGTACACACATGGGGGTAAAAACGATATTAGGACATGGACATTATGTGGATATCATAAGGGGATAAAATAAGGGGATAGAATGAGGGGATGTAATGAGGGAATTTATATATATATATAGTTTATATATATATATTATGTATATATACATATATTATATTATAATGCATATAACAAGTACGCTGCAACCCCGTAGGTAAACAGTAATGTAATCATGCACATGCATATATCATTCAACATATTGTTCGGAGGGTGGGAGAGTTGATCCCTGATGAAGATAAGTTGAAGCTAATAAGCCATTCAATAGAGGGAGAGGCGGATTTGATCCCTTATGAAGATGAGTTGAAGCTGTGATCCCATTCGATATATTGTAAAGAGGGGACGGGATATTTGATCCCTTATGATAAGCGGTGGTCGAACGGCCGGGGTGGAGACAACAAGTATTTACGGGTTGTAGTCATATTTAGCTGCTAAATTGACTAATTGAGCTTGATCGCGAACTTACCCACCAGGAAAGGCAACCTTGGCCAAGTGTTTGATTACCCTCCAGTAATCTAACATAGCTATGGAAAAATCACCATATGTTTGGAGTACCAGAGGGTAACCCATGAAGGGATTTCTCAAGATTCATCGGGTCCGAGAACCTCAATAAAGATGCTCTCATTCTCAGCTGGGTTGCATCTGTTTCGCGCTTGAACATGTCGATCATGCGCCGGGTCATCACAAAGCCACCACCTGCACTCTTAGAACACCCACAAAATCGGAAAGGAATGTCTATTGCCGCATATGTAATGCATATGTGTTTTGTTTTGTTTCCTTTAGATAAGTCCTCCTCTTCACACATTTATCCCTCACTCCATTGGTTTACCATCATATTCCCCAATAAATGGATATAAATTGCCATTTTAATCCATTTTATGGGTCCCCCCATTTTAGGAAACCTCCATGTAGATAGGATGCTGAACAACAACTACACTCACAACTGCTATGCCTCCATAACTTGGGTGAAGGACCAGGAATCGCTGGCTGGATAGTGGGCTGGTGCCTATGCTGGGTTCATGTTCTCATGCGGTTCATAGTCAGAAGATACAAAAGATATCATAGTTTGTTATATATAGTAGTGTTTCTGTTTATCATCCAACGTTACATTATGATTCATTAAGTCTCTTCATCTGTTTTTTTTCTTTTTGTTTGACAAACAAGAAACGATGTTCCCGAAGATATGCTGAACACATGGTAATTCAGCAAACTAAAGAGTTCAGTCATTTTGGGACAGTCTTCCACTTCCCATCATTTAGCCTCTGGTTGTTAAACATAGCTATGGAAAATGGCCATTTAGTCGATGATCAACATGATGATTCACCTAAACGTGGTGATTTTCCAGTTCGCAAACTGTTCAATTTCACCAGGAATCTAGATGCTGATTGATGTTGATTTACCTATAAAAACAAACCTGGAGATTTTCCATGGCCAAACCTCTGGTAAACTAAAATAACTATACACAACTATGGAACATCACCATTTTTAATGGCTAAATTAACGAAGTGTCGCCAGTTTCAATAGCTTTTTGTATGCCAGAGAGTAACCTCCATAGCTCAACCGTTGAATAACCATAGGCTGCCATCATCCCTGGCCCACCTACGTTGACCATGGAGACCAGGGCCGCCACCGCGGCCAGGGTCTGCGGAAGGGTCTCTGGCAACAAGCCTGGACGACGGACTCGGTCGTCAGGTTTTTTTATTTTTATTTTTGCAGGTTTGAACGGTTAATGAATCGTTAATTTTCATGGTTAATTCATGGTTTATCAATGGTTTGTATTTATAATGGTTTATCAGTTTAGAATTTAGAATGGTTAAAATGGTTAGAACACCCAAACATGATCGTTATGTGTTGTGGGTTCAAGCTATATACTTGCATGTTCTTGTATTTCTCTGAGGACAGAAGAGAAACTGGCGATGGGCTCCCAATCCCAAAAGGTTGGTCTGTAGGTGCCATGTTTGTTGGTGCCAAATGCCCAGTAGAAAAATCCCAGGATCATGATCTGTATTAATCCCTTTCTATTCCGTTTCTATCCCAATTATATTCCATCATATATATATCATGATATTCCGTCCTATTCCATGACATATCCTCCTCTTTCTCCCATCTACACCCCCAGTGCTTCTCCAAAAAGGGCCTGGGCCATCCTGGGCCCGGTCCCCGCCCGCCTCCACCCATCATCAAGATGCCGCCCACAACCGTCAACCCCGAGATGGCGTTGGTCACCGACATCAGGGGACTGTGGAGAGCTGGCACCACCTGCAGAGGACGTACCGACGAGTGACGTACGGAGAACGTGGACGAGATTCAACATGGTGGGTTTCATCCAGTTTAATCCAATTTAACTGTATCAAGGATGGGAATTCATATATTGGGTTCATAGATGTTAATATATATATATATATGTTAATGATAAATTTCTGGCAGTGTACAACTGCAATGCTCTGAATTATAGCCAATACATGTAAATATGTATGTACAGTATGTATAAACGCTATATTTGGATGATTTTGGATGGCTTCATCCAAAAACAAAGAGGTGTGGTGGCTGGTATGGATTGGTGATGTTTGTTGACCTGGTTGGTGCTTGACCTACCCCTTCTGAAAAATATGAGTCAATGGGAAGGATGACATCCCATATATTATGGGAAAAAATGTTTGAAACCACCAACCAGTGACTATTGGGTGAAGCTACACATAAATGAAGCTACATTCCAAACTAAAGGGCGATGCGTGTTGGGCATGTGGAATTCCGCAGCACTTTTGGCCTTCCTGCCCCTAATTTTCAAAGAGTTGAGATATCCGTCTTAAAACTTATTCATACTGTGTATTGATTGAATTATTCAAGGTACTATCAGGGTCGAAACCAATTCATCAATTGTATAAACATGGTATATGTGTCTATTGGTTGAGTTCACATCTTTCGTCATCAGACTATGGAAAATCCTGGCCAAACAAATCCCTAATCCTGGCCAAACAAATCCCTCTTCTAATACCTTCTAATGCCATCTCCGATCCGAGGTTCTTCAAGTAAGCCATGAACAATACCTCTGTCCGATCTGATTTCACGCGTTGGTTAAGAATGGTTAAGAGGTACAGTATTCCTATTCTCGGTTCTGACAATCCCCAATAAACCAGGTAGTATCAGCCAGCATTTAAAAACAGTAACTTTACATTCTAGATTATATATAGTTGTGTTTGAAGTCGTTCCAACATAACTTGCGCCATTGCAACAAACACGTACAAGGTGAGGGCCCCCCAAGATATAAGTGGTTTATAATGCTTGGAACCTCGTCTAAGTATAGATATATCCGCCACAAACCCGAGCAAAATGACGTTGTACACCAAATTGGCTATCTTGGGGGTCCCCACAGTATTTAGTACCACAACAAAGAAACCAAGGTGAGGAATTAAAACTACCCCTATCCCATCTCATTATACTACTTGCTGATAGGTTTCCCTACTGTGGCTTATAATATCTTCCCAATGACCCCGGTAGTAAAACTCCCTATTTCAGAGCTAATCAACCTAAGGTACAAATCAGCTACAAATACCAGTAAATCACATAGATCCATATGTTTTGTTTGTTAAGTCTCAAGTGTCCTCATTTTTTGTTTTCTATCGAGTTAAATCCTCAATATCCCATTTTGTTGCTAGTTAAATCACCATTTTCCCTATGTTTCGTTGGTTAAATCAATATGTTCCCTACCTTTTTGTTGCTTCACTCACCATGTTCCCTACTATTTGTTGGTGAAATCACCATGTTTTCTACCTTCTTGTTGCTTCACTCACCATTTTCCCATCGTGTTCACCCCCAAACGGCGTCTCTTCCAACGCGTTAAATCCGAGCCACGCCATAGACCACCTGCGCTCCGCCGACCAAGGCTAAGGCCAGGGTGGTCAACATGGTCGTCATGGTACCGCCCGCGGTGCCTGAGGGCCGATCCCATAGGGCCCCAAGGGGCCATGGTTTGGTCAGAAATATCAAGACGATGTTAGTAGATGTAGAGATATGTCATTTCACTGCCAATGTTTGCTTCACTAGCTATGTTATGGATGATTTTGGAAATGATGTGTTGAGACGATTGAAAACAAACAAACAACAGTTCAACATCATCATGTGTGAGCAAAATCCAAATCATGTTCGCATCTTTGAGTGTGTTCAAGCTCAATCCACACGTATTTGATGCGGTCAGATCTCCCCGTCTTGTTGCTTGCAAAACTTAGTGGGGCATCATCTGGAAAGTGATGAGTCTGAAGTAAAACCATTTTTGGGCAGGTCTTGCTGCACAAGTGTCCTCTATACGGCAAAGCCGTTGCACTGGGATTTATGGATGTTCATCCCCCAAAATATGGTGTCATAGGTCATAGGTTTTAACCCATCACTATATAATCCCATATTAATGTAAATCATTGTTTTAATTCATATAATCCCATGTAATCCCATAAAATCCCATTAATAATACCTCCAAATCCATACATTTTAAGATAAAAAAAAAACATCGGGATTGTCCCATGGAAAAATCCCATGAGCTCCCAAGAAAACCTGCCACCTGCAAACAGCAGTGCCACCACAATGAAGGACACCCACGCGGCCGCGCTGGCCGTACTCTGGAAGGACTCCTGACCGCAGCAGGAAAATCCAATGATTTTTAAAGGGAAAGTCATTGTTTATCACCTTTGATTTTATAGAATGAGCCTTAATAAGCTACATATATTGAAAAATCATGTCTTATTAGTGGTTATCATCTATTGTTTTATGTTGATTCATTGTTACCACCAAAAAATACCTAAAATGATATCAATGGGAATTTCAGGATCCTAAATTGGAGGTACTGTATAAGGCCATATTTTGTGGGGATATCCCCTTACATAGGCCTTACATAGGCCTTATATATGGTAGGTACCTCCAATTTAGGTTCCTGAAATGGCCATTGATGATATGTTAAATGTCAATATGTACCAACTGAAACGGTTTACTGCACTTTGAAACCAACCGCCTGGGAGCCAAAATCGCATCTGCCCCTTGGGCATCGGTCAAAATGACGGATGCCCAGATGGCTGTATCCCCTATATACTGAAAAAAACAGCATATAGATAGGATATCCATGCTGGAAAACCAAGTCTACAGTTTTGCTGGATCTGATTTTTGGGGTTGTAGTCTTGATTTGTCAAATCATGCGCTCTAATCTCCATATTTCGGTGCTTGAATCTCCACATCTAATGGATGTTATACTATATATTTACATCTATGTAGAATGATTCATAACCTATATATATATATATGTATATTATATTATATACATATTATATATACACATAATATAGATAAATTACATAATATATTTAAAAAAAAAAAACATATTCCGTATATTATATATAAAATATTATATTTAACATATAACCTATACTATATGTTTGAAATTATAAAATATATATTTTAAAATATATAATATATAAAGAATAACATATTATATATATTATATATATTATATATATATATTATATGATTTATCATATTATATTTAAGTTAATATATTATATATAATATATGATATCTTAAATCTTAAATAATATATATATATATGTTTTTTACATAATATATATAAAACAATTTAGAAAGATATATATATATATATAATATTATATATATAATACATGAAAAACATGCAATAAACAATACATAATATAGAATAAAAAGGATAAAAAAATATTTTAATAAATAATTATTTTAATATTTAAATAATATATAATACTTAATATATATTAAATATATAAAATATATATTATATTTTATTGTATTATATTAAATATTATATTTTATTATATTAAATCATTAATATCATATTATCTCATTTAAATATATTGTATTATACATTATATTATGAGTCAAAATCTTAGCACGGTCAAAACGCCGAACGCAAAATGCGCGTTCCCGAACGCGCGTTCCGAACGCAGGGGGGGTTTATAGTGGTTTTTGGCTCCAGAATCCTCCCAATCCTTTTTTGTTCCTTGCAAAAAGGATCCACTGTCTCACATAGAGTGTTTCATTTGTTTTTGAAAATCTTTTTGGACCTTTGTTAATAGCACTACGATAAAAATTGTGAGAGGTCAGAACCTTTTTCTTTCAGAGAAAGAAAGGATCCGGGAAGGAAACCTAATTTGCCCCACAAACCTGGTGAGGCCAGAACCTTTTTTGCTTCACCCAAAAAAGGATCCGGAGTTGGGAAGATCAACTTCTGGTGACTTAATCCGCCATTTTGAGCCCATAAGAGCTCTCAAAATCCTTTTTTGTTTGGGGAAAAAAAGGTTTCAGTGTCCATGCCCAGGAAATACATTAACTTTGGACTTTTGGAAAAAGGATCCACTCAGAACGCGCGTTCCGGAACGCCAATTTGTTCAACGCGCGTTCCGAAGGCCAAACCGTACCGAAGGAATATGCTAAGGTCATAATGATGTATATGAATAAACATAATAAACCAGGCTTACGCAGGGTTTTTCAGGACTCCCACTTCCCCGGATCCACTGCACCTCTTCCGGGCTTCGCGCCACGACCTCTTCCTCGGCCTCGGGCTCAGCCTTCGACCAGCGATGGCAGAGTGCACCGTGGCGCTGTGCCATGATCAAAATATGGTCACCATTCGGTACAGTACTTACAACTACCATCTGATTATTTAACATAGCCATGGTATAGATGGCCCATAGAAATAGATGGTTTACCTATTAAAAATGGTGATTTTATAGTTTAATATAGTACTGTAACTATATAGTACTACATATATGATAGTACTGTATATGATAATATGATAGTAACTATATAGTACTATAGTACTATATGATAGTCTCTTATAGTCTAATTAAATATCACACTATAGTGCTATATGATTACTATAATATTTTATTATAAGATAGGATCATGCCATCCCACAATCATTAGTAACAGTCTGATATTAGTACATGCTTGTATCACTTTCCCCATGCATATGAATAATTGTCTGTGTGTATATTGACATTGTAGTCCGTATGATGTACTTGAGCATGGTCACGGTATCTTTCACTCCTCATGATAGGTACATTAACCTCTATTACTGTAGTGGAGGGGATGACAACCTCCTTTTAGGGGAAATCAGCAATGTTTTGACCATGGCACATGTTGCTGCGGACACGACTGTTAGTTACAGTTGGCAAAGCCAGCCACAAATCTTCACTTTGGGGGTCAATCTTGAAGTTTCATCTGGTAAAAGACTCCTCAGAAGTTGGTGAAGCCATCCTTTCCATTGTGAACCCTAGCAAGCACATCGTTTCTTAATGACACCATTGTTGTTGGCTAAGACAGGCAACAACAAGCATAAAGTAAGCTATACAATTCTTGGCCTTCAGCATTTTTCTTGGACAGTGAAGAAACTTTCCCTTTGCTAATTTAACTTAGCTATGAAACATCACCATGTTTTAAAGATAAATCATGATACATCATCTATGTCTATGGACCATTTCCATAGCTATGTTAAATAACCAGAGGCGACAGTCTATAGTAACTTCATCAACATACCAGAAGCCAATTTCTAGATGATTTCCAATGATTTCCAATCAGGTATCAGGTATTATGGTATTATGGTATTGACATGTATTAAATCTCCATTTGTAGATGATTTCCAATAGGAATTCCACTCTCTGGTGAATACTTCCCACATGTCCAATCGATGGAGTGGGTCCAAGTAATCTCCATTTATTGATGTCCCATTACTCTATATATATTCATCAGTTACCCTCTGGTGAACTAACAGTTTGCAATTGAAAATGGCCATAGAAATAGTGGATTTTCCCATTAAAAATGGTGGATCTTTCCATTGCTATGTTAGTTCACCAGGTTTGGTCATGTTCAATACCCTCTGGTAATTTAACATAGCTATGGAAAATCACAATTTTTAATGGGAAAATCCACTATAAATGACCATTTTCAATAGCTATTTTGACATAACCAGAGGGTATCAGTTACTCTATATCAATATCAATATCTTGGTGATGTCATTGGGATAACATCATTTTCTCGGCTAAATCCCACCGTGGCTGAAAATTACTCCATCCTGTTTTTTCTGGAGATTGTCATTGGACCATCTAGATCCATTTAGCAATATCATGCAATATCCTGTTTATTAGGAGTGGTTACCATTTATATCAATATCAATAGTTAAACCAGCATTACTCACCATATTTATTGATATCTCCATTTATTGATGTTTATTCTCCAATTAAAGCACCAGAAATAGCTGGTAAATGGATGTTCATCCCCCTAAAAATGGTATTTTCATAGGTATTGATCCATAGCCATTTATCAATATCTCCATTTATTGATGATATCTCCATTTATTGATGTTTATTCTCCAATTAAACCATATTAAACCACCAGAGGCTATGGAAACTTCACCCATTCCAATTGGACCCAAAAAAGGGGCAACGGGGGCCTCCTCCACCGCCGGCGCGGGGGCTGGAGGTGGAGGACTCCAAGGCCAGGTCAGGTCACCTCCACCTGTGCCCAGAAAAACCATGGGATTCATGGGATTTTCATCAACTGGGTATGGATCAATACCTATGAAAATACCATTTTTAGTGGGATGAACATCCAGCTAAACCAGCTATTTTGATGTTCAGCTATCTGGGTTTGTCTGAAAATGTTGTGTACCCCAATCAACCCAATGGTTTTGCTGATCATTATCCCTACTAAATGGATACAATTGGGGGTATACCCCATTTTCAGACATACCCATATACCCTCCAGTAAATTGACAGTTCGACCCTGGTATATAGATAGGGGTTGGAAGATTAGTTTCCTCTAAAAATGGGTGATTTTCAGGGCCCAACTGTTAATTTACCAGAGGGTACTGGGTATAGCATGGGTAAATGATGGGAAAATGATAAGAATATGCTGGGAATAGAATGGGATTGAGTATGGTCATCCATCGCATGCCATGAGAATCCAAACATCATGGATATCTAAAAATATCTATGAACATGGATTGATCACCGTCCCTCAATATGAGCAGCTCGGCCAAATTTTGACGATGGCACATGTGCGGAGATTTTAATCAGGGAAAGAATAATCGGGTTTTGTTTGGTGCGCAGAGTGGATGGATTGATGAATGGCTTTTTGGTGAGATTAGTAACCCATGAAAAATAAAGCTATATCTATAATCTTGGGACATGGATGACACGGATGTCATGTAACCAAAAACCTTCTCATGTCTTAGGCCATGTGATTCCAATCCAGTCGCCGATGATCACCTGATCAACTCAAGCCAAGTATCGACAAATCAACGATCCTCTTGTAGGTACCTCAAGACAGGAAATACCACACAATACTCGAAGACTGTGATTGAAATAGGGATGTGTGCGGAAACAGAAAGCAATCAGAAACATGCGCCTGCAAAAAAGATATACGCATCCAAAAGTTTCGCATTTTCTACAGACTCAAAATAGCCATCTGTGCAGGACCCGGAACCGCGCAGCCAGAACCCCGGCAGGGCACATCGTCGTAGTCAATGAAGAAGTAGTTCTTGGGGCCCATGCTGCAGAGGAATTTGGCCATGTTGTTGGCAAACAGGAAGGACGCCTTGCCAGGGGACCCAGAGCAGCAGTCAGAAGTAATACACGGTCAGGTGTCCCTCGGAAAAAGCAACCAACAAGGGGTGAATGCTAGTGATGAAAATAAAACAAAACATTCTATATCATGCGCGTATTCCCTACCACTTACAGTACATCTTTGTTGACCCACATATTCTATGAACATCTAATGTCAACCCCAGAATTATCACTGGAATGCGTCCAGAAAAAGTCACTATATGACTTGCATCACAATAAATGGTCACACAATATTAACAAACGAATAATCAGATTTAATATTGTTAATGTTACCCGATAGCAATTAATCAGATTATATAGAAACTATCAGTATTTATAAATGGTCACCCGATAGTAATCTGACAACCAAATTTCTAGACCAAGGAGAATATTATATATTATTATACTATATAAAATACTATAAGGTTCTTGCGAATTGCAAGCACTGAATCACAATCATACGGAATATATCGCAACCCAGACTATAGTACTGTGGAATCTGTGGAAGTATATCCCGGGTAACATAGTGGATTTAGATTAATGGAACATATTGAAACCATATTTCGAATTATATCGTGGATTGGGATTCGAATTCCAAAGCAATGCTTTCGGACCAACGACATCATCCCTCCGCCTGCGCAGGCATCCGGCTGGGCATATGCTCATAGAGGGACAAGCCAATGTGGGTCACCTTGTTGTACTCATACACCTCACCCGGCCTGGAAATGGCCAGATATGTCAACAGCATCTTGTACCCCCATAAGATGGTTTGATTATATTCCTATATTGTACATGATTGCCCAATTGTCTTATACTTTTTTGTTGGTTATCCTATCCTCTAGTAACTTAACAAAGCTATTAGCTATGGACAATGACTCAATAATATACACCATCTAAACCATTAACATTGATTTTCCACAGCAAATTGTTAAGTTTCTACGGGGGTATACTGGGTGACACACGTTTCAACATGGCAGCGTTCTCCTCCCGACCCCGGGCACTTGGTGGTTTCGATGTTGCCACCGGTCTCAGCCGCCAGGTCGACGACAACGCTGCCTGCCTTCATGCCATCAATGTGCTCCTGGGAGGCGACAGAGGTCTGGGGGAATGGGCATTTAGTGAATTCATGGTGGTTTAAAAGATGGGTTATGATGGGATTTTACCAACACACTTAGGATTCTAAAAATAACCAATGGGGATTCAACGATGAAATTGAGTTTCAAACCATTGAATTTGGTGATTGAGTGGGAAATCCATGATTGAAAGTGGCCACATGAACAGAGAAAAGGAGGGATTATCATTGTTTTTCCGACTATATAAAAGTGCAAGTTTTGGGGGTGTACCATATTTCTGTACAAACCCATATTACCAGGATAGGAGAAACAACAACAACAACAACAACCACAACAACAACCACAACCCTGGATAGCCATTAGAATCGACCGCTGACATCTTTGAAGGTAAGGGGATAATCCTCCCCTCTAGTCACAAGCACCTAAACAAATACACACAGAAACCTTTTGTATTTACATATTCATTTTGGGGGATCCATTATTGAACCTATTTCCTTGGCTTATTTACCATCAATAGATTCCCCATTATGGTGGCCAAGTACTGTCTACCCATTAGCATCCAGTCATTGGTTCTACGATGGTAATATATTCCATAATATCCTTTGGTAAGATTATATAATATCAACAAATTATGGTAAGCTATCATTCCTGATCAATCATTCTGCATTATCATGCATTATCAAACAGTTACAAGTAACAGCGATTGAACTACCGCTGAATTAACATAGATAATAATAAGAATAATAATAATAGTAAACACACATATATATATATATTGTTCCTAGGAAAACCGTTGTTGTTGATTTTGTTGTTGTCGTTGTTGTTTCATATGTAATATGAGTTTGACTGCAGGATACCAGTTTTGGGATGTTAGGATCACCATGCAATCCTCCATTTGTACATGGGCAATGTTCATGCATTTTCCTTCGCAAACTGCCAACCAAAATGGCCAGAAGGCTATTATGATGAAACATGAAATTCGATTTTTCCAATATATGGAACAAATATTTCTGGATTACTCCCAATCCCAAATTCCTAACCAGCTTACTAATATTACTACAGAACCAGCAATTTTTTGTCGCCACTTCCCCGGGATGATCGATCGTCTCCGAGCTGGCGCCTTGCTCAAGAGCTTCGGTGCCGGCTTTCCGGGAATCAGCGCCGTGGTGATCACCTCGACGTCACGGATGACCGACGGATTCTGTTCCAGGCAGGTGGTGTCAAAAACTACCCGGCCTGGTAAAATGGAGGTTTTAATGGGAAAACCATAGGAAAACCATAGGAAAACCGTAGGAAAATGGAGGTTTACCCTCTGGTAAACATACAAAAAGCTATTGAACATGGCCATAGAAATAGTGAGTTGTCCCATTGAACATGGTGATTTTCCATAGTTTTTTTGTATGTTTACCAGAGGGTAAACCATGAAACTCAAACAAAGTAGGGTTTGTGTCATGCTTTGCTTTGTCTGAAAATCCCCAAACTTGCATCTTTCCCATGCTCGTTCATGTTCTTTGAAATGGCTTTTTGAGGGTATACCGATGTATACCGTATCCCGCATTTTCGGACCTATATTACAGACTCTAGACCCATCAATATATAAATCGCATCGGCATCCCATGTTGAAGGATGTGTCGGTGGATTCCGCCCGTGCTGATGAGATGCGATGTCGCAGTCCGCACACTGCTGACGAAAGAGTTCCTCATTCATGGACCACGAAGGCAGGAGGGAACAGGTTCACATGGCAATTGATGATAGCTTATGATACCCAAATTTCCAAGTTAGGCTGATGATATTAAGGCTGCACATATGGGTTTCTCACTCTCAAAAATACGGTAGTCTTGCAAATCATCATAATCATCATCATCATCACCACCACCATCATCATCATGATCATCATGATCATATTTCCTATCAAACTAGCCCATGTAAGAACCTCCATGATTCTAGATGGTTTGACCAGATTTGACCCGTGGTGCTGGCGCGCGTAAACACCTTCACTTCTTACTCCGGGTGCCAAAGGCATGCTACGGATGCACACAGTTTGGTTGAGTCCCATGTCTTTTTTTTTCCGGCTAAATCACTAAATCCCTAACTCTTGAATCGTTTGATGATCAGTTTGATGTTTAAAATATCTTAGATCTTCTTATCATTGGGTCCATTCAATTCAACGGTCCTCCAGGGCCATTCCCCTGCCATTTCTTTGGGGATCATTCTAGGATGGATCCCAGACCCAGCAACCATGCTTGCGCAAAACCAAAGCGAGAGCAATATTCAATAATCATCAACTCAGCAATTCAAGCACCATGACCGTTATATCATATAGTTATATTATATATACATTATATTGCACATGATATTATATAAAATATAATGTGTATATAATATATATTGATACGTATAGGATTAATATCATGAATATTCCCATTCTGTCCCCATTAGATCACTATTTTTCATCAGCCCAGGTGACCATTTCGGCTTCAATAAACTCTTTGGACATCTCTTTGGCGTAGCCACCTGGCCGATGTCATCCGATGTCCCACATGGTCCCCAAATCAGAAAGTGGGCGGAGGGGAAAACATGTGGAAGTAACGTTTACTTATATGGGTATGGGTCAATACCTATGAAAATACCATTTTTAGGGGGATGAACATCCATAAATCCCAGCTATTTTGATGTGAACAGAAGGGGGATAAGGTTTTGACACACTGCCATATAACTTAGGGATACCTAGGGTTTGTTCAGAGGCAAAACATGCAAACCATGTTTTTTTTTTAATGTAAATATATAGGTTTTGTGGTCCAGGATTTACCATGGTTTATCACAGTTGACAATACACGATGACTACCGGCCGATCTTGCAGGATTTTGGATACGCATTTTAAGTAACTGTGTTGATATTAATATCTCCAAATTCATAGCAAAAGATCAAAAGATGAGGTTGTACTAAACTAAATGTGGTAAAGCCAATTCCACGGTCATCATCCCCAAGTTTGTGGTTATTGCTTTATGAAATTGGCTACAGCCCATTCTTTGAGATGGTGTAAAATGAACGGGTGCAATGGTTGATGACAAGAATCAGGCGCCTGAACCCGAGCCGTCTTCCTCGATGTTAACCTCCAAGAATTCTCCTGGCAGAGAGGATTCGGACCTATTTGCTATGTATACGTATGTATAACATATGTGTATAGATATACAATACCCGCCATTATTTGCAACCACTTGCACATCGATACAAACCACCCAACCTGGAGTGTTCCCTGCCCATTTGCTTCATGATGGGAACATATTTATCAACAAATTGCAATTGAAAATCCATGAAAATCCCTCATTTATAAGATGTGTTTTTCCCATTAAAAGCCTCATATTCATATGATTTTATATGTTTTCTAAGGATTTTTCTATTGCCACGTTTATGATTGTCGGAGGGCACGTCTTCGGCCGCCTCCGGCGGCGACCACTTGTTCGCGGGTGGCTGGGCGGACGTCAAAGGCGCGCACCACGCAACCCATGTTCTTCGCCTGCCTGAGGGATGCCACGGTTGCCACGCCGTGAAACCAAGGGTGGTAGCTGTATGTGGCTGTTGGGTGGTGCTTGGTAACTGGTAGATATGGGGTAAAATAGTTTAAACATAAACAAAAAAAACATATGAAAAAGACATCGCAAAGACAACGCATGGGCTGTAAAATGGCTGGAATTTGGTTCTTGGGATGATGTTTGTTGGGAATTTATCGCAGTTTGGAGGATGAGCTTGATCTCTAGGTCAGGCATGTGGGATTCATCGGTGGTCACCTTCAATTGGAGATGGTTTACACTGGCAATACTGGGGCTGGTTTATGTTTAGGTTTACTTGTTCCCAAATTCTGGAGGTTAAATCAAATCAATTTGCCTTGCATCAAATTAAACCACCACTTCCAGTGTGCGACCTTGGTCACTTGGTCAATCTTCCCCATCTCACAAGACTGGTGATTTCAAGTCTCAACGAACATATTATGGGGGGGTTCCATAAACGGTGGTAATTACCCCGAAATGGATGGTTTATAAGGGAAAATCCTACTAAAATGGATGATTTGGGGATATCTCCATTTTAGGAAACCACCATATATCTTGTCACCATCATCCCAGGTATGGGGGATGCAAATCCAGAAAAAAATAAACAAAACGAGCCCCATCAAAACATCACAAAATCAACTTGCAAAGTTCATGCCATTTATCAGCCACCAAATCAACGACCCAAGAATCACCAGCCGCAACAAAACGTCCGACTCATCAAAACAACAGCCCAAGAGAATACCTCCAACAATCATCCAGGTCCAATCATCCCAACCTCAAACCTCATCAACAAAATTCAACAACAACAACTCATCCCAACCATCATCCCCCAAAAAATCATTCCTAACAACTCATCAGTTCCTATCCCAAGAAATCAACCCAAAGATCGACCAAGAAATCATCCCATCCACCACGTCAATCCAGGCACTGGATGGCCGCCAGGCCGGCCACTCCGGCGCCAATCACCAGGACCTTGGCTGGGTCCACCTTGCCTGCGGCCGTGAACTGCCCAGCACAGAAGCGACCAAAGTGGTGGCTGGCCTCGGGTGCTTCACCGGTGAGGAGGGTGAAATCCTGGTGAATCAAGGAATTTCGCCCAGGATTCATGGGTAAACCATGGTAAACATTAGGAATCGAGAATGGTGAAACATGTTGATTTAGCCAACGGGTAAGGATGATGTGGGGATGTGAAGGGATTACAATATGGGAGAATGGGAGAAACGGATTTTTAAATGTTATAATGGGATTTCAAAGGGTATAATGGGATTATCAAGGGGAAACAGGGGGGATGGGTTGTTTCCATGATTCAAGGGTGTTTCTTGCACCAAACAGGAATCCTTCCTCAACACTGGGAGGCGTGGAACCTGAGCTTTGCATTGGTTCATGGCATTGGGTTTACCAGATCGATATCATCTTCAAACAACCAACAAACATGGGATTGCGGCAAGGAAACCAACCAGTTATAACCAGTTTATATGTCAAAACTCTTTCCCAGGCGGGTTTCAATCTCTACCATACTAGATCCCAACCAACCAGTTTCCCAGGAGGGGCCTCGACCATGGCACGGTATCCAGCGATGTTGGCCTCCGGGTTCGTCTGAAGCTAAATCCACTGGTTAAGCGTTAACCATTCCGTTCACCATTCTATAGTTGACCTAAGACCTATGAAAAAGTAGCTAGAACATGCTAGAACTACCCGGGTGTATCCCATCTTTCAGGCAATTCTTGATACCTTAAATCCACTGACACGACACAACATGCACATCAAGCTGCGAAAGATTTGAAGATGTTGTGGTGATATGTTACCAACAATCTGGAGATATCTTGGGGATTAAACTGATTAAACATGGTGAAACATGGTGACTTAAGCAACATCAATGGTTAACAATTATATGGGAAATTGCATGGGGTATATAACCAAGAATGTGATATGAAGGTGCCTGTGTTCAAATGATCCCCAAAATAGCATTTAGGGTATCATGGGGAAAACATGGTCAACCATCAAATTTGGGGTATCCTATTTGCAGCCGATACTTCATATCTGAATGCCTTGTAATAAATGCCAAAGCAAGGTTCATGTCGGGAAGATTCCCCTTACAATTTCCATCACTAATGATGATGATCGTTGTGGGGTTGTATAGCTGTGGCTCCAAAATTGAGGTCACCTATAGAACCATACAACATATCATACAATGACTCATTTTTTACTTATAGTAAGCCATACCCAAACACCACCAAAGAGATCTACGAACAAACCGTTCATATGTGTCTTATGTGTCAACTGCGCATGGTTCTTCCCTTCGTTGATGGTATGCATTGATTCATGTCCAAACAAGGGGATAATCATAACCCCAAATGACAAATTACGCCGCGAATCTTATTGTCAGAACCTTTGGTTTTTGGGGGTGTCCTTTTTGTCAGACGCACTCATTTCCATTCTTCATTGGCAATTGGATAACTCCTAATGTTTGATGCTTAAACAGCTTAAACATCCCATGTGTTTCGTGCTTGAATCATCCCAGCATCATCTTACACAATATAGTATCCTCCCAAATCCTATGGTTATCAACAGTTTATCATATGTTTTTCCTATGTGTCCCATGTTTTATCATTTCATTGAAGATATGGAGGTTTCCTAAGAAGGCCGGGGTATATCCCAAACTCATCCATTTTGTTTGGACGATTTTCCATGACTGGTTGGTGGTGCAATAACCATCTTGAAAAATATGAGTTCGTCAATGGGGTTGGGATTATCCCATATATTACATGGAACATATGTTTTTTTGAAACCACCAACCAGATGATAAACCATCCAGCTATGGGGGTACCATGGCCGGAAGATCCATGGCCGCACCATGGAGCTCAGTACATCGTAGGACTGCGCACGGCTCAAGGTCCGGGGCATCTGATCCTGGTAGACGACCGAAAATCTCGAGATTTGGCCAGGCAGGTTGGTGGGATTTGACCTACCAATGCGGGATTTTGGTTACCCCCAAATCATCCAATTCATTCATCCAAGTCAGACCATTTCAGTATTCAAAGCCGTGGTTTGGGGGATTCTAGATTTTTGGAAACCTCCAAAGGGATGTTCATCCCCAAATGTGGAAGCACATAGGGAAGAACATAGTCAATGGATGATAAATTCGAAACCCCAAATATGTTTCATCCAAATGTGGTTATATAATGTTATGTACCATCCAGTTGAATTAATGGAAAAACATAGGGATGAGCAGCAAAGTGATGTCACCTGGAAGCAACTAAGTTAGGGACTTCAATAAGACAAATTGGACATATATGAGAAGGCAGTAGGTCACAACAACGTGATGCTCAAGCATATCAAACAGTTGTTTGAGAGTTCTTAGAATGGATGCATTTTGTTTATGTTCAGGTGCGTTCCACAACAAAATTCATGTCTGGGAGGCTGCCTTTAATCTCATTCCAAGATTCCATGGCGAAGCAAGTGATGTTCTTTTCCTTGAGTTTCTGCACCAACTTCTCATTCTGAGCAGGATAGATCATGCCTCGTTCAGAGCGCTTACAGGAACCAAATGGCAGGGGCCAAGTGTGCAACCAGCGGAGACTTTCACCAGAAACGCAGAACTTTTCAACCATTTTGGACTACGACGTGATAGACATGTTGGAGATCCTGAATCTCCAGTTATCAAAGAATGCCTTGGCTGTCCTTTACTCACATTACAAGAAATGCTGAAAGTGAAAGGGGCAATTTCGTCTGGGATTCAGCTTCGAGACCATCATCCCAGGCCGCCAAGATTGACCAAAGTGCTGAAGAGGATGGTATCTGGCCGCAAATAGCGAACTTCCTGAAGACTTGGAGGTCGCACTTTGAAGATGATCTTTGCCTGGAAAGATTGAGATTTGGCGATGCAGGGGGCTCCTGGCGTCCTTTATCAAGTCGACTCAGCGGTTTGGAAGGTTTGACCACAACGGTATATACCATCTTAAAAAGTAATGTGCTTCCCTAAGGCCTAAGGATAGGGTTGTCTCATTATAGATAACTGGGTTATAAAGTCGTGATGCTTATCAATCAGATACTGACTGGGGTCATACATACCAAGAACTAGGGCTCTCTACATACCAAGAACTAGGGCTCTCCACGAGTCAAACAGCGTGAACGAATCTACTCAATATAGCATATGCGGCATGCCAAATCATAAACGTGTTGAAGTAACACACTATTATAGTCTATTATATCTATCTCAATTCTATCTCTGAAAATACGTAGTTTCTTGATGTTTACCACATTTGAGCGCAGGATATCGGAGACCATCATTGAGTCATACCCGGCGCTGCCACCTTGTTCATCACCGCGCTGGCGTCGGACAAAATCTCGGCCCCGGCATCCCGGAAGTCGTCATCCGAGAACTCCGCAGTCACGCCCGCGCCGGACTCGGTGGACCGGGTTCTTGGGGCGCCCTAAGGGCGCCCCCTTAGCGATTTATAATCAACCAAAGATAGGCACTTAATTGAGAAAGAATGGAATCAATAGATATCAATAGTGCATGTATGTTGATGCTAAGTTGGTTCTATAATGCAGTTTGGTTTGTGGATGTTTGTGGTATATCTTGACATGGCCATATGGGCTTTAAAACCAACAAACACAACTGCCGGGGGCTGACATTGTGGGTGATTTTTTAGGGGTCCATTGTTGGTAAAAATATCTGACATGAAGCATATAGAAATGCAACTTAGAAATGGGGGAAAACATGTTTAATGGGAAAGTCAGCTATATATTCCAAATAAAAATGGTGCCATTGATTGCCATTGCCAAATTTGCTTACCGTGCAGGAATTTACTAGCAAGTAAGCAAGCAGTTTGGGGGTATAATATCTGTGTATCCATGAAATCACATTTCATGCTGTTGGTTTGGTTGTGAACCCACGCACTTCCAGGAATTCCAAGGTCAGATTCAATTTTGACACACATGTGGCTGAAACAGGCTGATACCACTTGTGAGACCTGTGAGACCCCTCTGCAAGACAGAAAGACGATTATGTGCGGCAACAAGCAAACAGTTCAACACCAGCTCAATTTCTTTGAAACACCGAAACACCTTGAGTCAGCAAAATCCTCATCAAGTATCAGTCAAAACTAAAAAACAACTTCATGTTGAACCCCGGAGCTGTTCATTTTTGTCCCAACACCCACATTTTTTGTCGGGGGCCAAGGCACTTGCACCACCTGGGAACGATACTGGAAGTTGGGAGTCCCCGAAAATCTACAGGGGCTGGGGCTAGCTTTGGAAGTAATATGATTAACTTAGAAACGTCAAGTGCCAAACTTTACCAGTTGAAACGCTGAAGTGTTGCTGCAGATTTGATCTGGATCGGCTCATGGCCACCAAAGTTGTCAAAGATACTGCAATCTGCTACCCCGTCTTGAACGCCAGTTTGAGAAGGCTAGCAATGATTTGCGATCCGCTGTAACCCAAACAGTCAACCTGGAATGTTGTGCTCAAACCTGGGAGACCCTCTTTGCACCCAACAATTGCGCTGGTAACTAAGCAACAGATTGCATAGCACATACAGATTTCACTTAACAATATTGCTATCAAATCGTGATCCAACAAGCTTGTCTGTCGGTATTTAATATAGTCCATGTCCTTTTTCTAGTTGCACACCAGCTATAGCCCAAACCAAAGTAGCCAAACGGCTCTCCATGTTCAAGAGGGGCGCAACAAATGCATTCATCAAGTGTTCATCTTAATTATCTCTGGTTTTGACCGTTTTGACAACCGCATCCTATGATATGTCTGGACAATCGGATACCCAATTGTCAAAAATACCTGAACACTTCGTCGGTCGGGATGATTCCCCTACAATTAATGTCGTGCCGTCGCGACATGAGGTCGTAAGAAATGTGGACCTCTGAACCCTATACCCTCTGGTAAACCTACAAGAAACTAAACCTACAAGAAACTATGGAAAATCACCATTTTTAATGGGTAAATCCACTATTTCTATGGCCAATTTCAAGTTCGCAAACTGTTGACATAACCAGAGGGTAGCCCCTAGTGCTCGGTCGAGGTGCAACTTTGTATCCCTCGTTCTGAAGCATCTTAATGGACGCCGGTGTGGCTGCCACCCGCTTCTCACTCTCTCGGGTGCCGCTCTGCATGGCTGTCTCCTGGCCAAAAAAAAATTAAGCATCACAAATGTGGGTTTAAGGAACCAACATGGTACCCTCTGGTTATGTCAAAATAGCTATTGAAAATGACCATAGACATAGTGGATTTTCCCATTAATAGCATGGTGATTTTCCATAGTTATGTTAGTTTACCAGAGGGTAAATTCAAGTGGATGTCATCAACATGCGGATTTCAAATGGATGTTGTCAACAGAAACGGAGAGAATAAGTCGGGGATACCTCGAACTGGCGACTTTAACAGGTAACATGTTGATTGAGTGGATTTATATGTACCTCTTTTCAGACAAACCCAGATACGGGAATTCAGCCTTGGTGAATAGTCCATTGATGAGGGAACACCTAATTTGGCGAATTTCAATATCCACCACTCCACAAAATGATCCAGGCAACCAACTAAACTCCACCAAAAGCAACCCTGGTGACCAACTGTGGTGTGATAACGTGTTGCAATAGATAGTTAAAGTTTGAACCAATATTCCTACTTTGCAGATTCCAACCTTTCAATACCTTTCATGTTATTTCTGGACTGAGCCCTCCAGTGGATACAACAGAAAAACTATTGCTAAATTATTCTTCTGTAATCTATTGTATAAATTCGGCAGCCCTAGCTCTATTCCTCAAACAGCTTAGCAAAATCCTGGCTTCACATGGGGTGAAGAAAGCTCCTTCAGAACGCCCACGATCAAGTCTGAACCTCGGCAGTGCGCTAGCAGCTGATGGCAGGGAAATTTCGCCCATCCAACTCGGCTTGCTTCACCCCGAGAACAAAATGAGGTCTCTGAGCATTCTTGAAACATGTGGCTGAATATGGTTGGTGGTTTTAACCATCTTGAAAAAACATGAAAAAACTATATAATATTATATACAGTATATAGTCAGATTGGATCATCATCCCAACTATTGGGGAAAATAAAAAAAATGTTCCAAACCACCAACCAGTATATCATTCACCTGAAATCTTCGGTCATTTTGTCATCATTCCGCCAATCCCAACCATAGAAATTCCGTCAGAATTTTCATGGTGAGAACTGGTGTGGTTTCACCCCACACCCATGTTTGTCAAAGATCTGCACTGTGACATGGATCACCACAAAATTGCGATAATGTGGCAACCCCAGAAATAAACCTTTCAGTTTTGGAGGGTTTATACCACCAATTCCTCATGAAATTAGTAATATTAGTATTAGGGGAGTCTATTTCATATACCACATGAATTCCCATCAAATCATCTTTCAAGACGCAGTTCATTGATTCAAATCATCTCAACGATCATTCTCACATATAAACCATATATGAATTCCCAGATATAACGCATTTCTGATGGAAATTGGGGTTCCCATTCCCATCATCAACCCATCTTTGGGTCTCACCCCCAGTTCTGAGCCAAGTCACAGGCTGTCGCCCAGTACTCAACACATCCTTCCGCCACGTCCCCGATGATGCAGCCCTCCGGCAGCTGAAGTTGCTCAGGCTCACCTGCCTCGTAGCCGCCTGGCCCGGGGGTTGGATGTCTCTCTGTTTTTTTGGGGTCCAAAAATGGTGGTACCCTCTGGTTATGTCAACAGTTAGCTATTGAAAATGGCCATAGAAATAGTGGATTTTTCCCATTCAAAATGGTGATTTTCGATAGTTATGTTAGTTTACCAGAGGGTACCCCAAGTCACCATGGGTTTCAATACTCAATCATACTCAATACTCGAATGCTCTAATTATGGATGACTTGGGTACCCCCATGACTTAGGAAACGTCAAAAGTTCTGGACCTGGCGGACCACAAATGTCGCTCCATTTGGAAAACAACTTTGGAAAACATCGACCCCACTTTGTATCAAAATTCAAAAAACGGTCCCTGTAAATTCCGCCCACTTCCCAGATTGGTCACGCCTCAAATATTTTGTTTGTTCAACATCCCCAGGCATGGCCGGGGGCGCCTCTGGACTTGCGGATGCTCTTCGCGCTGCTGGCGCTACTGCTGCCGCGTCTAAAGCCGCGAAGGCCAAGGCCGCAGAAGGTGATGACTGCGCCAAGCGATGTGCCGACATAGCCTCAACGACAAAACAAGATGAGGAATTCATTGGTTGGTATACTCATTTGATCCCAGAATCATATCATTACTCATCTATACTATATCTATACTATATCTATACTATATCTATACTTTAATCATATTAGTCATCTTAGATAATGTGTTTTGGTTTAATTGGTCAATGTACATTCCACTGTTCCGTCAAAAGTGCGTGATCCAAAAGTGTGCTAAGGTACTCATCCAAAGGAAACACCAGATCATGATATTAATTATGTTATACTAATATATTATATTGTCTATATATATATACAGTACATATATATATAAATATATATATATATACATATATATAATTATATAATATAATAACATTATATTATATAGCTTACCTGTTACAGTAAAATTATGTAAACTTGTTAAATGGCTTCGGGCCATGCAACCAGTTTTTCTGTTGGGCCATTGAGTTGGTCGACAGTTGCAGGATCGATGCTGCATGTTGAAGCTATGACCACCAAAACATCGTGCGGATAAAATGGAAATGGACATGAGTGCTACAACTTGGAACTAGAAATAACATGAAATAATATGAAATACCCTCTGGTAAACTAACGTAGCTATTGAACATGGCCATAGAAATAGTTGATTTAGCCATTGAAAATGGTGATTTTCCATATTTTTTTGTATGTTTACGGCCAAACACCTTGATTTGCCCGCGCTTTTCGGCGGCCATCTTCCGACGTGCTGAAAACGTGGTAAAAATGGGAGTTTTTTGCATGACCGGTAACTTGAAGTTGTTTATCTCAACGCACAGGTCCCTGACCTGTGCGCGGCTTTTACACAGCAACATCATCATCATCAACATTAATCATCATCATCATCATCAACAACATTAACATTAACATCAACATCAACATCAGTTTAATATTCCCCAAATACCGTTGTTGATCTTCCCAATTGAATGTAAAGTTTAACGGGGGTGGGAGTTTAATATTCCCTAAATACCCTTGTTGATCTTCCCAATTGAATGTAAAGTTTAACGGGGGTGGGAGTTTAATATTCTCTAAAACCTTTGTTGATCTTCCCAATTGAATGTAAAGTTTAACGGGGGTGGGAGTTTAATATTCCCTACAATCTTTGTTGATCTTCCCCATTGAATGTAAAGTTTAACGGGGGTGGGAGTTTAATATTCCCTAAATACCCTTGTTGATCTTCCCAATTGAATGTAAAGTTTAACGGGGGTGGGAGTTTAATATTCCCCAAATACCCTTGTTGATCTTCCCAATTGAATGTAAAGTTTAACGGGGGTGGGAGTTTAATATTCCCCAAATACCCTTGTTGATATTCCCAATTGAATGTAAAGTTTAACGGGGGTGGGAGTTTAATATTCCCTAAATACCCTTGTTGATCTTCCCCATTGAATGTAGAAGTTTAACGGGGGTGGGACATTATCTTCCTAATTGCATGTAAAGTCAACCCAATGGTAGGGTATAAAAGGGGTGTGGGCGAATCAAGGTGTTTGCGCGTATGTTTACCAGAGGGTAATCTCAAACCTTTGGCTGGAACTTGGAGGACGTTAGAAATGAGTGCCACCCACGGTGACAAACATCAGCCGTCGGAAGGATATTTTTAGAGTAAGCGGTATAGACAAAATCTGCGTTTCATGTACAGCATTCCAATCTTCAAAGAGAAATCATAAGATATCCAAAACTTGAGACACAAGGATGGACGCTTGGATGGGGCAAGTTTGAACAATATATCAAAAATCTGCAGGGGAGGGATGTATGTATCGCAGGGGAGGGATGTAAAGAGACCACATGGGTTTGTCTGAAAATAGGGTATATTCCCAATTATAGCCATTTAATGGGGATAATGATCAGAATCATTATATAACCATTGGGTTTAGGGGTACACAACATTTTCAGACACACCCACCCTTCTGCCAAGTCCGATTTTTTCCACAGCAAGGCACCATAGGATTGACCACTTTCCCGCTGCGACTGCCCATGGAATCTTCGCAGGTGTTGTGAATTGGTCACCTGACCCGACAAAAGCTGAGGCGACAGCCCGACAAAATCTCCGCAGCATGGATCAGAACATGAGAAACCACTGGGAATCCAAACATCTTGACAAACACATGTGGCAGTGTGTCAAAACCATGTACCCCTGAACCCCAAAATAGCTGGTAAATGGATGTTCATCCCACTAAAAATGGTATTCATAGGTATTGATCCATACCCATGTAAACAAAAATGGGCTGCGATTCATGGATGAGGAAAAAAACCTGATTTCACAACCAAGTCAAGGCTGTCATGGTTTATATTTAAAAAAAAAGGAGTGGTTTAATTCTGCGGTCCCAGGTCTTACAAGTTGATCTGATTGGTATTTTTGTCAAGAGTTTGGTCATGTTCAATATTCAACTTGGGGGAGTTCACAGCAACCAAATCAACCAACAGGGCGGGGTCCAATCCTCCTGCTGAGGCTTGTGAAACCCAGATTTCTCAGGGCACAGCTGCAACCTCATGAAACAAACATTGGATATCCACGGACAATCACAATAACATATATATATATATGTATATATATATATATATGTATATATATATATATATATCCAAGTTTCTCCAGTTTTGCCACATGTCATTATAACTCCATATAACGATATAAACTTGTATAAATTTTCAATAGATCACCAAACCACCATGAAATCACCACAAATCTCCATAAAGTTCCCCTTTGATCATCCCCATGAAAACCCATCCCCGCACCTGCCGGCCGCTGCTCACGAAGGTCTCCGAGAAAAGCGACCATCCTGCGGTGGGGATAACCGGGATGACCATCCAAAAATAGCATCTTTTTGGTGGTTGCTATCAAGTAAACTATACAAACAACTTACAAAAGGGCTTGGGAAATCTGTTCCTCAGATCCCCATCGAGAAATAGGAAATAGTGATGCTCCCAGCTCTGAATCGCTCCCTCCTTGTGGATTCACTGGCTGAAATTTTTGGTCAACGATAATGGTTTCTATCTTGTGCTTTGGGTTTTTTCAGGAATCTCCGGATTTTTTTTACGGGAACCATGGGGAACCCACGAAGAATTCATATAGCCGGATTTCCCTGTCGGAGATCACCATCAATGGAATTGAGCCCCAGCGATCATCCAATGGGTTGACTCTGTTGCCGACGAATGGTCCAAGTGTCACACATCTCTTGGGAAACATGGGCATTGATCTGATTGAATCTGATTGGTCCAGATTATATGTATTTTATATAATGTTATATATATATATACTGATTGGTGGTTGACCTACCCCTCTGAAAAATATGAAAGTCAGTTGGGGTTACTATTCCCAATATATGGGAAAATAAAAAATGTTCCAAACCACCAACCAGATATGTATTTTATGTAATGTAATATATATATATATACCCATAGGATCCATGTATGGTATATATGCTAACATAAAGGGGGTATATTGATGGGATCCATGTTACCATATATAGCAGCACCATGGATCCTATGGGATATATAATTCATGATAAATCATCATATTTGCGAAGTCGCTGCATGTTGATGGTTCAACATTCTGTATATCCAAATGTCACCATGTGAGCTCTGCTAAAACAGCGCAGGCTGATGATTTGTTTCGGGGTTCACACGACTCATTTGTTGCACTGGGGATTTGTACTTCCAATCCTTTGTAGGAATCCCTATTCACCAATATTGGTTGGTATGATTTTCCAAGAACTTTTGAAACTGCTCGATTGCCATTGGTAAATGCATCTTATTGTCCCCATGTTTCCAGGTTGACATCTCATTTAAACACAAAAAAACATCATGGATCAATTACTGTCAATGCCCTACATTGGATCTTCCAATCATCACCAGATGTTCCATGGTTCTTGCATTTTTTTGACTATGAGGGATTGTGTCCAATAGTTTACCCCTATTATTTTAAGGATTGCCAAATTTTCAAAAGTTCTTCCATTCACGGATTTTCATGATTTCACTATGGTTATTCCAAGGTTATCCATTTTCCAATGGTTCTTCTGTTGTTCCAATGTAAATTCATGACACTGCTTGATGTTGCTTCAAGACCCCAGTCCTCCAGCCGCCAGCAGCAGCGACAACAGGGACGACAGCAGCAGGCCGCGACTTCGCAACCCTGAGAACATACCAATTTAACGAAACAAATGGATCTTAGCCAGCTGTTGATTCTGATACTTCAGCAGAACTTTCATATTTTATATTATATAATATTATGTATATATATATATATATTATGTATAAATTCATGAAGATTAATGTGTTTCACGGAAGACATGAGACTTTAAGTGACGACAATGGGGATGCACAGGCCATAGGGATGATCCACGGTTGGACAAGTGTTGGATCTAGTTGGTTCATAGGCTTCCCTATCGGTTCTAGTCATTGCCAACAAACCCGGTACAGAAATAACTCCCGATTTTGATATCTAATCAACCCACCTATGGTTTTTCGTAGCTCAAGTTGTCTTCAAGAAGTTTTCCTGACATCTTCTGGACTCAACCCTCTGGTTAAAACGACGTCCTCAAAACCAGTCCACTGGCCAGAATCTCATACTACTTGGTTCATGGGGCTGCTGCTTGTCCATGGTGAACAAATACAAGCAAACATGAGAGACAATCCAAAATATTGCAAGCCTTTTAACTCCCGATCAATATACCACAGGTCCTTGGTGATATCTCAACATTTGGAAGTTTCCTATAATGGGGGTGCCCCCAAATCATCCAAGTCATGGATGACCATGACTTAGTATTGAAACCTATGGTGACTTGGGGATCCCCGATTTTGGGAAACGCCTTAATATGGACACTAAGTTATATCCCATTAAATCACCATGTTTGTTGGTTATTTACCCCTTAAACCACGATTTTTGTCAACAATGACATGAAGCATCCCCGGCGCCTAGGTGCTGCTTCTCCAACATGCCTGGGATCGGGTTCCTGGGCAGCGGGATGGGCTACAAGTTACCTGGATCATCGAGTGGATGAATATGATAATAATAATAATCATAATCATCATCATCATCCACTAATATCCATTAATAACCATTAATAATCATTAATAACCATTACTGGTTGGTGGTTGACCTACCCCTCTGAAAAATGATGGAGTTCGTCAGTTGGGATGATGACATTCCCATATATTATGGAAAATTAAAAAAAAATCATGTTCCAGTCACCACCAACCAGAATATCCATATTGGGAAATATCAGAACATTTTTTCACCCAAGTCCGCACCGCGTTTGACACGTCATTTTCCAACAACATCAGCCACCCTGACTGCCAAGGTCTGCAATCGCCGAGTCGCAGCGAGCGGGTTTCAACTAAAGAAGCTGTTGACAATATTGAGCCAAACGCTGCCGGAGCTTCTCATAACTTGGCCCGAGAAGCGTCGAGTTGCTGGGAGTTGCGAGCAACTAAACATCACCTGTTATTGACTTCCAGATTTTTTTTAAAGTATAGATATGACATATAAAACATTAGCATTAACATGACATATCTACTGAAGTCTATAAGAGTAGCCTTTTATAGTCGTCTCTTTGCATCGCCGATGGTTACCGATAGGTCCAGATGGGATCATCCCACTGATGAGTCAAAATAGCTATTGAAAATGGCCCAGTCGAAATAGTTGATTTAGCCATTCATAGCATGGTGATTTTCCCATGAGTTTTATGTAAACGTTTACCAGGAGGGTATACGTTGAATTACCAAAGGATAGCCCATGAGATCTCCATAGGTATCTGGTCTTTATCCAATGACAACATGTGCAACAAATGGCTTCCAGCACAACTCGTCCATTCTGGTTTCATCAGCTCCATGGCTTGCAGAAAAATCCTCCGTTGATAGATGATTTTCAACGCTCTTCCCAGCTAGAAACCTCCATCTTTAGGGGATTTCCCATGAATTTTCCATAGAAACCTCCATCTTTAGGGGATTTCCCATGAATTTTCCATAGAAACCTCCATCTTTAGGGGATTTCCCATGAATTTTCCATAGAAACCTCCATCTTTAAGGGATTTCCCATGAATTTTCCAATTGAAATCATGCCAGCCATGTTGGCACCATCTCGGAGCTCCGATCCTCGCTGCCTTAATGTATTCTCCGGTTTGGGTCGTGTAAAAAAGGCTGCTAAGCTACAAAAGCAGCAATTTTGAAACGACCATTGGTTGTTAATTGGCCAAATCAGGTGTTCAAATGAGTTTTTTTCTAAAAACTTCTTTTTGCTGCTCGAATCTGAACAGCTAAGTCAGAATCCACCCATCTTCCTTCGTTTCAACCTGCGAGAAAATCATTCCCACACTCCCAAACCGTTTTTTCTTCCTTCTACCATAATTCTCCAAAATGTAATATATAAAAATTGTTCTATAGATGTCATTATATACCCATAGAATTCCCAGTCTATACATAGTTCCTTGGCACCTCTCCCGTGGCGGCCACGAAAAACGGCCATCCTGGATACAGGAACTGATCACATAGCCATCCGCCACAGGGATCACGTGGGACAAGCCTCGCGCTTGTCACATCGGAAGCCAGGAACGTTCTTGATGAATAATAGTTGATTGGAACATACATTGGAACATGACTAGTTTCAGTCAACTCATAATGTTATGTTGTGAATTATTGACAAACAAATAGTTGATTGGAACAGAAACATGGGCTAATTATGATGAACTACACTCATACACCTAACATCATATAGTCAAATCGCAATGTTATATGGTCATATTGACAGCAACATATTATCGTGATCTATTACTGGTCATATCCTTATCGTATAGTACTTAACATATAATACAATATAGCACTTAAGATATAATACAATATACAGTAATAGAACCTATAGCATAGCGTATAATATATATGTATATATATATATATATGTGTATAATACATTTTCATATTCAATAATCATCAACAATAATATGATGACAGAGGAACACACAATCATCAATCTACAAACAATGAATAAATATCATGCCACGTAGTCAAACATAAACCAAACATTACAACAAGAATGATAGGCGACCGTAAAATAAGGAGTACACCCTTTGAGGCAAACAAAGTTAGTCAACGTGTTTCCAGATCTCACGGATGGGCCCTTTGAGGTTGCCTAAGAAGTCCCATGGTTTATTTGTTTCCTGTCAAAGTGGCAGGAACTTGAAAGTTATCCCATTTCCAGACACAGACTCTGCTCCCAATTTCTGTTAAATCCACTGAAACGCATCCCTAGATGGATAAACAATCATTAGACAAACCTCATGTTGACAAATTGTATCTAAGAAAAACGCCATTTGGTTGGTCAAATCCAACCCGCCAGCAAATTTTCACATAGACCCTGCCAAGTAGGGTTTGGAAGATGAGTTACCACTAAAATCGAGCTGTTTCAGCGCCTATGTTAGTGACTCAAGGTGGTAAATCTGCATGAAATCCGGATTACATCCAATTAAACCACCATCTATGGAGGTTTCCTGGGGGTATAGTTCTTAAAACCCATGGTTTTTTGATGTTTTTTGGATTCCCCCTCCATTTTAATAAGAACCCCCCATAGATGGGTAAAACATGGCGCATTTTTCCATCTCCAGTCGGCGCCAGTCCTTCGCCAGAGTCCACCACTAGACCAGTGAGATTGGGGCTGGTGGCCTCGGCAGCCATCTTGATGATTTTCATCATGCTTAACCAATCATTCTTAATGGGTAAATCCATGTAAATCCACTATTTCTATGGTGATTTTCCATAGTTAATCATTCTTGAGGGTGATTCATCATGATAGAGACTGATTAACTACTGATTAACTACTGATTAACTACTGATTAACCCATGGTTTGATGTTTGTCCATGATATCAAGTAAAAAATCATGATTACCTATATATAGATTAATAGCTGATGATTATCTATAGATTCAGCTTATGTTCAACATTTTGATTCAACCATCTTTGGGGATGATGAACACCAATGGACCAAACACCATGAGGGATCAGCAAGTTTTTTGGGGAAAAGTTGCCCAAAACCCCAAAGGATGGGAATAGCCTCTGGTAAACATACAAAAAACTGATGGGAAAATCACCATGTTTTGAATAGGTAAATCCACTATTTCTATGGTAATTGTCCATAGTTATGTAACAAATTACCAGAGGGTATCTTTCAGTTGGAAAGATATGGAAAATGGGGTTCATATCTCACTTTCTGGCAAACATGAAAGAGTCTCTGAAAGAGTACGCATTCCAGTACCAATCTTAGATGGGATAAACTCCAAAGAAAGATACAGTGGTAAAAACAAAACGTTGGGTAGGTTGATGGGGCTTCACAATATCCCCATGACAAGAATAAGAGCAACATTAAGTTGCACTAAAGTGCCCATCCAGTTGGTTGACCTTGTAACTATCAGAAATAATCTAGGAAATGATATTGTTGTGAACATGTGCATGATCATAATGAAAGCAACACATGTAGCAACAATGATTCTAGTGAAAACCATATCGTATCAAGTAGATCAGCAAGTGGCACAGTCATGAGAACAGAACTTATCATAGCGATAGCAACACTATGGAAAGTAAATCAAGATAGTTAACGTCTAGTAAACAATTCAGAGAACAAGTTGATCATGTATGATCGTTCAGCTTTGCTGTGTCAGTACATAGGAAGCCTTGTTTTGCAAGTTCAGCCCAAGCTCCCAGGTACCCTCCACTTGATGATCATGATGACCCTGGCAGATAGGGTTTTAGAGACTCGGTTCCACCCAGAAAAAAAAAAGTTATGTCTATGTTGATTTACCAGAAGGTATTTCAAACCACCAAGAATCAACATTCTAAGCTTCATATCCAGTCATATATTTGTGTTGCTTGGTGGGTAAACTCTCCAGCAATGGTTGGTAAACTACCAATATTTGAACCATCAAAATCTCCATGGTCTAATCCTGAACCCTGCAAAATTCCATCCATTTTTGTAACAGCAGCAGCACATCACTCAGGATTTTACCAGCAAACAAGATGAGATTTGCCATGGATTTGCCATGGAGTTGACATGGTTTTTAGGGGAAATCAAGGGACCATCCCCTCTGAAGGCTGGCGAAGCCCCTTCGGCGCCGATCTGAGGCAGCAGCTCCTCGTTCCAGACCTCCATCAAGGGCCTCGTTCCAAACAACTTCCGACAGGGACGATAGGGACTACTTTCCACGTTTCATGAAGCCTAAATCAATCAGGCTCAGACTTAGATGACATAAAATGTGTCATACCTTCTGGATGTGTGAACAAAAATGGATGCACTGTAGACATATTAATGTACCTGAACTGTTTCCAAAGACCATTCGTTGATTCTGTTGTGGTGCTGAGCAGTGCTGGTTCGTTGCTGTCGGGATTTGAATCGATTCAATACATCTTAGAGCTGAAAGTCCAAATCTTGGGGTGCTCTATTTTCAGGCGAAGAGTTCATGTTTACAGACAAGACAAGATTGAATTATATATTTAACACGCAGATGAAAATTTAGGCAACAAAAACACACGTGCAATCTTTCAACATGGCAACATAGGGATCTCCAGTCAGAATATGGCTGTTTGATATGGCAAATGGCATTTTCGAGGAATCTCATCCTCGAAAATCCCCAGGAAAAACAACATCCATCAAAATCGATGAACTAGAATCTTAAACATGGATGATAAACAAACAAATGTGGATGATAAACAAACAAATGTGGATGATAAACATGGATGATAAACAAAAAAATCGTGTTTTTTTCCGCTACTAGGTCACCAGAGTTATTCATCTGTCACCCCAGTCACCCCAGTCACCCCGTAGTTTTTGGCTCCAGACCCACTGAGCATACAATGCCAGCACCGCTTGGACGCCGATGTACAAACCTTTCACCTTGGGACTGATGGGTGGATGGGTCGATGGAGGTTTCATGGTGATTTAAGATGATTTAATGGTGATTTGTTGGTGATTTATTGGTGATTTAATGTTTTTTGGGGATATATACATATATATATAATATTATATTATATATATAATATAGTGGGAATATATGATATAATGGGATGTAGCCTCTGGTAAACTCACAGATTATAGCCATTGAGTTCGTTGATTTACCAATGAACAATGGTGATGTTCCAATAGTTGTGTCCGTTTACCAAAGGTTAGATGATGATACTCAAAGTAAACGGATGCTGCTTTTCTTAGAACAACTCTTCAATGATCTTTAGGATGGAAACTCTACCATCAACTGTTCAAAGAAACAGCAATGGTACAGTTGATGGTAGATGATGGTGTAAGATTCTGCTTTATATGTTTCCAGCGAAGTTTGATGTTCGACTTTTAATGCTACCAAGACTTTTGGCATAAGCTGCGAATTTCCGGATGTGCCTTTGCTGGAGGACGGAATGTGACTTGTCTCTGAGGGCTGTACGTTGAAGGTTTCAAACCTCAAAGTGGCAGTAAACTGGGGTGGTTGATCAATTGCTTCCAACGAAACCATGCAAACGTTGGTAATCTCCTGAGAATTCCAGGCAGTTTCTGGATGAAAATCCTGAATGTCATGGGGTAATCCCTTCCCTGAAAACCAGAATCACCTGCCACAACCCTGACTTAGTCTTGGGTATCTTTATTTCAAACCATTTCAACAACATGCCGGGATGGATCTGGTCAAACCCCACCATCAGCTGGGATTGGCTGGGATGTTCATCCAAACTGAAGAGATCAATGGTCACAAGATGTCACAAGCTTACCACGAATGCGACACCAACAGTTAAGCCTTAAACATGTGGGCATCAAAACCCCGGTCCCCTGTATGATTGGCTTTTGCTCAATACCCATATGATTGGTCATGATTCATGTTGCTGTACCACCACCAACAATGGCAGAAGTATGGAGGCAAACCTTACGGCATGGCCGAACATGACGATGGCCACCGATCAATGATGAAAATTGTTACTGTGAACATGGCAGTGCTGACGTTGATGGACAGCATTTTATTGAAGAAAGTACAACATATCATGTTCCTGTCAGTATTTGCTGGTGTCAACAGCAGCATTAGTAGTTGTGGATAGTTTTGGCATTAGAATCATCGTTGCTGTTGCTGCAGTTCTCGTAGTGGTGGATTCTGAATCAACACAAGTATACAATTTCTGTCAACCCTGGATCAAGTTGTGTGAGTAAAAAAAACATCTATATGAAGCATATCTAAAAATCACAGTTTCCTGTAAACATGCTCCCTTAAATCCACCCAGTGACCATAGACACCACTGCTTCTGGTTGCAGTAACTAAAAGTTTTCGCCTAAAAATATTTCAGGTCGCATGGAACATCAACATGATTGAAACAACCAGCCATCAACATCAACAAATTGGATGGTAATACCAATTCATTTTACAATATGTCATCATTTTTCATCATTTCTATGGAGTGAACAAATATTGGCATATAAAATGGATTGTTGATCCATTCATGTCCATCAATATCTATGACATTCCCATAATTTCATATTAGTTTTGAGCTATAGCCATAACCCTCCCCAGCCGTGCTCCCGGCATCATCTCTGCCATCAGCTCACGATTCTCGGGCGTATTGAAGGGCGGCTCCGTTAGCAAAAAGTCCTTAGCAAATGTCTTGGGAAAAGGGTGCTGTAGTTCATCAACAACTAATGGGTGTACCCTCTGGACCCTCTGGTTGTTTAACGTAGCTATGGAACATAGCCCATCTATCGATGGTTTATGATGGTTTACCTACTAAAAAACAAGATGAAACCCACGAACCCGAATGCTCACACGTATGTTAATGGTACAGATGTCAAAACACATGGATATGCAGTCACGCACAATACCTTTCTGCAATAGTTTATTTGAACAGTCTTGTACATGTTTCCCTTGTTACCAGTCTGCAGTGTGGAGTGGAAAGTGTAGAGTGTGGAGCGTGGAGTGTGAAGTAAGGAGTGTGGAGTGTAAAGTGTGCAGTGGGGAGTGTAGAGTGTGTAAAGTGTAGAATGCGGAGTGTAATGTGTAGAGTGTGGAGTATGGAGTGCAAAGTGTAGAGTGTGGAGTGTGGAGTGTTGTGTGTAGAGTGTGGAGTGAGGAGTGTAAAGTGCAAAGTGTGGAGTGGAGTGTGGAGTGTAAAGTGAGGAGTGTAAAGTGTGGAGTGAGGAGTGTAAAGTGGAAAGCGTGGAGTGTAAAGTGGAAAGCGTGGAGTGTAAAGTGTAAAGTGTGGAGTGTAGAGTGTATAGTGTAGAGTGTAAAGTGTAGAGTGTGGGGTGTGGAGTGTAAAGTGTGGAGTGTAAAGTGTGGAGTGAGGAGTGTAAAGTGTGGAGTGTGGAGTGTAAAGTGTGGAGTGTGAAGTGTGGAGTGTGGAGCGTAAAGTGTAGAGTGTGGAGTCTGGAGTGGAAAGTGTAGAGTGTGGTGTGTAGAGTGTGGAGTGTGGAGTGTAAAGTGAGGAGTGTAAAGTGTGGAGTGTGGAGTGAGGAGTGTAAAGTATAAAGTGTGGAGTGTGCAGTGTACAGTAAAGTGTGGAGTGTGGAGTGCGGAGTGTGGAGTGGAAAGTGTAGAGTGTGGAGTGTGGAGTGTAAAGTGGGGAGTGTGGAGTGTAGAGTGTGGAGTGCGGAGTGTAAAGTGTGGAGTGTGGAATGTAAAGTGTAGAGTGTGGGGTGTGGAGTGTGGAGTGTGGAGTGGAAAGCGTAGAGTGTGGTGTGTAGAGTGTGGAGTGTGGAGTGTAAAATGTAAAGTGTGGAGTGTAGAGTAAGGAGTGTGTAGTGTAAAGTGTGGAGTGTGGAGTGTAAATTTTAGAGTGCGGGGTGTAAAGTGTAGAGTGAGGAGTGAGGAGTGGAAAGTGTAGAGTGTAGTGTAAAGTGTGGAGTGTGGAGTGTAAAGTCTCAGGTGAGGAGTGAGGAATGTAAAGTGCAAAGTGTGGAGTGTAAAGTGTAGAGTGTGGAGTCTAAAGTGTAAATTGTGGAGTGTGGAGTGCGGAGCTTCCCCCATAGACACGGCGACGCCACAGGAAAACCAGAGACTCGAGACGAGACACGTGGGTGCAAAAAAAACGAGCATTTCGTTCGAGACTTCCTCCAAGCTTGATATTTTCGACACGTTATCAAACAGGTTGGAATGTCACAAAGTGCCACGCCTGCCACGCAAAACGACATGACAACCTGCTTGGACACATTCGAATAGGAGATGTTTTCCAGCTTCCCCCATAGACACGGCGACGCCACAGGAAACCAGCGACTCGAGACAAGACACGTGGATGCAGAAAAACCAGCATTTCGTGCGAGACTTCCTCCAATTTTGACATTTTCAACACGTTATCAAACAGCTTGGAATGTCACAAAGTGCCGCGCCTGCCACGCAAAACAACATGACAACCTGCTTGGACACATTCGAATAGGAGAGGTTTTCCAGCTTCCCCCATAGACACGGCGAGGCCACAGGAAAACCAGAGACTCGAGACGAGACAGGTGGGAGCACCAAAACGAGCATTTCGTGCGAGACTTCCTCCAATTTTCACAGTTGGCAACATGACAAAAGGACAAATTTTGCAGCTTCCCCCATAGACACGGCGAGGCCACAGGAAAACCAGAGACTCGAGAAGAGACAGGCGGGAGCACCAAAACGACCATTTCGTGCGAGACTTCCTCCAATTTTCACACTTTGTAGCTTCAAAATCGACGTTTTCCTACGAGTTTTCCTTAGAACCTGAAAATTTGCAACCTCAAAATCGATGTTTCGTGCGAGGCTTCCGTCAATTTTCAGCACATCGCACATAATGCCACGCCTGCCACGGAATTTGCACCTCGTCACCACTTGACGCAGCCCTGCCAATGCGATTTACAAAAAACACGCAACAGGACACGTCTAAAGTGCTGCGCCTGCCACGAAAAATGACGATGGACACGTCCAAAGTGCTGAGCCTGCCACGAAAACTGCAACACATCTTCTGAAAACGTCACAAAAGTATTGCGCCTGCCACGCAAAACGATTTTCAACACGTTGCAAAACACGTCTGAATGACACGAAGTGCCACGCCTGCCACGCGAAACGAAGCAACGACACGTCTGAAACCTCCAAAAATGACCACCTCTGCAGAACTTACCATAGGCACGGCCATATGGTCCTCGCGCGGACGGTTGCGAACGGTTGCGGACGGTTGCGACCACAAACGCAACGTCGAGCGAACACACCCTCAACCCCCAGACCCCCAGAGTGAAACGGAAACCCTTGCTACGCATTCGGGAAAATGATTTTCCATAGCTACGTTAAATAGAGAGAGGGTATATAGTATCATTTATTCTACAACATATTAGTTGTAGGACTTAAAGTTCCCCACTAATCAAACACTAATGGGGGGATTGTGGTACCTAGACTGTAGAGTCCACGTGGAAGTTAAATAGTGTAGGTCAGAAAAGCGCCGTGGAAAAACTATGTGCGATAGGTTTTTCACTTGATAATGACCCCACTAAATATAGGGTATAATGAGATTTGGGATGGGATAAGTGATATGACAGGATGCAAGTACAATGGAATGTCACCGAATGTGCATCTGTATTCTTAAAACTATATAATATGAATTAATATGATATGTTTATCCCGCTAAGATCCGCTTAGTGCTTCATCTCACATATAGTGAGTGGGCTATATACAGATACTGAAGATAGTAAGTGGAGCAAACCCACTCATTGTTACTGGGGTTGCAAGCTACTTACTGAATGGATTTCAACGGGGTGAACGGGTGAACCGCAGATCCATTCCGATCCAATATTTGGAAGAACCCATCTCCAACTGATGGGTCAATCTTTTTCAATGTTCAATTACTGGTCTTGGATCTGCTTATTTGCATGTATTTAAGCTCAAAAGTTTATACTCCTTAATTGGTAGATTCAACATAGGAAACTAAAGAGTCATCTTCAGAAAAATCCGTATGGTTGGTGGTGTGACGACCCCAGAATACTGGCCATTTTGGGATCATCGAGAAGTAAAATCGCCAAGCAACCAGGAAATGTGTTTCTCACAGGGTTTGTCCAACCCTATTGCATACCCCCAGATCAAATATATTATCTCCATTCTTCCCATGATGCAAATTGCCAAAAACGTGGGATGAGTTTCCCCCTATGTTTGGACCAATCCCATTTCCAGTTTTCATTGGTGAAATAAATATATTCATGTTGCATTCCAATTCATTCAATTGTTGTTCATCTTTCCTTAAACCTAAAACACGGCCATCGAATGGATATCCCATCCTCCATTTTTTCCGCAAAAATCCATGCCCTGGCAATTCTCGGCAAGTGGCGTGCTCCTCAGGGATGCTACGTAAATTTCTGAAGATTGCCTCCCGGCAAAACCACCACAATCCAAGTTCCTTTCCCTATCCTTTGACACGACATCAATATTTTTGTCTGAAAACAAACCGTTTCGTTGATGGCCAAATCCGGCACTTTTTCAGGTGCTAATGAGTTTGCCATAGTCTACCTGAAAATCCAAAACCCCCAAAAAAAAATATACCATTATCCCATTATATATATATTATATTTATATCCCAATTCTGTTGGTTGTACCCGTACCCCCATTCTATAACCAAAGCCTGCTGCAAGAAACGCTCCATGTCGTCCCAATTTTCTATCCTGACAAGAGGCACGAGAGCTAGGCGGCAAGGGAGCGGAACACCCCTACCAGGACGTTTTCCCACAAAGGTCATCCGCAGCCAGGGCCAAAACCAAACGGTTGGTTTAAGAGTCCCGGATTCCGATATTGAAAAGTCGCTATACTGGCAGCCTCCGAATTTTAGGATACACTATTTCAAAGGAATGCGTCAATATGGGCATCAAAAATTGTATGGTTGGGATGATAGCGCTGGCGGTGGCGCATTTGAGCAGCAACGCCCGGCTCCTCGTTGGTTGCCACCATCCATGGTTGTGATTTAACAACAGCATCATGCGTGTTAACATGGATATCGCACAGTCATGCACAGTCGTAACCGCGATCACATGATCAACGTGATGGGTGTGTTGCTGATGTTTTCAGGGTTTCTCATGTAAATTACACCATGTGAATTACACCAACACGATGATGTTCAACTGTTTTGAGTTGCTTCAAAGTTGGACCCCATTAACATAACTACATATTCCGCCGGCTTTTTCACAGAACCCCATTGAACGTTAATGGTTGAAATTGCATGAAATCCTTTGTTTCGAATCTCGGTCTCCACTAATGGCCTTGCCTTCCTTTAGAGACCGGTGATGACAGGAGATAATTCGGCGAGTCCTGGACTGGATCAGTGCATAAACCGTGGCAACAACAAATGTTGAAAAATAATGTGGCAGCCGACATCATATGTGTGGCGGGAGGATTCTCAAAATTGATGGGCGGCCAGGCTGATTGGTTTGCAGTTATTGTTTGCCCGGTGTCGTGTCTAGGTGTCTATATAGGTGTTACACAAATAATGGAGACGGGTTTCCAAAAAAAAAACCTAAAATCAACCCCCCCAAAAAAAATGTTTGTACAGAATGTGGGGGCAAGAAAAAAACGTCAGAGTGGATGGAGTCAGGTCAGTTTCCTCGCGCTTGATGGCTAAAAACCAAGACTGGTCCTAAAAAACACATGGCGACCATCAAATGGGGGTTCACATCAACATGTTCCCCCTGGCCTGTGAACCTTCCGAGTTTTGAAATGCCTCAACAGAAACATTTAAATAATACAAATCCTGTCCAAATATTGTCCAAATCCGCGTGGGTCTTTGGGATCGTCAGTTAACCGCGATCTATGTCTTGTAGCATAATGTTTCAGCTGGTTGAAGCCCTCCACAACTCATGGCTCATGGCTAAATTTAAGAATCAATCGCAACTAAACCCAGACACCTGCGCCCCACAATGCCCCAGGGCCTTTCGGGCATACGCCTGGCAGTGTGCAAGAAAGATCGGCGCGCGGCGCGATGTAAAATTTGGGAGCGCTGCCACGCGGCCTAAAGTTTTGCTCGTCACAAGCAGGTTCATGCTTGGTGGGGCCATCTGAAAGCGGTGGTTCTAAAGACGTTCGAGCCATGCCCAAGTGAGCTTGTCTGAACTTTAGGCGCCCGTCATTTTCTCTGCCTTGTCGGGGGCATATTCCCGTTTCAAACACACCAAATGCTGCAAGGAGGTGTGAAGAACTTTATTATAGTCAGTTTCCACAACGCAGCAGCCATGCTGAAGAAAACGCTGTTTGATTTTAATTTCTTCGAATTTGGGATGATATGTGTCCCAGTGGCATGAGCTTGAACAAACATTGAAAAACTAGTGGCATCAAAATCATCCAAGCTGCTGCAACTCCATTTATATTTTTCAATATTTGTGTATATAACAAATGAAATGTAGCCACCAGGCAATATACCAAAACACAAAACAGTATTGGTTTACACCACCTTACCCCGGGCCACCTTCCCTGGGGGATCAGCAGTTACAAACACATCAACATGCCATTCAAACATCACACGCATACAGGTACTATGTGTATCTATGTATGATGCATGTATGTATGTATGTATGTAGGTAGGTAGGTAGGTATGTATGTATGTGTGCATGTTATGTACGTATGTATGTATGTATGTATGTATGTATGTGTGCATGTATGCATGTATGCATGCATGCATGCATGCATGCATGCATGTCTGCATGTCTGCATGCATGTCTGCATGTGTCTGCATGTCTGCATGTCTGCATGTCTGCATGCATGTGTGCATGTATGCATGTATGCATGTATGCATGTGTGCATGTATGTATGCATGTATGCATGTATGCATGCATGTATGCATGTATGCATGTGTGTATGTATGTATGTATGTATGTATGTATGGATGTATGGATGTATGGATGTATGGATGTATGGATGTATGGATGTATGCATGTATGCATGTATGCATGTATGCATGTATGCATGTATGCATGTGTGCATGTATGCATGCATGTATGTATGGATATATGCGTGTATGTGTGTTTGTATGTACGTACGTACGTAGCGTACGTATGTATGTATGTATGGATGGATGTATGCGTGTTTGCGTGCATGTATGCATGTATGTATGATGTATATGTATGCATGTATGCATGTATGCATGTATGCATGTATGCATGTATGCATGTATGCATGTATGCATGTATGCATGTATGCATGTATGCATGTATGCATGTATGCATGTATGCATGTATGCATGTATGCATGTATGCATGTATGCATGTATGCATGTATGCATGTATGCATGTATGCATGTATGCATGTATGCATGTATGCATGTATGCATGTATGCATGTATGCATGTATGCGTGTATGCGTGTATGCGTGTATGCATTATGCATGTATGCATGTATGCATGTATGCATGTATGCATGTATGCATGTATGCATGTATGCATGTATGCATGTATGCATGTATGCATGTATGCATGTATGTATGTATGTATGTGTGTGTATGTATGTATGTATGCACGATTATGTATGCATGTATGTATGCATTTATGTATGTATGTATGATTATGTATGCATGTATGTATGCATGTATGTATGTATGCATGATTGTGTATGATTATGCATGATTATGTATGCATGCATGCATGCATGCATGCATGTATGTATGTATGCACGTATGTAATGTAAATCAAATGTAATCAAATGTAATCAAATGTACTGTTATACAAGGTAATTTAATACAATGTAATACAATGCAAAGTAATGTAATACTATGTACGTATGCATGCATGCATGTATGTATGTATGTAGGTATAGGTAGGTATAGGTAGGTAGGTATGTAGGTTTGTTTGTTGGTTGCTTGGTTTGTTTGTTGGTTGGTTTGATGGTTGGTTGGTTTGTTGTTTTTGTTGGTTGGTTAGTTTGCTTATATGTTCACATGTCTGTATGTGTGCGTGCATATAATGTATGTACATATGTAGGGATGCACGCCTACGTACGCATGCATGAGTGCATTTGTTGAGTGAAATAAGCACATGTATGGAAACATAGTTGGGTATGACATGTTCCTGAAATATTAGAAGCCGATTGGCGTCTGAAATCTTGCGCTTCATGAAGAATTACAGATCCTTCTTTGCTTGCATCGGCAATATGTATTAGCAAAGCGCAAAACAAATGCTAAGCTGCTAAGTTTCATGGGAATGACAATTCCCAATGCTAAGTGTCGTCTATGATCTGTGGTGTTGTTATCAGGTCGTCATGTTAAAACATATATAATTTATAACATATATATATATATATAATTTTACTATAGTATAATAAATATATATATACACACAAGATCATATATATATATATGTGTAAACAGTATTATGATAGACATGTAAAATTATGTAGATAAGTTCAAAGTTCCTTTATAGAAATACCATGACATAATTGTTTATAGCTATCATTACAGTTAAGTTTTTCTGGAGTCTGTCTCCTCAATCTCAGGCATTAAGAATGAGCAACATGTCATAGATCTCCATGGGTCTCCCTAACGTCAACAGAGACGTGAGCCTGAGGTCTGAAGTGTAGGTGTCACCCTTCAAAAGCCAAAATCTCATCAAGAAAAGCTGTTTTCTACAAACTCCGAAGCAAATTCCCATGGTATATACCTAGACTGTGCATCCTATCTGACAACTGAAAGCTATGTCATACCTCATAACTTTGCGATTTTGTAAACCCACCAGCCAACTATGTTGTAAGACCTTGTGCTTTCTTCATAAAAGTGCCAAAGCTGGGCAAATTAGGTACATTGGTTATCGGACAGGGTGTACCACATAGCTACTTTTCTGGTTGAAAAGTTAGTGGCAACCTCTTAAACTCAAGTAGCATGATGTCTATTTACATCCACTTGCCACAAAATATTTGATCCGGTGGTAGGTTCAACTGAATGGCAGCTGAATTGTTTGGGGGACCATGTTCTATTCCGTTTCGGGAACTTTTGTCTGGTTTTGGCTTGGACGGCTACGCTTCTGTAGGCAACGTCGTGCGGGAGCCATGTTGTTCAAAGTTTGCAGAGATATTTGTTGACATTTGATTCTGACTCACATTTGATCTGGCATTCTATCTGACACGATATCTGACATTGCATTTAACATTCTATCCGGCATTCTATCCGACATTCTATCTGACATTCTATCTGACATTTTGTCTGGCATTCTAAATGACATCCTGTTTGGCACTTAATCTGGCATTCTAACTGGCTTTTTATCTAGCATCTTAACTGGCAAAAATTCCAGTCATTCTATCTGGCATTCTATCTGATATATGTTAATAAGTTAATACATTCTATCTGAGATATTTTCTGATACTTCATTGATTTTGCATCTATCTGGCACTTTATCCGACATTCCATTTGACATTTTATCTGGATTGGCACTGTATCCGACATTCCGTTTGACACTTTATCTGGATTGGCACTGTATCCGACATTCCGTTTGACACTTTATCTGGATTGGCACTGTATCCGACATTCTGTCTGACATTTCTTCTAGATCTGATATATATATATATATATATATATATATGTAACCGAACAACAAATTGTGCATCTTCTTTGGCACTTCATGTGGCATCTGACATCGATTCTGTCATCCTATCGGGGGTTCCCCAACAGCTGGATGGTTGATGTAATAACATGTCCATGGAAAATCCCAAAAACATCCGGATGACTTAGGGGTAGCCTCATTTTCGAACACCTCCATTTTTGGTTACCATAAGCCACACCCTCGAAATGGGGTGGCCTTGGGTTGGCCACATGACTACTGAGGGATCATCCAGTCCGTACTTTAGATGGGCGGTGGAGTTCGTTATTTGGGCTGCAAGCTGCAAACCACCAAAAAATATAGAGAACGACATAATCTGCAAACCACCCTGTACCTCCATATCCTGGAGAAACTATGGTTTGATTTGTTGGCAAAGTCAAGATACACTTCTACTGTACTTCCCCATGTTGTTCTCATGTCAATCCAAGCTTCATAGTTCATATCTTCGCGAACTTCCGCTGGCGAAGCCCCGGGGGAATTCATTGGGGAAGCCCTCCGGGCTTACGGACCTGCTACTACACCAATGCATTGGGAGTTGACCATCCCGAACACTCTTGAATCATGAATTCCATTGAAATCCCACTAAATGACCATCTTTGTTGGTTTCCTGTAACCGGTAACCAAAATAAACCAATCCAGCTATTCGCCTCGTCACCAATGTAGAAGTCGGCGTCAGCCAAACTACTGGTGGCACTCTGGCTGATGTGGACGCCTCAAATCGGTGCGTTTTGTTGTCTGTGTGCGGGCGGGCTCTACGTACGTTTAGGACAAAAATCCGCCAGAAATGGGCGGTACAAAAACTAGAACCTCTGAAGTTCAGTGAGTCTCGGGTTGAACTCATAACTAGAAATATGATCCCCCTTGATTGAAGGGTAGGTACCCTTACCCCACCATCCCATAAAAATCTAGTTGTTCCATTCCATAGGGCTTCAATCAAGGGTGATGAAATAGTATGAACATCTAGACATGATTTTCTATGGTTCAAGCATGTTCAAGCAATACCTATAGATATCCAAAAACCAATGAGCACTAAAAACTTGAATTTCAAATGAACTCGATTGATATCCTTCTGCAGATCAATCTGCACAAAAAAAGGAAACTGGATGAAACTGGTATCAGAAGGATTTCACCATTTCTGCTGAATGTTTCCCCGACATCATGTGACCCGTGGCATCGCGCCAAGGTCATCCAAGGTATCCCGGATGGTTCCGTGATATACATAGACATCATATTTGGGTGTGTCTGAAAAAGTGGTATAGCCCCAGTGCCATTCAATAGAGAAACGTCTGTTGGTTTTATCGCCCTCCACATATTGTTTATTGGTTTCGTGTTAAAAAAATATCTGATTCCTTGTTTCAACGCCTCCCACATATACCAGTCAATCCTAATTCCGAAAAATTATGCTCCCATGTTAAAAGAACATATCGAATCGAACCCCAGCAAACCAGATAAGAAAGTACTGGTCACATGCCTCCATCTGGTCCCAATGTTTATTTTGGGAAGTCCAATGGTCCCCAGATCCTTGAGCCATCCATGGTCCCCATCGCGGGGTAGAACTGCTAGTTGGGTTGCTGGTAAGACGTTCAAATCCTTTTGTGGTCGAAGAAACCGAAGCAAATCCCCCTGGCAGATGGTTGTTGCCAATTCTCTGTCATTTCTGTCGATAACATTGCCATCCCAGCAGCTGCCACAGTTTCTGGTTGGTGGTTGACCTACTGTACCCCTCTGAAAAATATGAAAGTCAGTTGGGATGATTATTCCCAATATCTGAAAAAAAAGTTCCAAACCACCAACCAGGTTTGATCCTGGGCCAAGGTGCTTCCGGTTTGCTTCCGCGTGGCATTGGCCACCACCGTGGGAATCATGAAGGTTGGCTCCTGGCAGGCCGGACACGGACATCTGGGAGATGTTCATGGATTTTGAATGAATATTAATGGATATTGATAGGAATATAAAGGATATAATATCATAATATATATAAATATATGTATATAATAACAACACCAACTTATGATTTTGGGGTGGCTAAGAATGTGGATCTCGCCCTCCAAAAAATGTCATTAGGGCATATACGGAAAAATATGATTAACAGGTGGATTGGATGGGGTATATACATACATGATTTTCAGACAAAACCATTTTCATACATGTTTATGTTTTCACTATATCATATTATATCTGTTGCTGGCCATGGAACAATAACTAGTGATGTTCTGTGATCTCCCCGTCTATTGGTGAAAAGCTGCATGGTGGGACTTAGGACTTTCATCCAATGACTGGTAAGCTGCTAAGGCCCCCGGCCACATTGCCGGCGAAACCCATTTTGGTACATCCCGAACCAATGTCGATCACGACGCTCCTGCAATACTGATGGCAAGGGGGTACCAAAGCTCTCCGTGTCTTGTCAAAACATATATATATATATGTATGTCTGTCTGTATGTATGTATGTATGTATGTATGTCTGTCTGTCTGTATGTATATGTATATGTACATGTATATGTCTATGTATATATGTACGTATATGTATACGTATATGCATATGTCTATGTATATGTGTATATGTAAATATGTAAATATGTATGTATGTATGCATGCATGCATGCATGGCATGTATGTATGTGTGTGTGTATGTATGTGTATGTATGTGTATGTATGTGTATGTATGTGTATGTATGTGTATGTATGTGTATGTATGTGTATGTATGTGTATGTATGTGTATGTATATGTATGTATATGTATGTATGTATATGTATATATTTGTATGTATATATATATATTACCCCATTGTATATGTATGTATATATGTATATATGTATATATGTATGTGTATATATGTATATATATATATATATGTGTGTATGTATATTTATGTATGTATGTATGTATGTGTGTATGTGTGTATGTATGTGTATGTATGTTTGTATATATTTATATGTATGTATATGTATATATATACACATATGTATGTATGTATGTATAAATATATATTTATATATATATAACATATGTATATATATATATATATACAAACATATGTATGTATATATATATATGTATGTATGAATGTATGTATGTATGTATCAATAGTATGTACGTATGTATGAATGTATGTATGTATGTTTGTTTGTTTGTATGTATGTATGTATATATATATATATGTATGCAGTATGCAATTAACCTACTTGCCCCTGATGCTTATAGTCACAAGGGTCCATGCTGACACAACATCTTCGTATCAGCATAATATGATGACAGGGCTACAACCATTCCCTCATCAAGGGGCCCAACCTGTGGACTCTTGGAAGACAAAAGTCGTGATTTCTTTGGGTGGGGATGGGTCAAAACCTTGTACCCCTGTTGAACATCAAAATAGCTGGCAAATGGATAGTATTTATAACTATGTATATATGATCCAAACCTGGAAGACTTTGCAACAATGACATGAAACTGCCCCAACACAATCAGTTCGGTCTGCGAGTTTGACCCTTCAATCCTATGACAAGTGGATACAAGTGGAGCATCTGCCAACCAAGGCATACCACGTGCCTTCGCGCCATGGCACACACCCTCTTTCCTCGGATGCGATGCAAATGGCACGGGTGTCAAGTAGCTCAGGACAGTGTCACATGGCCTTATTCAAAGCAAATTACCAAAGAAATGTTGGGAATGACTTTGCCAACGAATCACCATCATAAATATTGCCAAGATATTGCTAAACATGGTGACATCGTGGAGAGGTTCCTATCATATACTCAAATGGAGAAAACAACAGTCTCTCAGCAGCAAAGCCTCGAAGAATTTCACGGTGATTCCATTGAAGGAAGCATGGCGCAGCGTGGTGGCACCAGTGTCCAGTGCATGTGATGATTATATACTATGATTATGGCTTTGTATAGATGACATCCTTCTGCACATACTCAGAGAGTACCATAGAATGACATATCTGGTGTATGTAAATAAATAAATATATGTATATATGTATCATTTTATATTAAATGTCACACAAGTGAGGCATTTCACATGGATATCATTGATCATGGATCCAAACTCGACGTGGCAACCTGACAGTGTCAATCTATGTCAGTTTGGTTCAGAGTGAACTGGCTCAAGGTTTCTTTCTATCGGGACACTGAAAGTATTGGATTTGCCAAAATATCCAAAAAGTATTGTTTACTTCTGCCTCAAGTTCAAAATCAATTTGAACATCTCAAGCAGTTTCCATTTCAAGAGATTTCAAAATGTCCAACAATACACTCTTTAAAGCACCCGTGAGCCTGAAATGCGCAAAATTCAAATCGGCCGCAGCAGCAACTTCAAAAACGAGCAACATCTTGAGAGCCACTGCGCGCAGCCATTCATCTCAAACCCATGAAGATGCGAATTCTATGCATACCGAAGATGGAACCTGGTTTCTGGTGGCAAGCTTACGCGTCAACAAATAAATTGGAACGATATGCTTCCTATAAGTTTAGAAACACCTATAGATAAACAATGATAAACAACTGAGAATATCTCAAACTACCAACTAGGAATCATACTAAATCTTTATGAAATACATGAAAAACAAACTTAAGGCTTAAGGCATGCAGTATTATCTCATGAGTCTCCATCGTAAATCTCAGCCACAGAGGTCCCAGGGCACATGGCTGGTGTCTGGTGAAGTCTGGCAGATCATGTCCAGTCATCAACCAGTGGGGGCCATTGTGGGCACCAAGTCTTCGACCCCGAAATGATCTGTACCCTCCGCTAATTTAACATAGCTATTGAAAATGGCCATAGAAATAGTTGATTTAGCCATTGAAAATGGTGATTTTCCATAGTTCTGTAAACGTTTACCAGAGGGTAAATGATCTGTACCCAACATTGACCAATCGATGACAGTCATCCTTGTTCTGATCCAAAGGTTGGATCCATTGCAAGTGGTCATCACATCCCTTGAATATTGATTCATAGACATTCACAAGGGGCCACGTATCCAACTGACTGATCTCTCATTGGTAAATATCACCAACAACCACATATTCATATGTTAAATGTTCATGAAGAACATCGCAAAACTAACCCAAATCTAGTAGCTTAGGAGCAACCAAAGCAATCGCTGCTGAATAGACCCATGAAATTGTTCGGCCAAAGCGCGGCAATAAAAACACAAACATTGCTCAGTCAGTAAATATTTCCATTCATCTATGGCAAAACACATGAAAATACCACCCATCCAATCCAAGTTTTAACTAGCAAACCCCCCAGCACGAGCGCATCTTTGGCCGCAGATTTTATCGGCCACTCAGGCAGCATGCCGACAGCAGCAGGGCCACAAGGCCAACCTCACACATCCCGGACGTGGATGGTGAATCCACCTACAAGGTGGGGCCCTGAAACGATAGCTCACTTGGTTTATGACGTTTGGGTTCATGGCAGTTAATGGCGCTATAGACTATCATAGACTATGTGATTCGCGGTGGGCTGATCTCACACTAGTGAAAATGTCGTCGGTTTTGAATGTCACCACAAATGAGTTCGCACACAAGCAGTAACCACCGGAATTGGACGCATTCTCCATCATTCTTCATTTACCCGCCTACCACTAAAAGGGTATCCTCAAAACGCTCAAAAAGTTACTCATCACTGAATATCACCAGGAATCTTTGGACATATCACGATGGTCAGGATGCTGTGGACAAGCGAATCACTATCCCACTTGGCTCTGGGAAGGAAATTCTAAAATCACTGGATTTTACGGGATAGCAATCCCCCCAAGGAAACAACAAATTCTGATTTAAATGTTGCCATCATTAAGTTATTTAGATCTTTGCAAAGTAATAAATAGATTATGCATACGTATATATATAGAGCTTTACCATCATTCACCAATTACAAAATGATACTTCGCATGATAGTTACATTACGCTACATCATTTTCCATGATTTGCATCAAAGTTCATGTACTGTAAATGGTACATACTATTCAAAATACCATTGCTATTCAAATTTGCATTTACCAATTACCATCATTTACCATGATTTACCAATTACAAAAAGATAATTTGCATGATATAAATAATCACAGATTAATAGAAAATCACAATTCTACCGGTGAATTCTGTTGCGATGATCGAGGTTCAGCACTGAGGAAGCGGAAGCCGCCAGCAGTCTGGGCAGTCTGGGCATGGGGGTCCTGCGAGATCATGGTAGGGTCCTTTTAAAGGGATCACATAAAATAGATAGGCCCCCGGTGGGATCCAAATTTTGGAATTAGATCTATTTTCTTAGATCAGAAAGTTAGCCTGGCTTAAGTTTTAAACATACAGTAGATATACGCTTAGATTCTAAATGCCGCATTGGCACAAATTAGGATGTTAAATCACTGATATCGTTTTAGGGTCTAGATCCGTGGGGTTTACATCAGCTACCTTTTTCAGCCAAAGTAAGATGTCTCAAAGCAGCCTCACTTGAGACATTTTGAGCACTGTCCAAGGTCAACAATGCCATACCCTGCTTCCAAAAATTGTTCAGAATTGCTTGACATGACCCAAACTTGCCCGATAAAAAAAAGGACCGGATAACCCCACATGCCAAGCCTTTATGTATCGAAGCTTAATGTGAACTTCGGGGAAGTGTGAGAAGTGAGGTGTGAGGAGTGGACTTGTGATGTCAGGTGTGAGAAGTGGAGCTGTGATGAGTTCTGATGTGATAGTGATAAGTGAGGTGTGAGAAGTGGTGTGAGAAGTGGAGCTGTGATGTGATAAGTTGTGATGAGTTGTGATGAGAAGTTGTGATGTGATAAGTGAGCTGTGAGAAGTGAGGTGTGAGAAGTGGAACTGTGATGAGTTGGGATGTGATAAGTTGTGATGAGTTGTGATGAGAAGTGGACCTGTCAGAAGTGGAGCTGTGATGAGTTGTGATGAGCAGTGGAGCTGTGATGAGTGAGGTGTGAGAAGTGGAGCTGTGATGAGTTGGTATGCGATAAGTGATGAGTTGTGAAAAGAAGTGGACCTGTCAGAAGTGGAGCTGTGATGAGTTGTGATGAGCAGTGGAGCTGTGATGAGTGAGGTGTGAGAAGTGGAGCTGTGATGAGTTGGTATGCGATAAGTGATGAGTTGTGAAAAGAAGTGGACCTGTCAGAAGTGGAGCTGTGATGAGTTGTGATGAGCACTGGAGCTGTGATGAGTGAGGTGTGAGAAGTGGAGCTGTGATGAGTTGGTATGCGATAAGTTGATAAGTTGTGATGAGTTGTGATGGGTTGTGATGAGAAGTTGTGATGTGATAAGTGGAGCTGTGATGAGTGGTGATGATAAGTCTACGGCGGCGGAGGCGGGAACAGAAGCGGCGGGATCCAAGTGAAAAACAAGAGCCCGACACATGGTACATGCAGCAAACGAGCTCTTTTTCAAGAGAGGCCGCGCAAGTTCAAGCGTCATCATTTTGTGCAGTGTAGAGCCGCGGGCCAGCGGCGCCCACGCGCGCCGCAGCTCCTCCAGCAGGCTCTGTGTACTGCGCCTGCCACGCCAAAGGCAGCCAGGAAGCTATCTGTACTGCAACTGCCACGCGACAGCCAGCCGCGGGCCACCGGCGCCCACGCGCGCCGCAGCTCCTCCACGAAGACCACTAATGGAAGATATTTTCACTTCAGGCACTTAATGGAAATATTAGTACTTATTTGAACTTATCATAGAACTTATTTTTACTTATTTTCACTTATTTTTTTGATATTTTCAAAGGTTCAGAACTGATTAATTCCCTGTAATCACCATAAATCCCTATAAAATCTCATTCAATATGCCATTCATTCATATCCCATGAGTATCCGATTTTAATTATTAGACCCCTATAAATCACCATGACACCATGCCGGGCCTTCTGCTTCATTGTTCCCGGGCTCCTGTAGCTCGGCTCTGCCCAGCTTGGTGCGGAAACCAACGACCTTAAATGGTACGAAGGAACCATTCGTGGATAAATTGTACTAATTCACTAGTTTTAATCAACAACCTATTGGGAAAAAAAATAAACAAATATGTTAAAATGTGGGTCACTCTCATTGCCCCTCTCAGCCTCTCAAATACAATTCTCAGGTGCCTCTTCGTCATCCAAAGGCAATCCTGATGCATTCACAGGTGCTGAGCGTTCCAAAACTGAAGCGAGTCTATTCTGTCAGGAAATCGTTGTGACATGATGGTCTATTGAAACAGGAACACTAGGCCATACTCACCAAAAGGAAGGTGAGTGATGCAACGGTGGTGCGATAGCTGGGAGCAGGACGCAGAAACGCCCTTCTCATTGTGGAGAATGTCAATTGTATAAATGTTGGACCTGAGCAGCTCTCATGGAATTGAGCTATGCCGGCAGGTTGAATGTAAATATTATGCCAAGGGTTCACCAAGGTATGGAAAACAGGTCTCTAACATGGAATCGCAGAAACGATCAAAACAGTCTGCTGTGGAAGGAATACCTATCGATTACCTATCTAATACCTTCAACATGTGTTTACATACGTAAATACTATGTACATACTTCCATACATTCATACGTACATATGTACATTACATACGTGCATATGTAC